CAGCTGTTGGTGTTTTTCCCCTAGGCTGCATGCAGCCATGTCCTTGCCATCACTGTCATTTTGCATCGGTTTACCCTAAACCCGAACCCTACATGCCGTGAAAACCCTAAACCCCAAACGTCCTAAAACCTCAGAGTGCTTAACACCCTTACCTAAGTAGCAAGGCTGCTAGGACCACCTTTTCCGGCTTTTATTCCAGTTTTGCATTCCGAGCGCCCCGCTCCACATGAGAAGCCAAAAGCTCCGAGAGGCTCTGTGTAAAGGGTTCTATAAGGAGAATTTCAAGGATTTTATTCCAAAAGCTCTCTATAGATAGACAAGGCTTCTACTCTATAAGGGCTCTATAGATTTCTAAGGTTCTATTCTAGAAGGGCTCTATAGATGTATAAGGTTCTAAGACCCTTCTACAAGGGTTCTTCTTCAAATCCTGCAGTCTTGATGAAATCCCAGAGGTCGCCAGAAGCCCAGTCGTCGGAGTCTCAGCAATCACGTGCAGTCTCTGAGAAATATAGGCGCCTTAATCATTGGTTTTGGGGTATTTAGGGTTTAGGGTTTAATCGTTGGTTTTGGGGTACATCATAGTATCATTACAGTACATAAGGAAGCTGAGGAGTCTAGGAATCTATTGGTGGTTATTCCTGCCTCTTTAGTCCTCGGTTCTTTGCCATAAGGGGGTCATAGGTCGTGCCCTGAACCCCACTTACTCCTAAACTCAATTCTCTGATGAATCCTAAAACCTAGACCCTATTACGCCCTATAGTGAAGCCCAGAAAGTTGGAACATGGATTTAGGACAATTGCTGCCGGGATTTCCTATACCTTACCTTACGGACATAAGGAGAATGATGTTCCAACTCTCTGGCTTCCAGTGTAAACCTTCAACCTTTCGAGGTTCGGCTTCTGGGCAGAGGACTTGTCATGCATGGAGATCAGCCTACCCTCCGCGAGTACCCCTCGCGCTGTGTGGGTTTCCTGCTTTTTCTCCTCGTGAACGTCTGGCCCGGAAGGCGCCTCATGCACACCCCAAAACCCTATTCTAGTTATGAAGGCCGGATATTGCGCATGAACTTGGGAAGAACACATCCCCCTAACCCCTTATCGAGATGTTCTTTCCAAGGGGGTATGTCCAGACGGCATTGCTGCTGCCCTGCACTGAACCCTACCCCCGGAACATCCTCGGATCACAGATCCTGGAGCCTAAAGCCGATACCTGGGGTACCTCATTTTGGGGTCCTTTTAGTAAGGATCCTATTATTCAGGCTACCATAGTATGGTCTCCTATTTTCGGAAACTCCCACCTGATGAATCCTAGACAATTCCAGTCGAAGCCTCAAAAACTTAGCTCGGAAACCAGTGTAGCCGCATCCCGTTTTGGCATTTAGTCCACGTGCCTGCAGGAACGGTAATCGCATTCAGTCTGTATCAGTTCACCTGTCGACCAAACCCAACAGGTTCTGCACCTGGTTCTAGGGTTATCCCATGGGTCATAATGAGGTATTTGGGTTTGAGATAACAGTAATCAATGGAGGTTAGGAATTGGGGGAGTATATCCTTGGGGTTATCCTACCAAACCCTAAATGTAAACCCTACACGTCGGATCAGACCCACGACCGTCCCAAAGGTCGTGGTCAGCGGCGCGACAGGGAGTGGCAAAACCACGCAGGTGGTTCGGTTTGGATCTGGGGCCTACCTGGACGCGAGAAAACATTCCGTTTTAGGGCTCCTTATTATATCCGATTTCCTTATATAGGTCCTCAAAAGGTAGGTTATTTGGCGTCCAGGGTTCAAGATGGAGTACCGCAATTCAACAAATTATAGCTTGGACACCGAATAAACACGAGCTGGGGCTGCGCCGCCTTTCCTGCTTTTTGTTCGAGGATTCCGGCTATTCTCGTTCCCGCTCCGAGGGTCCTTCTGGTTACAGTGAAGAATCAATTCGTTTGATGGAAGTAGGATCCTGGATATATCAAGGACTCTGTTTCTAGCCCGACAGTTGCAAAAAAGAGCCCAGCACCCCATTGAACACTTAACTAGATAAACCCTTCATACAACTACGTAAGATATTGGAGCAAAGGCGCGCTCTAAATCCCTTATCGTAGCTGGCTGCCCTAGAAAGCCCTGGCAGAAGCTTCTCCAGAACATCTAACCGCCGAACCAGACTTGCACAGGTTCCCCAGTATGTGCTGGAGCATGCGCTCGAAGGGCCACCTGAAGCGTCGAGGCCTAAGGTGTACGGAATCCCAACATTATCCTTAAACCGTTCACTGTATGAGCTTTCAGGATCTATGTAGTATTTTTGCATTCAGGCTTGAGGCTTGAGAGATTTAGAGTTTAGGAGTTTCTGGTCGGCCCTAAATCAAGATCCGACAGCCATTCCCTGTCATCGAAACCTACCCAGCGTCTCCAAAAACGCCTCCTGTAAGAACCCTAAACCCTAAACCCTAAACCCTAAACCCCGAAACCTCAAGTCAAGGGAGCCCCAAAGGTTCCTTATGCCAAGAGTCGGTAGAGCAAGGGCTCTATAGCAAGGAGTGGAATTTGTGCAAACCCATTAAATGCAAAGGTTTAACCCCCGTGCCTAAAGCTTCCATTCCCAAACCCTACTCACTGATGCCCTGTGCCGATACCTCCAGCCCTACATTACATCCTTGACCATACTCGCCCTTAGCTGGACTAAGGCCCCTTCCACAGATCATCGTCACCGAGCCGCGACGAATCTCGGCAGTGCCGTACTCGGAGCGAACCGTCTTCCGTGAGGGGTTCGATGGCCTCCTCCGTGGAGGATTCCTCTTTGGGGGTCCCATAAGGGGGTTTAGGGTTCCTGTAAGGGTTCCTTCAAGGGGTTTAGGTTGTTTAGGGTTCCTTGAAGGGTTCCTGCGAGGGTTCCTCGAAAACGGGAAAGAGTAGAGTACAGGTTTTCAGGATATGGGTTTCGGGGGTGTTTAGGGGTGCCGGTTTAGGGTTGTGCTTATCCTGCTCAGATTTCCTTAAGAGATCAAGGCAAGCCTCTGAGGGCTGTGTGATTGGGGACTTGAAGCTCGGAGAGAAGAGTGAAGATGGCAGCTTCCATCTGCCATAACAGGCACTATGGTCTACATTCCTGGATAATGCGTCTCTGTTGCACCAACATGCGGGTCCAATAGACTAGGACCCTAAATCTCAAAAACTAACCTAGGCCATCCGTCAATCCGTAATGTAGTGTAGACCCCTGATAAATGGACCCCCTTGGTTTCAAGTCCTGCATCCCGGCAAAGGGGCGGAGAGAGTGAATGAATCAGGGCCCGCAACAAACTTCAGCCCCCAGCTAGCATGGTAAGCATCGGAACCCTGCGCTAATGGGTGTCTTGCTGAAAAGGCTGGTTCATTTGCACGACATTTCCTTGGAGCGAGTTTCGGGGTTTCCTTGATATGCCGAATGAAATGCTACGGTATGTATTGATGTAGGTGGCGAAAACATGGATTGTTTCAGAAAAAGCACGACTTTTTTTGTCGCACCTCGTTTGAAATGTGAAACCACCTGTTCAACGAAACACCCACTTTGCTGTCTGGATCTTAGTAGGGAATGGGGGAATGGGTCCCTGTAGTAGCCCCTATATAATCCCCAATAATAGTCCCCATAACCCGTCATAGATCCCGTATAGCAGCCTCATAGATCCTTTAAAGGAACCCTGAAAGAACCCCTGTAAAAGGAACCCTTAAAGAGACCCATTCCTCCATTCCCTACTAAGAACCAGACACTTTGAGATTCAGGGTCGCATCCTCATGCCGACTTTTAGAAGGTTGAAATACCCCAAACACCCTGAGACTGAAGTCCCCAAACCTGAAGCAGTCTGAAACGAAAACCCTGCATCTCCTAGACCCTAAAGCTCTGAAAAGCCTAAACCCTAAACACCAAATCCTAAAGCTTGCAAACCCTAAACCCTAAATCCCGAAGCTCTGAAAGCTGTAAAGCCCCATGCGTTCGTAGCCGAGAAGGCTCAAGTTCTAACCCCTCCCTTGGCCGAAAAGACGTGGCTGAGGTCTCCATGCCCCCAGTCTGCAGATGATGGCTTATCTGAGTAGTTTTAGTGTCTGTGATGATTTTAATGCTATTACTATGGTTCTTCTTCAAACTGTTATAGTTATGCTTATCAGTATGGTTGGCAATATTATGGTTATTGTTGTTGTTTTTGATGTTAGTATCATTGTCGTGATTCTTATTGCTTTAACTATTTCTATGATTACTGCTGTTGTCATGTTGTTCTCATGGCCATTACTGTTGTCATTAGTGTTACGCTTATATAAGACTATTGTTATTGTTACTGCTTTGGTCTCGTTTCTTCGCGGGGACCGCGGGGTGGCTGCGCGTGGCGGGCTAGGTATTAATGAGGTGGGAAGGACCTGCAGTTTATGGTTTAGAGTTTGGGGTGTAGGGTGTAAGTTTAGGGTTCAGGGTTCGAGGTTTAGGGTTTGGAGTTTAGGGTTTAGAGTTTTTCAGTTTGGGGTTTAGAGTTTAGAGTTTACCAGGAACCCCCGTCTCTGTTCGCCATGGAGGGTTGCTTGTGTTCACGAGTTTTCATTGGAAGAAACAGGATGTACGCCCCGTTTATGCTTCGAAGGACAACCCTTAGTCAGGGTTCTGGACAGGGTGGAAGGTGGTTGCTTTACGGATGCTTCCGTCTACTTCCTAGGATGCCCAGTAGTACCCTTATTGCTTTTCCGGGGTCCTAGCTTCCTTATACAACTACCCAATACCAAAAAGGGAGCCCCATTTTTTCCTAGGTTACTGGGCATCCCAGCTTCCGAAGGCTTTTCAGTTCAGTCTCGGGCTAGGCCTTCAAGGGGTTCCTGGGCTTATGCAGATGTGCTACTTGCAGAGATGCTGCCATGTGCCCCGTCGAACTGATATCGGTTTCAAGGCCCAAGACCGTTTCACAGAGATCTCTTGTGCCCAAACCTCAAGACCATCGCTATGTAGCGGACAACTGAACCTTCCCTTGCCACAGGCCGAAGATCTGAGCGATGCCCATGTACCTGCATCTCGGCAGCCACAATAATGCGAAGTTACACTTAGACTCTACAAACTGCTATACGTACCCCCGCCCCCAACCCCAAACCCCATTTTAAATCATCATGTCCCACAGCCAGAGTCTCTTCTTGCTTTATCAAGCTCTTGGCACCCATCTGGCGTGCTAAACCGGAAACCCAACCGAGAGACCCCAAAGCCCCGAAGCCTAACACCCAGGTCCAGGCTTTGGGTCAGCGAGAGGGATGTGAAACAACGGTAATGCCGGTAGTATTAAAGCACTGCAACAACTTACAATCATACTAAAATGCAAACGAACATGTTGCTGGGCATAATGCAGGTGATACTTTTAGTAGCACAAAGGACATCAGTAAGCACAGGATCAGTGGTTAAGGAATGATAGCAGTCAGGCCTAAAGCTTTGCCCGGATCTGGTAGGTTGGCTTCGTCTCTCGGCAATCAATCCCCAAAACCAGAGAGCGGATCGGTAGTTGATTCTGGCCTTTGAAGCAAGGCCTAGATAATGTTGCTGTAATGCGTATCGCATGGACAATGCGCATGCCAAGACGAGCAGAGGCAAAGAAGCCACACTACTATGCCGCTATGCATCAGCGCCACCATCACCGTCACAGTCCTCGTCTTCAGCGCCAGGGTTGTAGTGATAATAGGACGAGTACAGTAGCAGTAGTAACAGCACTGACGGCTTTCGTGCCGCCCGGAATCTACATTCCGGATCCTAACCTCCAACTTTACAGCCTGAAACCTCAACCAACCTGAAAACCAAGACCGTAAAACCCAAACCCTGAACCCCCAACTGCCCAAAACCCCAAGCCTAAGCCACTCCAAAGCCCAAACCCTGAGACCTAAACCATAATTCCTGAACCTTCCTGAGCCCTCGTAAGCCTCGTCTAAGCTCTGATCCTTGAGGACCCTGGTGCTCTTTGGCGCCCTGGTCAGATCCCAAGCTCCGAGGATGTAGGGTTCAGGTACGAGGGTGTGGGGTTTAGGTTCAGGGAAGATTATAGGTTTTCGGGTATGAGGGTTTAGGGTTCAGGTATCAGGCTTTAGGGTGTAGGGTTTGGGGGTTTAGGGTGTAGGGTTTAGGGTTTAGGGCTGTAAGGGTTTAGGTCGTAGGTCCCCAGCTTCTGGGGTCCTAGGTTTAGGGCTCAGTTTTTAGGGTGTCGGATTTAGGTCTAGGGAGCAGGTCTCCAGGTCTAGGTTCTACACTTTTAGATCCCAAGCGCCATGCCAGGATTGAACTGGGGATGCAAGGGTTCTAGTTTTGGGGTTTAGGGTTCTGGGTTCAGTATCTTTTTGTAGCGTGGCGCCGCGGGGGTCCACTGTTTTTTTTTTTTTCCTAGGTCTGGCCTGGTCTGGGGGGCCTTGCTAGGTCTGGTCCCATGGTCCCTTGGTCCCCTGGCCCTTTGGTCCTCTGGTCCTGGTCCCCTGGTCCTTTGGTCCTCCGGTCCCCTGGTCCCTGGTCCGCTGGTTCCCTGGTCTCTCCTGGTCCTGTACCCCCAAACCCTCAAACCGCCAAGACTTGAGCCAAGCTTTCTTCCTCATACTTCTCAACATTCAGGAGTGAGTGCATCAAGCACTCATCCAAGACTGCTTGTACCGGCACGGGAAATGCTTTACATCCAAGGTCCCTTGGTCCCCTGGCCCTTTGGTCCTCTGGTCCTGGTCCCCTGGTCCTTTGGTCCTCCGGTCTTCTGGTCCCTGGTCCCCTGGTTCCCTGGTCTCTCCTGGTCCTGTGCCCCTAAACCCTCAAACCGCGAAGACTTGAGCCAAGCTTTCCTCCCTCATACTTCTCAACATTCAGGAGTGAGTGCATCAAGCACTCATCCAAGACTGCTTGTACCGGCACGGGACATGCTTTACATCCAACGCGGATGAACCAAAGGACGAGTCGGGAAACATTTTCCAAAGTAATGCTCGCTCGCGAGCTGATGGCCAAATGCCCTCAGCCACAGACCCTGAGCCCGATGAGTTAGTTGCAAGCCTCACACGCCAAACCTTGAACCCTAAACCCCAAACCTGAAACGCCGGACCCAAAGCTTGGCGCTCGCTTCCATGGCCTCGAAGTCTTGGAGCCATGGCACGCAAGCCTCTCGCGACGAAGGCGGGTCGGGAGATGAGTTTGGTACCGGCGCAAAAAAATCGCACAAGCACAAGAACACACCGCAAATTGTAGTTCCCTAGTGGCTTCATGCAAAAGACAAGCAGATGAACACACCGCAAATTCTAGTTCCCTAATAGCTTCAAGCAGAACACAAGCAGAAGAAGACCCTGCGAATTGTAGTTCCCCAATAGCTTGATGCAAAACACAAGCAACACCGATCCCTGCAAATGCGAACCCCCCAATAGCTTCATGCAAAACACAAAGAAAACCGAACCCTGCAACTTGTGGTTCCCCAACAGCTTCATGCTAAACACAAGCAAAATCAGACTCCGCAAGTTGTAGTTCCCCAATAGCTTCATGCAAAACAGAAGCAAAACCAGAGCCGTCGAATTCTAGTTCCCCAATAGCTTGATGCAGCAAAGACCGCAGTTGCCGCTGTTGGCAACCACAACCAGTGGGCCAGACTTAGGAAAGCAAGCCGGGGAGGGCCAGACTTAGGAAAAAAAAAACCGCTCCGCCGCGGAGTGGTGGCTTAGGGGGTAGGCGATGGTTCGTGGTTTACGGCTGTTGATGTAAATCCTGCATTCCCCATAATAAGGAATATTATGCCGTAATTCCCATGCTCGAGGGTCATTAGGGTAATGCAGGATTCACATCATCAGCCGTTTGCCTTAGTGAGGATCGAAGTTGTCGTTGCACAAGGCCTGCAAGCTGCATAAGACAGCCTCGTATACGAAGACTGCAAAAGTAACTTAGTACCTAGAGAGTTTAGGATTTGGAGGGTTTGGGGTTTAGGGTTTAGGACACATCAATCGAGTGTTCTGTCTGTGGGGCTGGCTTGTGCAAGTGCAGGCAGTCCTTGTAGATGAGACGTCTCCTCGAGGATTTTCTGCGTAAGGACTGCAGGTCATCGTTGAGGACCTGACCCCCCAACTAACTCTGGTTAGTAAGTCTGGTCATTGAAGCCTCCATGCCTGCTGAGCGGCACTTGGTGGCTGGGCTTAACTGGGGAAACTATGACGAGCTTGCTGAGAGTTCCTGGACCTATCTCCCTTTGCAAACCAATGCCGCCGAGAGCATGCGAAAGACATGCAGGAGCAGGCTTTCATGCACTGGCTCAACAGTGCCAGGAAATCTTCAGAGATTCTTCCTTACTTGGAGGATCATGGGACTTAGTAAGTTAGGTTAGAAGTACCTTAGTTGGGGTTATAAGTAATTATAAGTATAGTTACCTTAATTATAACCCTAGTTACTAAGTCCCATGATCCTTCAAGTATGCTCACTCGACAATGCCACAGACGAGACTACCTTGCGAGCACTCGAGGCTACTCCAGCACAAGTCTGCCCTCGCCAGATGCGGCTGCTGGGCTCTACTATAGGGGCTTCTATGATTTCCTAGATTATTTTGGGGGTTCCTTGCTAGTAATGTAGTATGGTATAATGGGCCCCAAGGCCCTATCCTAATTATTAAGGCCCCGACTGTCTTCATATACGGGGGTTTCCGAAAATGAAGGGACCCAAATATAGTACCCTACATGGTAGTATCCTTATTCTAAGGACACCAAAATATGGTACGTTATGATCGTGCGCTTCAGCGGTGTAGCTCCGTTCATCGTCTTGTCTCCTACCTGCTCTGCTGGCTGCCTTGAAGTTGCGGTTTAGGGTTTAGGGTTTAGGGTTCAGGGTTTAGGGTTTAGGGTTCAGGGTTTAGGGTTTAGGGTTCAGGGTTTAGGGTTTAGGGTTTCTCGTGCTGGTCAGCATTGCAGGTCTGTCAAACCCAAAGCCCAACACCCAAAGCCTCGAGCCTTAACCCCTCACACCCGAACCCCCAGATATTAACCCTAACCCTTCAAGCCCGTAATATACCGTCATAGGGTTTAGGATTCAGTTTCCGAGAAACCTGCAACACTGTGCCTGCGAGGCCCTCCCTGTTTCGAGCACAATCGTGCAGGTGGAGCGCAACGGCCTCTCGCCAGGTTTTATCAGGGTTAATCATTATATAGGAGTCCAAACGGCTGGTACAAGGGCTTTATACAGGGCGGTTCTGATGCCGTGCAATGGTTTAATGGCGTTTTTCAGTGTTAGGATTATTTGACTTTGCCCTGGTTACGGCTCGCTAACCCTTGCACTGCCTATAATTCAAAACTCATGAGGCTTTCAGGCCTCATTACAGTACGGCTTGGACTCCAAGTATGTTGGTTCTTCTGAGGTGCAAATTCCAAACCCTACACCTAAAACCCTCACACCCAAGCTACGGGTAGGACTTGGTAGGGTTGATGATCGTTTCGTTCCTGGACCCCCAACTACCCTCCAATATACCCCAAATACCCACCATTTCAGGATCATAAGTTCTCCATTGGAGGGCACTGGGGGGGTGCTGTGAATCAGGGTTGAAGATAGAAAATTTAGAATATTGGCTAGAAGGTTTGGAAGATTCAACCCGAAACGCTTGTAGCCCACAGCCCCACGAGCCCCTCTAAAGGCCTGACAAAACCCTTTACATAGCCCATGAGAAACCTTCTACCTTTCTTCTTGACCTCTGTCGCACGAGCGTTATGCTGGAGGTGCAGGAGGTGGCGCATCCCGACAACAGTAAACCCTTCTAACACCCTTGTAATATGCACGCACAATGCGTTATGCAGGTCAATGTCTTCTAAAACCTTATGAAACCCGTTTAAACGCATACAGACCTTACATAGCCCAATGCCTCCAAGGGCCTTACTGGAGGCCTTGGGTAGGTCTTCTAACGGCCTTCCAACCAGCACTGTAAGCTCAAAGCCCTAAACCCTAAACCCTAAGCCGAGAGCCCAGGAACATCTTTGTCTCGTTCCTTTCGGGATCCCGGGAGTCTGCTGGAGGCTTAGGGTTTAGGGTTCAGGGTTTCGGGGATAGGGTTTAGGGTATAGGGTTTGGGGTTTAGAGTTTAGGGTCCGGCGAGTTCGAGATCTTCAACTAGGTTTTTAGGGTTTAGGCCAGGCTTCAGGAAGTCCGGTTTGGTTCTGGCCTTCGGTTTTATAGGACTTAGGGTTTTAGGCTTGAGGCACTCGGATTTCGAGTGCAGGACTCTGGGTTTGCGGTTTAGGGTGTGTTACGTGTAGGTACAGGGTTTAGGGTGTCCAGGGCTTTGCTGCGGTTTCTGTGAGCTCAACTAGGGTTTAAGATGATTCAAGGTTTGAGGGCTTGATGGTTTGGGGGACTGCTTACGGCATAGGGTTTTGGCGTTCAGAGGTTCAGAGTTGAGGCTTTCAGGTGTGGTTTAGGGTCGGGGGAAGCGGATGTGACCGGCAGACCGTTGATGTGGCTCAACATTTAACTGAATGTGGCCGGGTTTCCCGATGTGGGACATTCACATGTTTGACGTCAATGAAGCCGAACAGTTTGCGCGGAAATCTGGCGAGCTTAGCAACCACATATCGCTCAGGAAAAGAGCAGAGAGAGCTGCTGTTGTCATCGTCGCAACGAATGTGAGTCAACGTTTACATCCTGGCTTACTTGGCACTTGCGCTTCGCATCATGGAACAACATGGCGATGTGGCAGGGCTCTTTTCTGCGATCATAGGCAGGTTCATGATGGTCATTTCCGACGCCGCCACAGCCACCGTCATCTGCATCATCGTCATCATCATCATCGTCAGCATCATCGTCACCGACAGCATCATCGCCATCTTTGCCAGCATCCTCCTTAGCATCATCAATAGCCGAAATGGCGTGATGGCCGCGGCCGCAACCTTACACGCTCAAAGGCCCCATTAAGCGCGAAACTGTCCAGGCCCTATAAATTAATTTGACCCGAAACTGAAACTGCAACCCTTATCGAGCGTATACGAAACGTACGACAGAGGCTTGATGACGGCTGGAGGTAACCAGATGTTGGCTCATGAGGGCTTTGGCTTGAAGCCTGAATTTCTAAGTATTAATTACTGCTTTTTCCGTAGGGCTCCTAGATATTTTTTCTTAGTGTACACGCTCATAGCACCGACCCAATCTAGATTCGGGCAGTTGTCAAAATTGGGGTCCCTTTCTGGGTTTCCTGAAAGGGCCTACAATTTGACAACCACCCATTTCCCTAAACCCTAAACCCTAAACCCCTAAACCCCTAAACCCCCAAACCCTAAACCCGAAACCCGACACCCTTGTGTATGAGCCTTGGTTGCGCAGGCGCACTCCAGCGCTGCGGCCCCATCGGAGCACTGCGGCCCAGATCCGGGGGATGTTGAGCTTCAGGGTTTTGGGTTTTGGGTTTTGGGTTTAGGGTTTACGGGTTTAGGCTTCAGGGCTCTGGGCAAGCCTACTTGGAGGTTCATGGGTAGTGAAACGGGTTCCTGTGAGGGTTTAGGGTCTACTTGGAGGTTCATGGGTACTTATAAGTAGGGTTATAAGTAGGGTAACCATAGTTATAACCCATATTAGGGGACTTATTTATAAGCCCACTTAGAACTACCCATGAACCCATACCCCAAACCCTAATCCCTAAGCCCCAAACCCCAAACCCGAAACCCTAAGGCCTGAACTACCACCTTTCGCCTCTGAGATATGCCGGCCTCAGCGTCTTCATCGCCGGGGCCACCTTTGGGGCCATTGTCTGAGAAGGGTTTAGGGCGGAAGTTTCAGAGAGGTTGTTGGTTTGGGGGTTTAGGGGTTTAGGGGTTTAGGATTTAGGGCTTTAGGGTTTGGGTTTCAGGGTTGAGGGTTCAGAGTTGAGGGTTTAGGGCCCAGGGTTTAATTGGGGGTTTGGTGGCTTTCGGAGAAGAAGAAGAGGGTGCTATAAGGGACGCCAAGGCAAGCTATTACAAAGGTACCATCACCAAGGTCACCCTGAGGTTGTGTCTGATGCTCATTGTAAAGTTCTGCTAGGATAATCATATGGTTTTGCAAGCCATGTGTTGACTGCAAGAATGATACGGCAATGAGAGATAAGGAAGGATTACCATGGCCATAAGGGCTATGAGTAAGGGTGCAATACGGCTCATGTATGTATATATATATATATATACACACACCCATACTTGACATTGACAGCACACTACAACAGCTACCGTAAGGGTACTAGGGTTCCGACAAGGGTACTGCACCGGTTTCGATATCCTACAGCCTGCATATCCACCTTGCAACAAGGTTCCCCAAATCTTGACACCAAAGCCCCTTTTTCTCAACCCGAAACTCCTGACCCGAAGCCCCAAAAGAGCAGCTGTAGCAAGGCTACATCATCATCATCATTATCATGATCCTAATCCTGACCCTGATCCTGATCTTCATCCTCATCCTCATCCTCATCCTCGTCCTCATCCTCATCATGATTATCGACACGATACATCGTCATCATCATTATCATCATCATCATCAAGCACAGCATCGCCAGCATGATTGCCGCGAAAGTCACCAATGGACACTGTACATATATGTATGTATGTGTAGTGGCATACCCCTTGCTTTGAACAACATCGTGGTGCAGAGAGTGTAGGGTCGTGGGCGCATCGGGGGGTGGGTGAGGGTAACCCTGCACTTGGATCCTACTGCCAGACCCGAAGGGTCCTGAGTACCTATAGGGGGTTACTTGCCCTTAGAGCACCGTTTCAAAGAATACGTAATTACCAATCTTATTCCTGAGGGCTCCTTCTTAGCAAATTACACCCACATATACCTCCAACCACCTATTCTCACTAATGATTAAGGCCCCTAACATATCTCCTTGAGTTGCAAGTTCCGAGATTCTGTGCAGGTCCTGACCTGTGCTATCGTCTTTGCTTTCCTGGTGGGCTGCCAAGCCGGGCCCTAAATGCCAGGAACTCCCAGGTTTTGGGTTTAGGAGTTTGGGAGTTTAGGGTTCAGGGTTTAGGGTTTAGAGGGGTTTAGGGGTAAGGGTTTTGGGGGTTTTTGGTTTAGGAGTTTAGGGCTTTTCGTAAGTGGTTATGGGAGTTCATTGATTTTCTTGTTGATTTAGGATTCAGGGTTTGAAAATAGATGCAATTACAAGCTTTGACAGAAGCTTCGGTTTCATGCTTGGTCTTCATAGGTCATGGGGCTTGGTAGAGTGTCCTGGCTTTTCTTGGTGTTCTAGTTTGCAGACTCTGAAACTTCGAGGTTCCGCTAAACCCTGAACTCCAAGTGTTTCGCACTCAACTCCCGACCCGACGCGCAGGCAAGGATGAGAACATTCAGATTCGGCTATCCCAAAGGGTACTAAGTGGAATGTGGGTTTAGGTTGTAGGGTTTCTACAACAGGAATTATTAGTATGAATTTGGCAGGCATCCCTCTTCTGGGAGCCCTCAAAGGACCCGTTGAAGTTGTTGTGGTTGTTGTTCATGCTTACTTTTGCTGTTTGTTTGCCTATGTTTACCGCCGGGTCTTGTCACAGTTCTTGTTCGGCTCCACGTGTGCAACACATGCGAGTGTAGGGCTTCGGGGCTATAAACCCGTCACTCGCAAACCCTAGACATCCTGAACCCTGATGAGAGACTTATCTAACCATTGGTATTGGGGGAGCTAAGGAGCCAGGGATGATGATAGTCCCTCCTAAATAAGGAGCTAAAGAGCCAAGGGAACCCCAAAACCTCTGGTTAGTTATAGTCTCACAAACCAACCCCTAAACCTCATGCAGCCGTTTCCGCGTCTGTCGCATTAGCAAATGGCGACGGCGCTCCGGATGTTCACACAACAAACAATATGCTGAAGCCCAAAGCTTCTCCTTGAACCCGAAACCTTAGAACACAGATCCCAAGGCTCTGGGTTTGGCGCTGAACTTTAAAACGTCAAGCCCGACATTTCCAAAGCCGAATACTAAACAGCAGCCAAGGTCCTCCGTGTCGTCGAACCAGGAAGTGCCGTCGCAGAGTCCTGCCAGGTGCGCAAGACATTCCTGCTATTATAGGCGCTTTAATAGTTAGAATGGAGTTCTGGGGCATAGTATATTATGATAAAACAAAAATTAATGGATATTCTTATACTATGGTAAAACAAAAACAAGAAAGCGTAGGAATAACTCGTATTTGTTTGGGTCCCTTTTTTAGGTATCCGTTTTTCGGCTCGAAGGCTCGTTCGCAGCAGGCCCTGAGCATAAACCCGCGACCCGGAACCCCTAACCCCTGAGCTCTGCTACTGGGAGGTTCGGTTTAGGGTTTAGGGTTTAGGGTTATAAGTAGGGGTATAAGTAGGGTAACTCCACTTATAACCCATATTAGGAGACCTATTTCCCCATTTATAACTACCCATGAACCTCCAAGTACTGGTAGCCAACCTAGGATGGGTAGAGGGCAAAAAGGAGTTCAATACAAACAACCGGCGGCAAACCCACTGGCTTGATGTGAGCTGAAATCGGGCTCGTGCATATACATATATATATACATATATATATATATATGTATGTAGGGAAGTTTAGAAGTATGGTGAGAGTGCATTCGGGTTTCGATTATGGAGATGCAATTAAACACCGGCCATTCTATAATACCCTGATTGTATAAAAAGTATGTAGTTGCCGCCGTACCTTTTTGTGTTCATGTTTAGGAAGCTGTATCACTGGCAACGACTGCGCAGGAGCCTCCTCCAGCTTCGCAAATCGTCTGCGACACACCGCAGGCCTGCAATGCCCTAACGGTAGGGTTTAGGGTATAGGGTTGTGAAAATACCTTACCTGCCCTACCTGTAGCCGAAAAGACCTACTTTTTTCAGGAACTATATATAGACCATAATAGGGCACCCTAAAAGGTTTTTTTTTCAGGGCTGCAGGTAAGGGTCCATGTCCTAAATAGTACATACTTTACCCTATGCAGGTACTTTACGGCCGAAGTATAATGTTTGGGTACATGGACCCTTAGGGATAGGGGGGGTTAATCATTAGCAATGCTCGTAATGAGGCTCCCCACAAAGCTATGAAGCTATGTGCACAGTACGCCCATGAGTTAATCTAGAATAATTGGCAAACTAGTTATGCAATTTTTAGTTAACTGATGATGTATTAATTTGTCTCTTTAATGAAATATCGAATCATCTAAGTTAATTAATGAATTCAGTACTTGCTTTCTTTTGTTTTTTGCATGCGGCATGACCGCAGTTCTAAGCCCTAACTGGATTGCACTGGGAGAAAGGAATCCTGCAGGCATTCAATGCCCTAACCGCCCAAGCCCAAGTTTCACAATGTTTAACTCCTAAACTCGAAACCTTCAACCCTGAACCCTCTGCCTTCCTGAAACTTAAGACCTAAACTCGCAACCCGAAGCCCTACTTGAAGGATCATGGGACTTAGTAACTAGGGTTGTAATTAAGGTAGTCATACTTATAATTGTTTCTGACCCCAATTAAGGTACTTATAACCTAACTTACTAAGTCCCCTGATCCTCCAAGTAAGCCTTAACCCCGATCCCTAAATTTTCAACCTTCAACCCGCAACCCTGAGCCTTCAATCCCGAACCCTATACAATGCCCAGATCGAGTCGCTACATCTTTTTTGGCCGCGCTTTCGGTGGCTGGCGGCGATGATGATCTTCCAGACCCTTGCCGCCGAGGGGTTTAGGATGTGCGGGGGTTTCGCACAGGGGTTTAGGGTGTAGGATGCTCCATGAAGCGGCTGTCGTGGTGTTTAAGCTTCAGGGCTTTGGGTTTGTGTAGGGTCAAGTCCCCTTAGCATGTTTGGTCCTGGGTCCCTGCTGCTGTTACTGGTGGCTGGATGGTTGCATATAGCTGAATCGGATGAAGGCGGCCCCGGTACTGTTACCCTAAACCCTAAACCCTAAACCCTAAACCCTGAACCCTAAACCCTAAACCCTAAACCCTGAACCCTAAACCCTAAACCCTAAACCCTGAACCCTAAACCCTAAACCCTAAACCCTGAACCCTAAACCCTAAACCCTAAACCCTGAACCCTAAACCCTAAACCCTAAACCCTTAGGTTTCTTTTGTTTGTCGGGTGTGGCCTTTACGTACACGTGTAGGCTTGGTCTTCAGGGCGCTGCATGTGCAGGCTTGCCCGATGTTGAACTCGCTTCTTCTGGGTTCTTGTTTATGGTTTAGGGTTCTTGTTAAAGGATATAGTTCAGTTTAAGTTTCCACAGTCGGGATCTATAGTAAATAATGTGGTTTCCTTGCTATGGTAGCTTGAATTAACAAGAAACCAATCTTGTGATCCGTGGCAGGACACTGTTCCCCTGTATCTCATTCAATGAACTACGGATCACTACAGTGCAGCCCGAGTGCAACCAGACATCCTTACTCAATGACGTGGTATTTAACTGTCGCATTTTACGAGGTCGTGAGTTTGACTCAAATTGCAAGCTCACGGCGGTAGTGTCGGGGAGAAGGGGCCTTGGGGCGGCCGGACCAAGTTTCATTGCGGTTCAAAAACCTGACCGGAACATAGTAGTAAGATATGTCGTTGATTTCCTTGATTGTATGTCGAGAGGTTATGCATCAGAACTATTGCGTTACCGTATTGCTCTATGGTGAGAATACTTTCTCATCAAGCGCAGGGATTTTTGTCATTCTGCAACTTGTGGTGGTGGAGCCTTGCAACCGGGGTCGGTTTCACCGGAAAGTACCAGAAACACTACCCACCCATTGTAGTCCCTGTTTAGCTATCGCCTCATTTGTCCCAGCACCCTAGTCTGATTATCTAGGACCCAGAGTAGGGCCTTATTCCCTTTTTGAGAGTTTCGGTTCCCTTATAATCCCCTTTAAACCAAAAAGGGCACCCTTTTGTCCTTACGTTACTCTTAGGTCTAGCTATTTTGGCCCTTGTATTTAATCCCCAACCGTCGCAAGGAGTGTAGCCAGCTTCATCCTCGCTCACTTTCAACACCTCGTTGAGAGGCCCGACCTGCCCACTTAGGTAGGGCTTTGGGACATTTTTTGCGACATTTTATATTTTCCCTTATTGGGCTTAAGAGGATCTTATTTACTAATATTTTTCAAAAGCTTTAGAAGCCAGACCTGCCCACGTTCGATTCGAAGTTGGCAGCTGTCGCGATGTTCTCATGAGCCCTTAGCCCTGAAACTCCTAAACCCGGCCAGCCCCCCGAAATTCCGCAAGCCACGAAAACACTCAAAACTTAGGGTTTAGGGTTTAGGGTTTAGGGTTTAGGGTGGGCAACACTTTAGACAGCTAAGTCAATTTCAGTGTTTAGTGAGGCCGCGAGCTGTGCAACCAGTTGGTTCAAAGTCTGGGAGTGCATGTTGGGTCAGAGCAGTCTGTCCAGAACGAATTTAGAACGCCCCACAGAGGACAACATGTCCTCTAACAGCTTCAATCAATCTGCAGAGGAAAGTCTATGTTTATTAAAGGAGGGATGATCTCCAAGCCTCCAGCCATACTCTCCCCCGATGCAGTCATGCGGACCTCATCATCTTCTTGACCATGCTTGTTGGTCTCGGAGGCCAGTGCTGTGCAAAGCTTCCCTAAACCCTAAGCCCTGAACCCTAAGCCCTAAACCCTGAGCCCTAAACCCTAAACCCTAAGCCCTGAACCCTCAACCCTAAACCCTAAACCCTAAGCCCTAAACCCTAAACCCTAAAGCCTTAAACCCTGAATCTTAAGCCCTAAGCCCTAAAGCCCTAAAGCCCTAAACCCTAAGCCCTCAACCCTAAACCCTAAGCCCTAAGCCCTAAGGTCCAGGTTCCAAGCTCGGGGCTCCGGTTGCATGTAGCATCGTGAGGCTGGGTCCCTGAGCTCTTACCTCTTGCTTAGGGTTTAGGGGTTTTGGGATTTAGGGGTTTAGGGTTTAGGGGTTTAGGGGTTTAGGGATTTAGGGGTTTAGGGTTTAGGGGTTTAGGGTTTAGGGGTTTAGGGATTTAGGGTTTAGGGGTTTAGGGGTTTAGGGGTTTAGGGGTTCAGGGGTTCAGGGGTTTAGGGATTTAGGGGTCTGGGGTTTAGGGGTTTAGGGGTTTAGGGTTTAGGGATTTAGGGGTTTAGGGTTTAGGGTTTAGGCATTTAGGGTTTAGGGATTTAGGGATTTAGGGGTTTAGGGGTTGAGGGTTTAGGGATTTAGGGGTTTAGGGTTTAGGGGTTTAGGGGTTTAGGGGTTTAGGGTTTAGGGGTTTAGGGATTTAGGGGTTTAGGGGTTTAGGGGTTTAGGGTTTAGGGGTTCAGGGGTTCAGGGTTTTAGGGTTTAGGGTTTAGGGATTTAGGGGTTTAGGGGTTTAGGGTTTAGGGGTTTAGGGCTTACCTATAGTCTCCATTGTAGTACCTGTTTTTGGTTTAATCAAATATATAACTAGGGTCATATAAGGTAACCCCAAAAAGGAACCACAACGGAGACTATAGGAAGGGTTTAGGGAGAGCTCTTACCAAGAGCTGGAGTCCCTTCTTGCCCCCACACCCGTGACCTGCAGTGCAGAAATTCGGCCCCGGCTCCTGCAAAGAAGTAGGAGCTCGTGGAGGACGAACCCGTGGGTTGAAACTGAGAAGACTGGCAGATAAGTACAGTAGTATGCAAGCGTTTGGATCTGCAAGGTTGATAGAATGATAAATCTCAGGCACATCTCTCCTACGTACTTGCGCTCATTGAAGAGGGCAGAAGGATGTAAAGCAGCTTTCGCATCAAAGGAACATGCCCTAAACCCTAAGCCCTAGACCCTAAGCCCTAGACCCTAAACCCTAAGCCCCAAACCCTAAACCCTAAACCCTCAACTTCGTGCAGGCGCAAAGAGCTCTCAAAAAACAACAAAAAACCCTCAACCTGGCTGACCCTGGAGGCAACACCGGAGGTCAGAGCGTCGTCCTAACCTGCCGGAAACTGGCGTTGGGCGAGGATGTGGCGATCAGGTTCTGTCCCAAGCGGCCGGGGTTCAGGGGGTGCGGGGGGTGTAGGGTTTAGTAAGGGTTTAGTGGTTTAGTGGTTTAGGGGTTCAGGGTTTGGGTTTTTAAGGTTCGCAATTGCGAGCCACAATCATACAAAACCTACAGAAAACAAAGCCTAATTATACCCGAAATCCTGAATCTAGGGCTTGAGCCCGATAATTGATGGGAGTGGCGATAGTGTTTGGACTCGCAGTGAAACATTAAACTTGAATCCGGGAGGCTAAGACCTAGCTTTCTGATCCTTAACCTGCTGCGCCCAGGCCCAACTCCAACTTCTCTAAGCTCCAAACCCCTGAGCCCAACCCCTAATACAAGCGTCGGAACAGTTAGATATAGTTATCAATAGTATTCCCCCAATAGTCCCCGATCGAATCATAGTATCAAGTAGTATAAGACACCCCTAAACCCTAAACCCTAAACCCCTAAGCCTGAAATCCCTAAACCCTAACCCTCTAACCCTCAAGCCCTTCATCGAACCGAAAGCCCAGCACTCCGACAGAAAGTCGATGATTTGCTCAAGCTCATGGTAAGCACCAGTACTAGTAGTAGTAGTAGTAGTAGTAGTAGTAGTAGTAGTAGTAGTAGCAGCAGTAGTAGTAGTAGTAGTAGTCGTAGTGGTGCCCGGTTCAGGGTTTACGGGTTTAGGGCTCAGAGGTTTAGGGTGTCAGGTTGGGTTTGGGGTTTCAGGGCTTAGAGGTTTAGGGTGGCGGTTTAGGGGTTTAGGGACACCACTCTTTCACCCGAGGATCAACATATTGGCTCCTATGCACTCTTCGGGTCGTGTGTGAATTTGTGGGATTGCGCTTTCACCTAAACCGATGGCAGTAGCAAGAGCAAGTTTATGTGTTGAGAAAAGATAGTATGATGGCGGCAGCAGTAGTAACAAGATAGCATGTAGCGTAGACTTGGTAAGTCCGCACAGAAGAAATCTCTAAATCTTGAACCCTAGCCGTAGCCAGCAAACTTGTTTACACCCTCCGTACACCGCCGCGGTTTCAATTAGCAGGTAAACACCCCCAGACCTCCAGTAAGACCCTGTCTCAACCCGAAACTCGAAGCCCTCAAACACCAACAACATTCTAAAGGAAAACAGCAGAGAAACGCCCTGATTAGCAACCTACTTAAATCCTACACCCCCTAAAACCCAAAAACTCTTCTTCAAGAAACCCTAAACCCTAAACTCTTTATGGTTTACTGTAGGGTTTAGGTTCCTTTTAAAAGCAAAGGCATCAGCTGATTACCGGCCTGCTCTTGGGACTCTCCCTGGCCCCTCTCGCCTTCGCCCGCGCGCTGCTGGTGAAGTCGGCAGGGGCCCAAGCCTGGCAGTGGAGCGCTTGATAAGGTGTAAAGAGTGGGGTTTGGGGTTTGGGATTTAGGTTTTAGTTAGAGAGTGGGGTTTGGGATTTGGGATTTAAGTTTTAGTTTTAGTCTAGGGCTTGGGGTTTGGGATTTGGAATTTAAGTTTCAGTTTTGGTCTAGGGCTTGGGGTTTGGGATTTAGTGTTTAGGATTTTAGTCTAGGTTTTTGTGGGCTGTGTGGGGCTTCTGTAGGGTCTTGATGAGACTGTTCTAGGGTGAATAGGTATAGGGTTTAGTAGGGTTCGCAATAGCACAGACTTGCAGTTTCAGACTTGAAAGTTTGAGGAGGGTTTAGGATGTGGCTTCCGGGACGAGAGATATCCGGTTTCTGTGTTTCGGGGCTTGAATTTCAGCGCCTATGTTCAAGCCCCAAGTGCAAGCTTTAAGCTCTATGCTTTTCCGATTATCAGCGTTAATACTGTTTTCGGTATGAAGTCCAAGGGCGGCTGGGCTCCTTCGTAGGTAGTTGTTGGACCGGACCACACATGATGTCGGGCTTCCTAACATATGAACTTAAGACATGAACAACTCAAACCTCCCTCTAGAAAGCTGAAGGCCCTTTACACCCTCAAGCACCAAACAGACCCTTGGTCCTAAACCCGACAGCTTAAACCCACAATCCTCAACGCTACCCCTAAACCCTGCAAGTCCCAAAGCGTTAAAGGCTAAACTCATTCCCAAAGGGTCCTATGCAACGATATAGTAGAATGTAGGGTTTCCATATTATGAATTACTATTATGACTTAGGGAAGTATTCCCCATAACAGTACATAGGACGCTTTGGGATTGCATTCAACTGACAGGAGTTTGGAGTTTGCCTGACCCTGGCGGGTGCCACCTTCCTCATCGCTACGCTGGCGGCGGGGATTGGCACTGTGCTGCCCAAGCTGCTCCCAGACTCAGGATTTGAGAGCAGTTTTTGTTGCGCTGGTTCTGTGTCCCAGGAACTTGCTCATGTCTGTAGGTGAAGCATGTATGACAGCACCAGGACTTCGAAGAAATCTTTTAATCCGAGACCCACCACACCACACTGTCGGAAATCCCCCGCCCCGGCACAACTTCGAGGTTCAGACCCTCCTTGCAATACTAGGATACCGGCTTAAACCCTAATCCCCTAAACCCTAAACCCTTAAACCCTAAACCCTAAACCGACTCGATCCTTTGAAGCGCTGCAGGTTGCAGAAGCTGAAGCTGGATCCAGGTCAGGCCTCTGCGATGATCCAGGCCGCGGGTTCGCTTCTGCGCGTGCTTCAGGAGAAAGCTAGAGCGTCCGTGTGTGCTACATTATGGAATTAGATCTCAGAAGACCATCTCCACTGGGCCTGTAACCCCAAAATAGTAGGATTCATACAAAGAACCCTATCAAAGGCACAAGGTTTCTTAATCAGGTTCCTACATTAGTGAATGCATCCTCTGGGAACTCGTGGCATTCCACTGTTTTTCCGTGCGATGGACCTCGGCATCCAAGAAGCTTGATGTGTGAGGCTCGCATGACCCTAAACCCTAATCCCTGAGGTCATCATGGACATCACTGGCATCATGATCACCTGCCTCCTCGGCGCTGCCATCTTGCGCTAGCGTCCACCGCGGCAGATGAGCATCCGCCAAAAAGCTCAGGGGTTGAGAGCTTAAAGTTGAATCTTAAGTTTAAGGGTTTAGGGTTCCCGGTTTAGGGTCGAGTCTTATACGGGTTAAGCATTGACAATTCACGGTTTTGGATCAGCAAGCAGGTTTAGGAGTTGAGGGTGTATCCGTCTGTGAGCATTGATCAGTGTGTATGTTTATTGTTGGCGTTGGGATATCGTTATAAAACTCATATAAAACTCAGTGTCATCCCATGGCCCATTCTTGAAGCCCCCTCTGTCCGAACTCTTCTTGATTGTCAGCTTCGCTCGGGGTAGCTTTCACGAGTCTACGCTTGGCGCTTGATTTAGGGTTTTATACGAAATACTTCTGACTTACGGTGTGTCGGAGTCTTGGGGAAGCAAGGATACCAGATGGCTCCCGTGCAGCAGGTGCGTTCGATGCTCGGAAAGCCTTCTGCAAATGACAGGCACCAAGCTTCCCTTAGCCCCGACGCATCGAAGCCGCGTGAATCTAACGTGAGGTGTCTTCGTCATTATCGTCTTTGTCTTTGGTGTCCAATCGCAATTGATCAGACAGCTTATCTATTGCTGTTGGAGGCATCTTAAAGCAAGCTTGTGTTGAACAAACCGGCTTTCCGCAATATGCATCTGCCTCCGGCATCCACACGCCACCGGCGCGACCGACGAAGAGTGTGGCAAGCAGGTGCCGCTGGGGCCAATCTAGACCCGGATGCATAAACTTGCCGTAAAGAGGAACATTTGATGGTGTTTAGTTTGAAGGCCCGCAAAGAAGAGGGGCTCATGAATCAGGGGTCTACTTCAACAGGGCGCTACATGGCAAGCTAGGCTCAGGAATTCAGGAATACAGCCTTAATGATTCTAAGGGTTCACGTGATTTCGGGTCTGGGCTTGGCTTTGCTCTTAAGGGCCTTCGGTGCACGGCCAAAACCTTGGGGCACACGCGAAGTTGGCAATGTCTGAACATCAGGCCCGAGACCCCCTAAACCCTAAACCCTAAACCCTAAACGCGAGACCTTCAGCAGTCCGGAGAGGCACCTGAAGCAGAAGAGCTTGAAGCCCAAGCCCTAAAAAAAAAAAATACACACAAAACCTAAACCCTAAACCCCCCCCCCCGCCGCCCCCGCAAGAATAAAAGCGACAAGCACATAGATTATCACGATAAAACTCAACCCGGGCCCGTCCGCTTTGAAGGCCTCCTGCTCTGTTTCGCTTGGGTGGCCCGGTGCTGAGACTTTGTGGCTGATGTTTTGTTTTTGGTTGTTAAAGGTGCCCGGCGGTATCACCCCAACCTACTTACATTTTACATATGTGTATGTGTGTATATATATGTATATGTATATATACATATATACATACATACATATATGTGTGTGTGCTCATTTGTAACCCATACACAACACAGACATGTATGTATATGCACGTTTTAAGATGAGGGTCTGGGAGCCATCTAATACAGGTTAAGGGTATATAGACGGTTTCGGGATGTTAGTCTTGATGTTGATTGTCCTTTTTCGGGTGATTAACGATCAAGAGGTTTAGGGGTCAGGGTTTAGGGTTGAGGGTTTAAGGTCAACGGTTTATGGTTCAAGCTTTACGATCTCCGGCTTAGAGTTCGAGGTTCAGGGTTTAGGTTTAGGGTTTGCGTCTTCGGAGTCAGACTAACAGCTTTGGGATCGAAGATGCCGTTGACCAAGCAACACTGTCGTGCTCTGACGAGCCAGAATGACTTCAGCACCAGCGCAACCTCGTGCGTTAATGATTTCTAGGACTGGTTGCTGCTTGCCCTACACCCTAAAACCTAAATCCCAAACCCCTAACCCCAAACCCTAAACCCCAAACCCCAAACCCCAAACCCTTAACCCTAAAGCCCCTTGAGCTGCAAATTTTTGTTTCTGGAATGCAGGGCTTCGGGTTGGATGCCAGCCGAAGGTCCGAACCGTTACGGGTTTAGTGGTTCAGGGTGTGGGGTTGAGGGTTTAGGGTTTAGGGTTCAGGGTTTAGGGTTTAGGGTTCAGGGTTCAGGGTTTAGGGTTTAGGGTTTGGGCGTGGGGTTGAGGGAGATTTGCTGACTTGCTTCCTCAGTTACCGTTTGAGCTACCTACCAACGTATCTCCACAGGCCTCGCAGCATGAGCCATGCTGCTGGCTACAAGCTGCCGCTTGGTGAAACCAATGAAACCAATGCCCAGTTTTGGTTCGTGATGTAGCATTTGGGGCTAAGGGTTTGGGTTTCGGGGTTCAGGGTTTATCAGCTTGGGGCTGTCGGGTATTCGGATCGCAGGGACCGGTGAAGGTTTGGTCTACAGGCCATCATTTTAGAAGGGGTCTATGAAGGCCCTGCAAGTCGAATCAGAGTTTCGTCGGTGCTGCACGTGTTTGGAGTCTGTTGCAGGATTTCATTGGGATGTTATCGGGGTTGCTCCCGGTTTCCAATAAACATTTTTTTTTTTTTTTTTTTTGGGGGGGGGGTGGGGTTACGGGCCGATTTATCACTGGAGGCTGGGAGGCCCAGGACGTCGAATCCAAAAGCCCTAAACCATCTCCAAAGCCCTGCGCGGTTTAGGGTTTAGGTTCTAGAGTTTAGGTTTTAGGGTTTAGGGTTTAGAGTTTAGGGTTTAGGGTTTAGAGTTTAGGGTTTAGGGTCACTTCAAACCAACGAGCCAGCCCTCAGGACGAACACCCTAAACCGTAACTGCAAGCCTACGTAAACAACTCGATCGTGATGTTGCCAGGCTTTGATTCGAGCCGGTGGGGCTCTGGGGCTTCCCAGTGGGTTTTGCATCACCGTTCCGGTGCACTCGTCGTTCTACCCTCCCTAAGGCTCCCATGCATTTCCTTAGGAGGGCCCGGAAGCTCCTAGGGAGAGCCCGGTAGTGAGATATTCGAGTTTTGAGGGTCCCAAAACCATAGTGGTTCTTAGGGTACTTGGACGTTCAAGTGTAGTTATAAGTGGGGTTATAAGTCCCCTAATATGGGTTGTAATGATAGCTAGCCTACTTATCAACCTACTTATCACTACCCATGAACCGACAAGTAGTCATGGCTTAGGGTTTAGGGTTTAGGAGCGTTTACTGTAGGGTTTAGGAGGTAGTCATGGCACGCACACCCCAGATGTCCTCATTAGAAGGACCCCCAAATAAGGTACCCCCTATTTTCGGAAACCCCCATATAAACCCTGAGTCCCCACAGTCCTACACCGCAAACCCTGGACTCGCTAAGACTCGACGCGCGCACAGTGGAACCCTGAACCCTACTTGGAGGATCAGGGGACTTAGTAAGTTAGGTTTTAAGTACCCTAATTGGGGTTATAAGTAATTCTAAGTATACTTACCTTAATTATAGCCCTAGATACTAAGTCCCATGATCCTTCAAGTAAGCCCTAATCCACAGCGCTCTACCTCCTCTGCTGAGGCGTCGGAGACCTGGCAGGAGGCGAGAGAGGTCTTCATTGCAGAGCTGACGACGCGTTCGCTGCCCGAAGGCTTCAGAGAGATCTGTAAAGACCTTAAATGTGCTGCCCCAGCTCCATCGGGTGTCCTGCAGGCTTGCCTTGCATCGTTCTTACGCTACACACCCAAAATCCCATGCCTTTGACGGGAAGCCTAGTTACCCTTAGCCTTGTCCCGCAACCGCAAGCACCTATTGGCAGGCAGAGCGGGCGATGTGGCAGCTGGCAAGGTTTACATGGCCGCATTTGCTGGAAGGATCAAGACTTTTCCTAGTCCCTGAAGGCTTAATTGAAAAGTGAAAGACAGCGAAATGTATTCTGGGCCCAAGCCAATGCTCTAAATGAGCGTGCTACAGCACGAGTGCCCCACCAACCCTAAAAGACTTGAAAAATACTGGAAGCATCTAGCCTGCGCGAACCCTAAGATATGTAAAGGCCTTAAACAGCGCACAACACCGAACACTAGAGCCGGCAACAGTCCGTATGCTAGGACCGAGAGTATGTCTCCCCTTTCCCCTTTAAACCAAAAAGGGCACCCTTTTTATTCCTAGGTTACTCTTGGGTCTAGTTGGATCTAGTAGATCATGAACAGCCGTACGCCCCTGACCCAAGGATGCTTCAGCTTTACTTTAACCCCTTTCACCCCGACGTGCAACCGCTTGGTTCTAAGCCCCAAACCTTCAGCAAGTAGTCCCCAGACCTCGAACTTTGAAACCCTAACCCCAGAAATCCTAGATATCCTAATCCCAGGTTGTAAACCCTCAGAATGCAAACCCTTACTCTGAAGCCTTGTAAAGCACTTAGAACACTATCATAAACCTCGTGAAATCATCGTAAAACTCTTATGAACCCATCACAAAACCCTCATGAGACCTTCATCAAACCCTGATGAACCCGGACAAAAGCACAGGTTTGGTTCAACCTGGCCGTGGCGCAGCAGAGTCGGGGCGCCCCGGATGCTGCGCTGCGGAGCTACGAGCGCGCACGAGGCCCCATTTGCGCAACAAGGGCCCAACGGTTTCGGGTTCCCAGAGACTCCAATGTCCCTTGATTAAGGTTATTAAATTATGTTAGGGATCCGATTATAATTTGAGAACTATTCTTTAATCAAGGGATATTGGAGTCTCTCTGTTAGGGTTTCTTCAGGTGCTATGGAGGGTTTGAGGGCTGAGGGGTTAGACGAGTGAGGAGGGGTTTTGGGCTTTGGGGGTTTGTTTTGGTGTGGAAGGATGATTCAAATTGCGGCTGGGATTTTCAATGTGTTGCTGCGAGTCGAATTTTCGATATTTTTCAATGTAAAGCATATATACAAGAAGGATAAGATGTTTCCAGCTTTCCTGCCTCCAGTTCAGGGCAGTTTAGGCCTTGCAATGTAACAGTTTAGGATTCTGCTGGACCTAAAGCCGTCTTGCAGAACCCTTTGGACTTCCGTCAGAAGCAAGCCTAAGTCAAATCCGAAGCCCTAAACCCATTAACATTAGGGTTTAGGGTGTAGGTTTAGGGTTTAGGGGTTAGGGTTTAGGGTTTAGGATTTGGGGTTTAGCGGTTTAGGATTTAGGATTTAGGGTTTAGGGGTTAGGGTTTAGGGTTTAGGGTTTAGGGGTTCAGGATTTATGTTTTAGGGTTTAGGGTTTATAGGGGTTGGGGATTTAGGGTTTAGGGTTTAGGGTTTGGAGGATCTGAAGCATAGAACCTTCGCGGCCTCCAAGTGCCGTCTCAGTGAAGGCCGGGATCCGGATCATCGCGATGCGCCGCTGAATGAGGCACTGTGAGCGGGGTATCGGCGGGGTCGACGCTTAGGATAGGGGTCTGAATATTTCCGACAGCGTTTCTTATTTCTTATAGCCGCATGGTAGCCTCTATATGATGAGACGGCAATAAATATAGAGTGCATATAACGACACAGTCCTTGTTATGATCGGCCCCATCTACTATCCCTATACCCGAAATCTTATGGCATGGAAGGCTTCTTGAGTTTCGGGCTGGGGTTTCCGCCCACGGGGCTAATGACCTGGGGAGTGTCTGACGGTTCAGATCGAGGTCTATGAGTCTGTAAGGAGGCCAACTTGGGTCCTGCACCCACCCTGTAAGAGTCTGTCTTAGGGGTCATATTACGGGTGACATCGAACCATGTCATATATAGATTATCCGACTATCCTACTGGTTTAGAGTTGGGGGGGCAGTAACCAAAGACTAATCGCAAAGTTTTGTAGCTATGTAAGTGTGCACTTGCATTATCAGTTGTTCAGTTCTTTGGCACTCTCTCTCTCTCCCTCTCTCCCTCTCTCTCTCTCTCTCTCTCTCTCTCTCTCTCTCTCTCTCTCTCTCTCTCTCTCTCTCTCTCTCTCTCTCTCTCTCTCTCTCTCTCTCTCTCTCTATAACATATTGTATATTACTTTATACAGAGAGAGAGAGAGAGAGAGAGTTATGTAGCTGTATAGTTGTACAGTTATATACTTGTAGCTACACATGACCCCGAACCCTACCCACTACTAGCTACGAGCTTCATTCCATGACACTTCCGAGACATTCTGATCTATAGCCCAGTTTGGGCTTCTAGCTCATGCACGGCCAAGAAGTGTCCGATCTTCGGACTGCGAGGAGATCAACTTGAGGGATTTAGCGTCGTCGCAGGCCTTGCTTCTCGCCAAGCGCGCGACACCAGAGGCCGTCCGTCCCTGGGCCATTGAACACCAGACTTCATCTTAATACAGAGATTCTACCTACTTATACATGCATGCCTCCATACAGCCTACATACATTCTGCGTAACGGTATATACACGCATATTTATTAAATTTATGTTCACAGAATCCGACGAAGGAGACCTCTTCAAGAGGGCTCTGGGAGTGGTCTTGGTATGATTGTGGCATTTCTGATCAGCTACATCCAGAGACCCATGACCAGGACATTTTGATTTGATGGACTGGACACCGATGGAAACCCTGGAATCGAAATTCCAAACCTTACGTAGTTTAAAATCCCAGATACCATCAAGGCTTAAACCCCGTTGCAAAGCCCTACCATACCCGAAACAACAAATGCAGCAAACAGCCCCCAGAACCCAAGAAAGCCTGCAAACCTGCACCATCATGCACCGCCCCGACCCCGCTTCAACAAAACGCATACGGACGACTGAACAAGAGCTGAGCAAACAAACACCAAGATAACAAGCGCACGCTTGAGAATCAATGACACGATTAATCCTAAACACTGAACCTTAAACTCTAAACCCTGAAACTTAAACTCTAAACCCTGAACCCTAGACTCTAAACCCTGAACCCTAAGCTCTAAACCTTAAAACCCTAAACCTGAAACCCCAAACCCTAAACCCCAAACTCCAAAGCCCAAAAGCAACCACCCAAGGCCGTGCTCGCGGGTTGCTGAAGGCCGCGCTGAGCCTCGATCCGCGTAGCCCGGGAGCTTGGTCGGGCACTGAGGAGTTTATGGGTTTAGGATTTCTAGGACCCAGAGTAGGGCCTTATTCCCTTTTTGAGAGTTTCGGTTCCCTTAGAATCCCCTTTAAAACCAAAAAGGCACCCTTTTTGTTCTTACGCTACTCTTAGGTCTAGGATTTTGGGGTGTAGGATTTAGGGTTTTAGAGATTAAGGTTCAGGGCTTGGGGTTTAGGGGTTAGGGTTTAGGATTTAGGGTTTAGGGTTTAGGTCATAGCTTTCAGTAGGGTTCAAGGTTTAGGGTTTGGGGTGTGGCGTTTAGGGTTTGGAGTTTAGGGTGTAGGGGTTTAGGATTTATGTTTATTAAGGTTTAGGGTTTAGGAGTAGTGTCTTGAACACGGTTTAGGGGTTCAGGGTTTGACATGAAGTGGGTTTGGGATGAAGGATTCAGGACCCGGGGTTCAAGACTTGAGAGGATCAGTGATAGGTCTTAGAATTTGGGTATTTAGGATTGAGGTGTTCGGGAATAGTGGAGGCCACAGTGGAGGGGCTTGACAGTATTGTCTGGTTTTGAATTTGGTGAATTTGGATATCTCTTAGATAGCCGGGTTCCTTGTCCTTTTCCGAAGATTCTGGAAGGAACAGTACCGTGACATCTATGATAGCCTGGACAGCCTCCTGGAGCGCTTCTTGTCCGTGCCGCAGCAGAATTGGCGAGACCTCGTCTCTCTTGCGGTAACGGCACTGAGCGCCAGTCATGCCAATGATGCACCCTCATGCGCACGCGTCCGGATGAGTGCCATTTTTAAGGGGATTCCTGCCATGACTGGTCGATCTGGCCTAGTCGGCCTGCGGATGTGGCATTTGCACTTTGTCGTGATGCCAGAGATGTCGGAGACGCAGACGGCAGCCATTGCACAATTGGAGGCACACGGTCTCAAACAGAGGACACGCTGCCTCTACAGCCCTGAAAGTTGGCAATCTCCTGTTGCGAGAACCAAATGTGAACCCAGATCTGAAGAGCTAAACCGTATTCAGCATGAACTCAGATACCTTAACATCGGGCACTGAATACAGTACATTTGAAATTATCTCGAAATACTTAGACTGCACTATACCGCCAAGCCTCATTCGGATTTTCCTGTGCTTAAATAAGCCCTGAGAACCCCCCCAAGCCTATAAGACATAAGAACAACAAAAAAACCGTTAACCCTAAGCCGCAACTCCCCGCCCAGACCCATCGAAGCAAAGACACCGCCAGCCAGGTGGAATCTTGGGCTGCTAGAAGCCTACGAAGGCTCAGCTTTTTGGCGGGGTCTAGGGATTTAGTTTGGGGTTGAGGGCTTAGAGGTTGGGGGGTTGGCGTTTAGGGGGCTTAGGGCTTTGGGGCTTGAAGGAGGGCTAAGGAGAGAAGCCTTGTGTTGTGCCGAAGTCTCCACTGTAAGGAAAGGCGAAGAGATGCCCGAATCTTGAGCAAGCCGTACCCCCCCAGCGGCGCACCGAAACAGCAGCTGAAAAGAGCTTGAGAACTAGGGTTTCAGCCTCAATATAGACCCGTTATAAGCTTTCTTTAAGGCCTTCATCGTGGGATCACGACTATAACCGCCGTAAAGACGAGGGGTGATCTGATCGGCGGTCTACGTGAAACTTTGAGCCACCGGCTACTGAACCCCAAACCCTCGACGGTCCGGTTTTTCGGCCTCATCAACATCAGCATTCTCGTCACATCCCCTTTTTCGGCTTTCGACGTTGTGCACAGGTGATCCTGCGGCAAATCATACTCTTGACAAAGCTTTGGACGCCGTGCAGCAGCAACTTGGCGACGAAGTTCAAACCTTCCTTCGGGGCTTTTAGGGGTTCGGGGGTTTAGGCCTTTAGGGGCAGGGCCTGGGCATGAACTTCTTTGAGTAATTGCCGTAACGGTCACCGGCTGACCGTAACAGGAACCTGTAACAGGAACAGGGGCGATGGCGGTAACAGCAACAAAGAGTTTCCGTAACAGCTCCAGGAGGAGGGCCGGTAACAGGAACCGGCCGGACGACGGGAGTGTCAGCCTGCCTTCCCATCCAGACCCGGCAACCCCCCCCATCTCGAGGCGAGGGGGGGGGTTGCCATGAGCCGGTTTTCTTTCTTATATGTGGAAGAAGTCGTCTCGCCATTATACACCTCATGCATTCCGCTGGACCCCAAACCAAGGAGACACTTGCCTAATGTTCGCTTTGGGTCCAAGTAGGGACGGAATTCTATTGTTCTGTGCTTCTTGGGTTTAAAGATTACACCGACACCCTGGGCCCGACTCCCTGAGGCCGCTCCGAAGATTCTACTACCCTTTGAAATCCCAGCCCGCCAACCCCCCCAATTCGAGGCGAGAGGGGGGGGGGTTGCCCTGAGACTGTTGAACGGCGTGGCAGCCGCAGTTTCTGTTACGTGGTTTTCCCACAGCCGCGGTTGCTGTTACACTCCGGGGGCGGTTCCTGTTTCTGCCCGCGCCAGTTGCCGTTGCTGCTTGCTGGTGCGGTTTCCGTTACTGCCCAAACTGGTTCCTGTTACTACCCGCACCCAACTTCTTTCCTTCGCGCCACGATGGCTGCCCTACTTCCCTAGCTTCTTGGGACCTCTTAAGGCCGTAGCGCTATTGGTACTTGAAGGATCATGGGACTTAGTAACTAGGGTTATTATTAAGGTAACTATACTTATAATTACTTATAATTAACCCCAATTAGGGTTCTTATAACCTAACTTACTAAGTCCCATGATCCTTCAAGTAGTGTGTGTTCCATGTCCGCCCGCCCGGTCGCTTCCCAGTCCGCCCCGCATTCGGCATTGTGGCGCATCGAGGACGCCTTGGGTGAGCCGCTTCACCCAGAGACTCCAATATCCCTTAATTAAGGAATATTCCTTAAACTATAATAGGATCCCTAATATGATTTAAGGAACATTCCTTAATTAAGGGATATTGGAGTCTCTGGGCAGTTCTCTGATGACTCCATGCGGCAGGCGATGCGCGACCTCCGTCCGGAAGACCTGATGAGGTTGCATGATCTGATGGGATCGGCGTTCGCCGACGGATTGGGGCTGACGCCTGTCCGCTTTACCCATCCTCTGCCGGAGGTCGAGATGAATGTGGCTCCATGGTGCTCCCACCGAGGCCCCCTCTGTGGGACAAATGTGCCTTCGTGGGAGCTTGTCGTGCAAGGCGCCCGCCCTCCGTAGGTTCCCCAGCAGTACCCTTTTCTTTTTAGTCCTGAAAGAGATCGTAGGTTTTTTGGGGTTAAGGATAGCGCTAGTGGTAGTGTGTGCATTTGGGCTACCTGTCGAGGCTGCCAGCTACAACGAAGTGTGTTAAAGTGGCTTGGTGAACTAAGCCTGATTCAACGGGTCTAAGGTTTACATAGGAGTTTAGGGTTCGTGATTTTTCCTGCAGCTCAGAATTGTGTCGAATAGGGGCCTCGTATACAGGTGTTGGCAAGCCATTACTTTATCCACTTTTCGGGTGCTTACGAATACCGTAGTGCCCCCCGGCCCTAAACTCCAGGCCCGAAGGAATGAACCCGAAACCTGCAACGCTGCTGAAGACTGTGGAGCTTCAGGATATAAGACCCGACAACCTAGGATCCTGCTGATTGTGAAAGCTTCAATGGGACTCCCAGTTTCAAGTTGGACATCCATAAACTCCTCACCCGAATCACCGCCACTATTCCCTGATCACTGCCAGGAAATCCCAACCCCAAAACGCGTCATGATTCACAGGCCTTCGTCGGTTTTAGTATTCAATACTGCGTATACGACACTACCCCAAACCCGGATACCGCACCATTCCTTATCCTCCTCCCTATTCCGGACTGGTAAGCTTCCTTTGCAGGCGTCCCTAGGGTTCCCTTTAAAGGGATCCTTAAAGTGGTCTATAAGGCATACTATAAGGATTTCCTATAGGGGCCTAAATAAATACCCATACTATTTCTGTGGTTCCTTATTCTCATCATAGTACATAATGTGCCCCCCAAAACCCTTTCCTAATTATTAAGGCCCCTAAATTACGCATTTCCGAATTTTTCCCCCTCGCTTTCCACGCCCTGGATCTGCAGGGCGGTGCGCAAAACAAAAAGCCCCAGCTTTAACAATAGAAAAAGGCTTAACTTGGACCCAGAGTAGGGCCTTATTCCCTTTTTGAGAGTTTCGGTTCCCTTATACTCCCCTTTAAACCAAAAAGGGCACCCTTTTTGTTCTTACCTTACTCTTAGGTCTATAGCTTAAAGAAGCTGAAGCTCAACCCGCATTGCCAACAGATAAAACTCAACCTAAACATCCTCAACAGTAACACGCCTTGTAGAACCAGACTAAACCAGGATTCCTGGCCTAGGATGCCCAGTAGTACCCTTATTCCCTTTTTGTAGTCCTAGGTTCCTTATAAAGTTACCCAATACCAAAAAGAGAGGCCTTTTTATTCTTTTATTCTTAGGTTTCTGGGTATCCTAGTTGCAGAACCTGTAAACAACAGTAAAGTCCTGACAAAGCCTTTGTAACGCCCTGAAAGCATCCTCTGCAAAACACTATCTTATCCGCTTTGACTCTTCATAGCACCCTATACCCTAAACCTTCAAAACCCTAACTAAACCGTAAACCCGCCTAAACCCTAAACCCTAAAGCCTAAACCCTCAAGCCCCCTAAATCCTAAACCGTTCTACCAGACCCTTACGAAAGAGCCCGCAAGGCTCGGCTGGTCTCCTAGGCGGCTGGCCATGGTGTATGAGTCGAGCCTAAGATGATGTCAGCTTAAGGGTGTGGTTGGGGTTCAGGGATTCGCGTTTAGGGTTTGGGGTTCAGGGTTTAGGGTTTGGGGTTTGGGGAGTAGGGATAAGGGTTAAGGGTTGAGGGTTCCTAAACTTAGGGATGCAGAAAGGGGTTCCACATTTGTTTGTCTCATGGGTCTTATACGGGTTTTGCTGCTAGAGTTGTTCAGCGCGATGTTTTTAACAACCAGTGGCGCCTTGTTGCCGTATCATCGGGATCATACGCTCTTTGCGGAAACTACCATGTGTCAATAGCCCGCGGCCCTCCCTCGATTTAATTAGCGGCTTAGCTTCAGGATTCAAGGCTTGGGGAGTTTAGTTTGGGGATTTTTTCAGAATCCAGGAGACGATTGAAGAGTTCCGGGCAGCGGCAGCAGCATCGATACATGTCAAAACCCTAGCAGTTTTGAAGTCTGTCTGTTCGAAGCCCTGGAAAAGCCCTGCTTACTTCGAGGTTCATGGGGAGTTATAAGTAGGGTTATAAGTCGCCTAATATGGGTTATAACTATTCTTACCCTACTTACAACCCTACTTATAACTACCCATGAACCTCCAAGTAGGCGTTAGGGTTTCAGGCTCCACACAGTTACGTCTCCCAGTACGGCCCGCCTGTCTAGCTCGTTTAATCGAGTTTGCTTTCAAGACGAAAAGAGGGAAGAGACTGTCGTTGGCGGCCTTGTCCTTTTTTCATGGTTCCCCCAAAAGAATCAGCTGTTGTGTGTGAGGATTCTTGTAAGTTCCCCAACGATCACCCTCGTCCTTCTAGAAACAATAGACAGAGCCCTATACCTATATCCCTGAGTAGGAATTATGTAAGAAGGTCTACTAGCCGGTCTGTTTAAGTATCAGATGTTTGACCTTCAATCGGCTATGTTTCAAAGGGGCATCCCTTTTCTTGGAAGCTACCCAGAACCCGTATACCGGGTTGGTTAACCATGCTATGGTGTTTGCAACTGCTTGACGGGTCTGGATTCTTGCAGGAGCATTGAGATCCGTACCAAAATCATGAGCTTTCCTTATAATTGTTTTGTTCAGTTACATTGAGTTCCTAAAGAGCCCAGTAGCCCCCAGTTATAAACGCAAATGTAGGACACAAGAACCCGTACACGAGAAACCTGCCTTATCAGCCATCGAACCCTGTCGAATCCGTATTATCCGTCAACTCAGATGTCCATAGCTTTTCCAGGTTCTCGAAGACGGAGAGCCTCCCGACTTTATCCTTATAGCCCTGAACAACACTTGATCCTCAAAGTCTCAAAGCCTTGTCTTTGACCTTAAGCCGTGCAGGCTCTAAGCCCTAAGCCAAAGCCTAAACCTTAAACCCTCTTCACAGCCCTCAAGCCTACGCACACGTTAAACCCCTAGACCCTAAACCCAAAAACCGCCTGAAACCCGAGGAGTTTCTTCAATCCGCAGCTGGCGGCAGAAAGCGAGCATTTCGAGGCCTTCTTGGCCGGATCAGATGTGCCAGCTAGGGTTTAGGGTTTAGGGTCGTTTTTGAAGGGAGGGGCGTCTTAACATGCGGTTAAGTTATGTTATGCTTCTATAGCTTAGGCTTTAGGACTTCGTCGTCTTTTCCGGGTAGATAGCGCCATTGTATACCATGCCAGTAGTTGGCTTTTTAGGATCTACTATAGGATAGTAAACATGGTGGATGAGTGTTTAGACTGATACCTGACAGACCCTACCCTTTAAACCCTAAGCCCTTTGCACCCTAAACCCTAAACCCTTAGGGTAGTCTACTATACGGCCCTTGATCTTCTTAAGCTTCCGAGCCGTCTGCGGATTTAGGGTTCGTCTATAGCTCGGCCTTAGGGGGAATCAAGGTTCAAATTTCTGCAGGCGTTTGGTGTCGAGGCGGGGGATTTAGACTGTAGGGAGTAGGTTTAGGGATGAGTCTTCCCAGGTGCTCACCCTGTAAATCCCGACTGCCACGCAGAAACCCTGACTCAAAAACCTTGTCCCTAATTGTTTTTCTGCGTTGCTTTGCCGTCGTCGGCCATGAACCCTAAACCATAAAACCCGCATACAACGAAGGAGAACCCAAAACTCTAAGCTGTAAACCCTAACACCTGACCCTAAACCCCAAGCGCTAACCCTAAACCCTAACCCTTAACCCTAAACCCTAAACCCTAACACGCAACCCTAAACCCTACTTGGAGGTTCATGTGTAGTTATAAGTAGGGTTATAAGTAAGTTATGACCCATATTGGGGGACTTACAACCCGACTTATAACTACCCATGAACCTTCAAGTAGACCCTAAACCCTATACCCTTTTTGAATCCCTATAGATCCCTTTAAAGGGACCCTTAAAGGAACCCCTTTTAAGAACCCTGGATGTTTTCCTCGGAGCCAGGCTTCTGTCCCTGCGCCTCTAGCGGCGGCCCTGGCAGCCTTTCGCCAGCTTCCAGGGGAGGTGCCCGGAAGAATTGCTTTAAGGGTCTTTAGGGGTTGCTGTCAGATGCCCTTAAGGGTGGCTCTAAGGGGCCTTAAGGGTTGCCTGAGCTCCAGTCGGGAAGAGCCCTAACATGTTTGAGGCCTTTAGGACTTTAGGGCTTTAGGGTTGAGGGAACCAGCATTGTTGCCACATGGATACATGGTGTAGTGTTTAAGGCACATGTCTAAATCGACTCTTGAGGACTACCCCATTAGGTGCGTTGTGACGTCGGGTTAGGGGCTTAGGGTTTACCTTGGAGAGCCCGTTCGGGAGCTTAAGCTACCCTAACCTTGAAAACATCTTAACCCGTGTTTGAATGCATCAGATGCCTATGTAAACCCGGCACGTTGAGCTGAAATCCACTGTAACCCTATCCCCCTGAACCCTAAACTTCCCTAAACCATAAACTTTACACCCCGAACTGCAAACCCTAGACTCTCCTAGACCCTAAACTTCCCTAAACCCGATACCCTAAACCCCAAACCCTACTCCCTAAAATCCCTGAACCCTATAAACCCCAAAAATTCCATCCCTAAATCCAAAACCCCAAAACCCTCAACCCTGAAAGGAGCTAAAACACAACCCTACACCTAAACCCCAAACCCCAAAACCCCAAATCCTAAGCCCAAAACCCCAAAACCCCAAATCCTAAGCCCAAAACCCCAAAACCTGAATCCTAATCCCTAAACCCAAACCCTCAAATTGCCTAAACCTAACACGCGACCTGCTGGCCAGGCTCAGTGGCTCAAGACATGGGGCGCCGGGGCCACAGCGAGCCTCCGCAGTGCAAAGGGAGAGTTTAGGGTTTTGGGTTTTGCCGTAGAATGGTGCATAAGCAGAAGTATCTTGCGACATTGTAATTTCCAGTGCGTCGTTTTCTGACGATTGGTCGCTGGAGCCTGATTATGGATGGCTCTTTCATTTAACTCTCCCACCCCACGCCGTCTAAGGCGGCCAAACCACCCAAACCTATTCCTTCTAGGGTTTAGCACTAAATTCAGCACCTAAACTCATTTTATAGCTTTCTTTATTTCTTCAACCGCACAACAGCAAGGCGGGCAGGTCAGGCAGGGCAAACCAGGCAGGGCAGGGCAGGCACGGGCCCGAGGAGCCCCGAAGGGTTTAGAGCAGCCACACGAAAAGAAAGGAGGGGACCTCGACTTTGGCACCTGGCCCACCTTCAGAAGCACATACCAGCACCAGTTTTCCACATTTCCGGAGGGAGGGCAGGGTAGGGCAGGGTAGGGCAGGGTAGGGCAGGGTTTTAGGGTAATTACATTAAGGGACCAGTACTGGTCCCGAGGAGAACCCGCTCCGGTACCGGGCCTGAACATGGGTGCTACCGTCCCCATGGCTGCGGAGAGGCGGGCAAGCGTCTTGCATCGCTCTGCGCCATGGAGGTCGAGGGGCTTAAGCGCCGCCCATCTACGGTAGGCGGGCGGCCTATGCCTTGAGTTTAGGGTTGAGGGGTTTTTAGGGTTTAGGGTTGTTTGTGTGTCGCGTCTGTTTTTTTAAAGGCCAGTGTTTCGGGGAGCTTGTTTTGTGGTGAGTATGCTTGTGATTGTTGAGCTCTTGTGTTTTTCCGGTTTGGAGCTTAGGGTGTCGAAGTGTGGGCAAACTCAACACGCACGGTGTAAAATCAGACTTGCTGCAATGCGCAGCAAGTCGCTTGCCCGGCCTTTCTTCTGAATTCTTGACGCGAGGCCTTACGCTAAATCCTACAGTCAACATTAAATGTTATCAGTTTATCAACCATAGACCCAAATCTTCCCGAGGTTGAGACTGTGGAAACATTTGGGCCGGACATCACGGCGGCAGCCTACGGTGAGACGTTCTACGGCTCCTGGCAGGCTGGCCAGCCTTGGAAGTTTGGCTGGTGGGTGTTCCTACTAGTAGGTGGGCCTTTGGGATATTTTATCTTTTCCCTCATTGGGCTTCATAGGACCCTATTTACGGATATATTTCAGAGGCTTTAAAGGGCCAACCTAGGTTCTTCAAGATTGAGGAGTTTAGGGTTTTGGGGTTTGGGGTTTTGGAGTTTAGAGTCTAGGGCCAGGGATTGTATATAGGGCCTTAGGCTCTACTGACTGCTGGGAATTGAAGGTTTGTGGCTTCGGGCATCGTAACTTCGTATTCGGTAGCTTATAGTTGCATCGTGTTTTTCGCACGAGATAAGAGACCACACATTAGGAGACTTTGAGTGGCAGAGGGTCGGGTTTAAACGCTCTTGATGGGCTGTTGTCATGGTCCAGTTTCGAGCCCCAGGTTTGCATCTTTGTGATTTACAGCCTGCGACTTTGAATTTCAGCAACCGGGTTTCTCGGCTTGACGCTTACGTGTTTTTGGGATGGGTCATTTGGGTTCTCGGTTTTGTTCATGCCATTCCTCCAGCGTTCATGTTTCAAGTCTCTGGGCCACAGGGATTCAGGTCCTAATTAAAGCTTGGAGGCCCTTGGGCTCACGGGGTTCGGGCGTAGGGTCTGCCAGGCCGTTATGGACCAGCCTGCTGTTTCTGCTGCGTCTTGACCGAACGAAGTATATTCCCTAAAAAAAAACCCTTGTAGACCCCAAGCCGTTCGAATCTCAGGGCTAACCAAAACCCGAAGCCAGCAAAGCCCTCTGAATGCCCTCAGGTCCCAAACTGGAGAAGCCAGAAGCCTTAAGCCCAAGAACCCTGTGACTGAGAGGAACCTGAATGCCCGATCCGCACCCTGGAGCCTAGCTGCTGTTGCTTCCTCTGTTCTGTGTTGAAGTATGAGGGTTTATCGTTTAGGGGAAAGGGTTTAGAGTAGAGTTTAGGCTTTAGGGTTTATGGTTGAAGGTCGTTCGGAACGTTTTGGACTCAGGCTCCACGACTTGGAGTAGCGGCTAAGGTCTAAGCGCTAGGCTTCAGGGCTTAGGCAAGCCAGTATCGCAAAAGCTAGAGCTCAGCTTAAGACCTGACATGATGACCCACAAGGGCACATGGCTAGAACGACATGGTGGTGGTGATGGTGGCAAATTGAAGCTCGACACCATGTCCTCGACCACAAGCATGATACAGTGTAGCCGACACCCCTTCCAATTACTAAGGCCTTTGTATTACCTGCTGTTTCTGAGCCCGAACTGTAACTTTGTGCAGTCCGGCAACCGGTCCCACATGGATCTTGCAGAGATGTTGTAGCTGTAGCTGCAGGTCTAGCTGAGGGCATCAAACCGAAACCCTCAAACTTAAACCTATAAGCCATTACGCGGAGCAAACCCACCAAACCCGCAGCCCTCAAATTCCTTTCATTAAGGTGTGCTGGGCTCTCTGGAAACCCCAATGCCTAAACCCTAAACCCTAAACCCCTAAACTCAAGCCCCAAAGCCCGAAGCCCAGAATGCCCAGAAGGTCAAGAACGCCAAACCCTAAACCCAAGAGCCTTAATCTACCGGCCTTGATAATTACGAGAATTACCTATACTATGTTGGGGGTTCCTTCTTAGAGTGATCGTTTACGTACTATCCCCCCAAAACCCTATTCTAATCATTAATGCCCCGAATTGAACACCCTACACCAACCTCAGACTGGATTCTGGATTCCGGAGTACGTCATACTTTCATGATTTTTTGGGGGGACTTGTGCCTTAAAGGAGCCGTCATGAAATACATGTGTATGCTTTTTTCCCAGTTACTTGAGCGCCAAGTCGAAAGAACACCGTAAAGCCCTAGGCCCTAAATCCTAACACCTTTTACCAACCTTCTAAGGGACTTTCCTTTGCCTAAGGGTCCATGTGCCCCTATAGTATATAGTTATATGCTTCGGCCCTAAAGTCGCCATACAGGGACCACTTTAAGGCCAAAGAGCAAGAATGAAACTCGGTATCCAGTTGAGATTATTTGAATTTCCCTTATTGCTTAACATAAAGCTCTAGCTACAACTAGTTTTGGGAACGGTTGAACTCGTCACCTAGTACAATACCGAAGAACCTACATTTTGAAGGACTTATGTAAAGAAATCATAATCAGGAACCCTAAACAGGTAGGTTATTCAGGGTTAAGGTAAACCCTAAACCCTAAAACCCGTAAACCTTTTGGGCACATGGATTCTTCGGGTTTCCAGAAGAGTTAAGACCCAGAGACCTTAATTAAGGAATATTCCTTAAATCATATTAGGGATCCTATTATAGTTTAAGGAATATTCCTTAAATCATATTAGGGATCCTATTATATATAGTTTAAGGAATATTCGTTAATTAAGGGATATTGGAGTCTCTGGGGAACCAAGGCCTTGGGAGCAAATGCCACGGCCGTCGTCCTGGGCTCTGCTCTCGGAGCCTTTGTCCGCACGAAGGGGACATGGAATGGGGTTCTCATATGTACATGTATACGCACGTACAACATATACATATACATATACATATACATATACATATATATATATATGTATATATATATATATATATGTATGTATCTTTGTATCTGCATATATATATATAAGTATTTTACGTACTAGCTTACGCATGTATATATCGTAAACAAAGCAGATCATCGAACATATTCCATCACAATTTTAGAAAAAGAGAGAGAGAGAGAGAGAGAGAGAGAGAGAGAGAGAGAGAGAGAGAGAGAGAGAGAGAGAGAGAGAGAGAGAGAGAGAGAAGAGAGAGAGAGAGAGAGAGAGAGAGAGAGAGAGAGAGAGAGAGAGAGAGAGAGAGAGAGAGAGAGAGAGAGAGAGAGAGAGAGAGAGAGAGAGAGGGAGGGAGGGTTCAGGAGTTTAAGGTCTAGAGCTTAGTGGTGCAGGCTGTTGGGGTAAAAAGGTTTCAGGGACTCGTGCTTGATAGGGATACGTGCGTAGTTTAAGGGCTTCCTTTTGGGTTCTGGCTGCGGACCTCTAGGTTGCTGGGGGTCAATAGGGCGTTGGTTTTAAATTTTCGGGTGTCTGACCCTTGACCCATCTCAACCCTAAAGCCTCGGGTTTAGACTTCAGACATTTCGAAGCAGGACCGAGGGAGGAGTCATTTGTGTCATCTGTGGTTCCTGAATCATCGTTGCCCTTATTCAGGGATCGTTCCCCGGCTGGAGTCCTTGCTACCCGTTTCTAAGACACGTCAGAGGCTATCTTTGCCTGTTCTTCCTCGCCATCGACGTGCCATGCACAGGCTGGCCGACCGCTCTTATCGTACATGGGAGTTTCCGGAGATTAGGGGTACCATATTCTGGGGTCCTTACAACAAAAGATCCTTCTGTTCAGGGTACTACATTAGGGTTCCCTATTTTCGGAAACCCCCACGGTTCCCTATTTTCGGAAACCCACACGTTGGAGTTTGGAGCCTAGGCTGCTCGGCATACAAGGCCGAATATGTGGCAGTTTGCAAGCGCATCTTTGTCAAAGGAAGAACGGTAACTGCGTAAAGTTGGCCTAGGTAGAAATCCGAACTTTCGTGCGCCTCGCTCAAATCCCCATCCCCGGAGGAACCCTTAGAAATAGAAGCCCTCTTCTATCCATACTTCCCTAAACCCTAAACCCTTAAACTCCTAAACCCCGAAACCCGCCCCCCCCTATCAGTCCCTTCGGGGCCTTCCGGGGTACACCCTCAAAAGCCTCCCGCTGCCGGCAGGTTATGATCTCCTGGAGGCCTGGGTTCCCAGGGATTTGATGGCTTCGCGGCTCTACAGGGGTTTCCTTAAAGGGCTCCTTAACGGGATCTTTCAGGGAAGTAAGGAATATCAATAGGATCCCTACTGGTGCTCTTACTTGAAGGATCATGGGACTTAGTCATTAGGGTTATATTTAAGGTAACCACAAGTAGGGCCGAGGGGCTTGGGGGTTTAGGGCTTAGGTGCTTCGGCTTAAGGGGCTGCGGGGTTGTGTTGCATCGGGTGTAGGTTTACTGGTTTAGAGGTTCAGGCATGTTTAGTGGCATCGGCTTTAGAGCCTAGGGTTTAGGGGTTTAGGGTTTCAGGGTTTAGGAGCTTCGGGCTTGAGGCTTAGAGGTCCAGGGTTTAGGGTTTCAGGCTTGGCGTCGAGGGCTCGGGATCGCAGCTACTTGGAGGTTCATGGGTAGTTATAAGTAGGGTAACTATAATTATAACCCATAATAGGGGACTTATAACCCCACTTATAACTGCCCATGAACCTCCAAGTACTTCTCGAGTCTTGACTCATACGCTCCGTTAGGATGTGCTCCTCTCGCAGATGCGTAGTCTCCACGTTGCGTCGTTTTCTCCGCCAGCCGAAACCATACAGCGGCGCTGCTTAATGTTTCAATCTGGGGAGAAGACGAAAGCAGAAGCATGTGCAATTTCCACTTCTGTGCTGTTGAGAAGCGGCTTGCAGAACTATAGTTGGCGACATTTAGTCAAATAGTTTTTATCCTTTTGTACTAACTATTTGCTCGAGCTGAATATCAACGAAATTCTGTTCGTTTTTTGCAGGCTAATACCCCCTACGGCTCTCTCTCTCTCTCTCTCTCTCTCTCTCTCTCTCTCCGAGCCGCTGGAAGGAAAGCATGGTGCAAACGGGCCGCGAGGTGGATTGCCTCAAGAGTGCTTAGGATGTTTCCGGTTTAGGGCTCGCTTCCCCGCTCAGGGTTTAGGGTGTTGGTCATTCCGAGCATTGGCGGGGTCGATCAATATTGATTTCAAGGATGCTACTGTAAAGCCCTGAACCCGACGCCTGCATTCCAGATCACCATAGTGCTGAAGAAGCGGGATAAGGGTTAAGGGGTTACTTGAGGTTTAGGACGGTTTAGGCTTTGGGGTTCAGCTAGGGTTCAGGGCTTGCGGTTTAGGCTTTAGGGTTTACTTGGGGTTCAATGTTTGGGATTTCATGGTGATTCAGGGTTTACTTGGGGCTTAGGGTTTCGAGTGTAGGTGTTTCGGGTTTAACCGGGTGTGGGGTTTGCCCGAGTTGCCGAATCGAGTTCAAAGCAGTTGCTTTTGAGAAGAAACACAATGCTAGCTAAGCCCAACCTCGAAAACCCTAAATCCCAAACGATCTTAAAACCTATAAAAAAGCTTTGAAGCCCTACGACCCAAAATTACCTCTGCCTCAAACCCTAGACCTTAAAATCCCAGACCGAAAAGCATAAACACTCCGCCGGACGGATAAAGGATCCCTAGCAAAAAGCATAAGTCCAAAGCTTGAAATTAAAACTTTGCAAAGCGAAGTCTTCGTGAAACCCTTAAAGACCCCCTAAATAGCGAACTTATGGGACCCTTTTGAAGCCGCGGGCCTGCAAGCCCCAAGCACACTAGACAGCACGAAAATACTACACCCTCATCTTCCTCAATCCCTTTAGGGTTTAGGCCTAAACGCCCGGAAACTGAAGAAAAAAAGCAAACGCACTTTCACCCCACAGGTTCTTTCCAAGCACGGCCTTGCAGAGGCACCCGTGGACTTTCAGGCACACGGGCGGAAGCATCAGAAGCATCGGGGAGTTTGGGCGTTTATGGCGGCTGTAGAGGGGTTGCTACGATGGGTTATTCGAGAGTTTGTCAGGAGGTTCTACAAGATTTCGTAGGGTCTTTATACGGTGTTAATAGTTGGGTTTATGGGGCTTTGCAGGATTTCGGATATTATCGGGCGGCTTCAATTGTTCTTACGGGGTTCTGCCGCGTTCCATAAGGGTTTGGGTTTCGAGCAGGGCTTCAAGATTTGGGCTGTTCGGGGTTAGGGTTTTGGGGCACGTTCGGGCTTCCAGAGAGTTTCAGGACTTTGTGTTATTTTGGGACCCTGAGCCCGAAATCTACCAGAAACCCTAAACTTGAGCTTGTGAAAGTTTGCATCGGAAATTGGAGCTGAGAGGGATTACACCACTCAAGCCCAGGTGGCCATGCAGAAGCCTTGTAACATCGATGCGAGTCAGGGGAAAGCCCATATCAACATAAGGGTCTCATCGACTCGTACTACTATTCCTATATGGCTTCGTATGATAATGGTATTTATACCTGAGACACCCCAAAACTTGAAGCCCTTATTCTGCTATGTATGATGGTGAAGTACACTGTATTCATGGAGCCCGCAAACAGGAAGAGTCTATATAAGCCCTAAGCTGTAAACCCTTGACGCCCTAACCCCTGTAATATAGGGGCTTAAATGATTCCAATAAATTCCCTCAGGGTTCCTTAGTATAAATATAGTATAATGGGCCCCAAAACACTATTCTAATTATGAGGGCCCCTATATTAGGGTTTCTCCTTCTTCTTCTTCTTCCTGACCTGGTCAGGTTGGGGATGCTGCGGACTGCCCGCTAATCTCGAGGCTAGCAACATTGTGGCTCGGGGTTTGGGGGGTACTCATAGGCCCCATAGTACTTCCTTTTTGGCACGCCCAAGCTCCAATTCGCAATGTCCCAAACCCTCGAGTCCTGCACCCCACCCCCCTTGAGGTTTGGGGGTTTAGGGTTTAAGGTTTGGGGTTACGCGTTCGGGCCTATTTGGCCTAGGGTCAATCCGAAGCTCGGCAGAGGAAGCACCAGAAGACGTAGATTTCAATCGCAAAGACTTCTATTTACAACACAAGTTCAGACTCCCGTTGTTAGGTACACCGGTCCTATCGTTTCGTGTTAGATACCGTCTGGTGTTTACATCCCAGCCTGAATGTTTAGCAGAGTGTTTAGCAGTAGTAGTACCTTGGTTCATGACGTTCAAGCATAGTATCAAAAATCGGGTCAGTAATAGCAATACCGCGAAAAGCCGCTCGTGGTAAGAATGTAGTTCGTCCTACGATTATGACAAGATTAAGTGAGGTATTGCTATTTCAATAACCCCCCTGCACCCATGACCTCCGCAACCCTATAAACTCTAAACCCTAAACCCTTAAACCCTAACAACCACTAAACCCCTGAACCCCTAAACCCCTAACCCCAACAACCTTAATCCTCTAAACCCTAAACCCTAACAACCTTAAACCTCTATATAAACCCCTAAAACCCAAAAGGTTCCACACGGCCAACTCTCCAAGCATACTTTGGCTGAACGACGAGGCGATCTGGGCTTGAAGCGGCTTTTGGAGGGGGCTTTTGGGCTTGTGGGGTGTGGGGTGCAGGGTCTTAGGGCTTTTGAGGGTGTAAGGCTTTTGAGGTTTAGGGTGTAGGGTTGGAGGGTTTCATAGGCCTGAGGTTTCTTTTTTGGGGGGGGGCTTAGGGTTTAGGGTTCGTAGGCCTTAAGGCTTTGTGGGGGTTCAGGGCGTAGGGTTTAGGGGTTGTTAGGGCATCTGGGGGTTTAGGATGTTTGGTTTAGGGTTTGAGGGTCTTGGGCCTTAGGGCTATTTTTGGGGTCTTGGGCTTTAGAGCTTCGGGGGCTTAGGGTGCGGGGTTTAGGGCTTCGGGTTTAGTTTGAGGGTTTACGGGTTAGGGGCTTTCGGGGTTTGGGGGTTTGGGGCGCTTAAACTTCGGGGCCTCGGTGGTTGCGTATTGTGGGTTTTGAACATCGGGCAAGGGCGGTGAAAAGGGCACTCGGGTTGGTTACGTCTTCGTACGTGGCGGATTTAAGCATAGGGAACACCCATAAGATATCCGATCCGGAATCTGGATCCTACTCCGAAGCGCAGAATCCTAAACCCCAATGGGCATAGTGAGCACCCCAAAAAGATCCCATCCAGGATTTGTATCTAGAATCGGTTTACTCCGAAGAGAACCCTAAACCCTAAAGGCCATAGTTTGGATCTCGAATACTGCGGTTGATGATACAAACGCTGCAATACCTTAAGGACCCTGAACTCGGGGAACAATGGTATATTCCTTATTATGGGTAACGCTGGGAATAATGGTTATTATGGGTAATGCAGGATTTATATCATCAACCGTGGCTCGTCTTGGCTTTCTTCTTTGCTGGCTCCTGGTCGAACTTCGGTTTTCCGCCGAAGTGTCGTTGTCACGGATGGAGAGTATGAGAAAACGCGGCGGGCCCTCTAATTCCACTAAACAACTATTACAAAAAATATTCGCAGAAATACAAGAAGGGAGTTGCACAATCAGAATATGAAGCAAGATGGCAAAAGCCTACGTGGAAGACTACGGGCTTCATGGACAGAGATGTCCATCAACGAGGTATCCGCAAACTGTAAGGTCGTTATTTACTCAGATCGCCACAAAAAAGGACACCTCAGTACACAGAATGCCTAGCCCTTAACGCTGAACCCTAAATAAACCCCGCAGCAAGCCAGGAGTGGCCAGGAGAGCTGCGTGATCATGTCAAGGCAGGGCTTATGAGGATTCCGTATGTAAGACTTTGTAAGTTTCGAAGGGTTTTCCATATATGTTTATCAGGGTTCAAACAGGGGCTGCCCAAGTAGCTGGACTTGCTGCATTGCTGGTGCGACTGGATGGTTTCTGGGCTTTAGGGTGTAAGGGTTAGAGGTTTAGGGGTTTAGGGGTTTACGGTTTAGGGTTTAGAGGTTTACGGGTCTAGGGGTTTAGGGTTTACGGATGTAGGGGTTTAGGGGTTTAGGGTTTAGGGTTCAGGGTTCAAGCGGTTTCGGTGTGGTTGTTATTGGGGTACGGGGTTTTCACGGCATTACAAATTAGGGCTTTTGGCGTCTTAGGTTTGTTTCTGGGTGTAACGGTTTAGGGTCTCTTTGATTGATTGCGGGTTTGCTTTACTTTTCAGGGCGTAACTCTAAACCCTACCCTAAACAAAGGGGAGAGGGTGTTCAGCTGCTTTAAGGGTAGCAGGCGTTTTGTTGAGCTTCTGTGCCGAAAGGCGAGCCCCTGAGTAATCCTTTCGAACTCTCGATAGAACCTTTTCCACGAACTTTCCTTCGATTGTCACGATCCGCATGAACATTTCTAGCTCCCTTCAGGGTCCTCTAGCCAGTTGCACCAGAAGGCTTCAAGGTTTGGGGTTTAGGGTTTTGCGGTTCCCAGAACCGGCAGGGCTCTCACCAGGAAGGCCGTTCCATGCAGCCGGGCTCGCACAACGACTCGTCAGTTTGCCATCTGCTGGACAGGGGACAGGAGCAAGGTCTCATCCCTAAACCCTAAACCCTAAACCCTAAACCGTATTCTCCGTCTTAGGTCCACAGAAACATCACTCCCTGCGGCCACCTGTCCCCAACGTCTCCCCTCTGGCTCCGTACCTCCGTCCCGTGCCTGTCCACCATCCTCCACCAGTCAGAATTTTGGCCTTTCTTCGCCATGGTTGCGACAAGCAGATGGCCAGGAAGGAGTGCATGTTTACCCCCTACTTCCGGGAGGCAGAGGCACTTGCGGCTGAGAGCCAAGCAGCTGCAGGCAAACCCTAAACCCTAAACCTCAGCAGAGACACTGTAAGCAGAGAGTATCAGCGCGTACTTCCTCTTGCATCTTGGCCTTCGTCTGCTCGGGTGCCCGATTCCACGGGCAGGGTGGCGGCTGGGTTCGTCTGGTATGGGGGCCTGAATCATTAGAACAGGGGTTTAGGTTTTTGAGGAATACGAAAATATGATTATAGAGGCTTTCTAGCGACATGCTATTACCGAAGTATTCCGACACGATGTTCTCACTTGGTAGTTTTGTTTGCTGCTGCAGTTCGTTCGTAAGAGTGCCCAGCACAAGGGTGTAGAGTTTAAAAGAAGCGCACGGTTGTGCTACCGTCCATCGCACACGACATCGCAAGGCCCGAGCGGGCCGCGAGCTTCCGCTGGGCTCCGTGGTGGTCAGCCAAAGCCTCGGCTTGTCGAGAGGGGCTTCAAAGTTTCTGTCGAATGCTTAGTAGGGAATGGGGGAATGGATCCCAAAAATAGTGCCTTGAGGTCCCCTACAGTAGTCCCAATAATCCATCCCCCCCGTCCCTACTAAGAACCAGACAGATTTGGGCTTAGAGAGGATTTTTTGAAGGTGGGCCAGAGGTTGTGCTCCTTTGCTAAGGCTAAGAGGGCTTCCGGGCTTCGTGCATGTTGTACTTTTTGGCTGTAAACTCAACTTTTCAACTTTTGGGGCTCTTATAAAGTAGTCGATTCTGAAAGTTTCAACTTTTATGTCCTTGGGTTTTGGGCCAGTGAGGGTACGAGTTTAGAGCGGGGTTTGGGGTTTAGCGAGCTTCAGGAGTGTCTGGAGTTTTTCTTTGAGGGTTTGGATAATGATGGGTATGTTGATTTTGGCCAGCTTTGGCCCGAGGGAGTTGAAGCGGGTTTAGCAAGTTTAGGATAGAAGGGCCCCCCCACCCTGTAATATAATAGGACCCGAATATACTCCTTATAGTCACTATTACAGGGTGGGGTGCCTTCTAAAGTTTAGGGCTGCAGGGGGCTGCAAGGGGCTTGAGCTTGAAGGTCTTCTGGGGCCGTTTTACGAAGGAGTTTCGGCTGAGGAGGTTGGGCGCCCAAACAAGTTTGGGGAGTTTCAGGTGGGGAGTGTACCTTTTTTAGCAGGCCTTTTTTTTGAGGGGGGGAGGGGGGGTTGGCAATGTGCGGAGTCGTCCTTCGCCATCTGTCGTTGACCTAAGAGGCTTTGGTCCGCAAAGTCATGTGCTGTCTGGACCAGAAACCCTCCAAGCCAGTAGCGATTCTAAACTCATCGGATCATCCTTACCCCTACCCCGAAATGCTAGACTCTGCTGGACCTAGAACTCCCAAAGCCTCTCCACTCCTTAGCCGCCTTAGCCCAAAGCCCTGGACCAGAGCAGTTTTTGAACCCGTACTGGAACGTCCTTGTGGAGCCGAAATGACCCCTACAGCGACCCTCAACCCTAATTCTGCTGCATCCCTCAATCCTGAGCGCTCAATCATCACAGCCGCAAGCCTAAACCACTAAATCCTAGGTAGAAAAGAAAAAACTCCTTATATATATATATATATACACACACACATATTCATGCAAATAGAGTGAGGATGCATAACCTGAAGTACAACAAGACCCTTGGTGAAGCTCTATACAACTTCTGGAAAGCCTCAAAACCAAACAAGATCTCTACACCCTAGACCCCTGGAAGACACCCGCACTGGACCCTGAGAAGACCCTGCTAAGATCCTCAGTCAGCGGACCCTTTCAACCCCGAAACCCTAAACCCCGAAGCCTGAACCCCTGAACCCGAAACCCTAAACCCGAACCACCAAACCCTAAACACCTAAGCCTTAAAATTTGAATCCTAAACCCTGCAAGTAAACCTTTAACCCCTAAACCCGAACCACTAAACCCTAAACCCTAAGCCGTAACCCAAACCCCTAAAACCCCTCTATCTTGAGGCTATGGGCCCCAGGGGGGGCCCTCAGTGCCCGGCCTGGAGTTCGCTGGCTCCCTGCGCGCTGCCACCTCTTGGTGGATTCCCAAGCGGGGGCTCTTTAGACACACGGCTGATGATATAAATCCTGTAGTACCTTAAGGACCCTAAACTATGGGAATTATGGTATATTCCTTATTATGGGTAATGCAGGATTTATATCATCAACCACAAGGCTTAAGGGTTCTTTAAAAGGGTTACTACAAGGGTTGCTTTCTAGGTTTCGCAGAGGGGCTTTAAGAATTCAGAATTAGAACAAGGGTCTTAGGGCTTTACGCTTTTGATTTCAGGGTTTAGGGTTTGGCACCAAGTAGCCCACATGTCAACTCGTTGAAGACTTGGGATTTAGGGTTTAGGATTTAAGGTCTAGTGGTTTAGGTTCAGTGAAGCATGTCAAGCAACACAGCATACGTTGTTCTTGCAATGGCTTTACCGTGCGAACCTCATCATCGACTCCCACTCCTTCCCGCCCCTTTGCGATCCAGATCCCGGATGATGGTGGAGCTACTCCTTTTCAGCAGCCAAAATGCCTCAGGCAGCGCCACTGGGAATGAGGAGTGGGTCTCCATCCCCAACGAGGTCCTCCCCGCCGAGATCATGAATCGCTTTGCCGAAGCCAAGGCCGAATGCCACAAGGCCCAAGAACGGGCGCGTTGGCCTTATCGACAACGGAGTTGTGGGATGTGATCTTGCAATTGCAAGTCCTTCCCAGCAACCACAGCCAGCCCATCGTTCGGGGCGGTGTGCTGACAGCTTGCTATCAGTTACAAGGGAATAGGAGTGGACAAATGCTATTGCCTGTAGAAGGTTCGGGATTTACAAGGTGTCGTTTAAGAATTGCATGCGGGCTTGGTAAGGTTCGCGTCGAAGTTGAAAAACTCTGTTGGCACCCGGCTTGCCTGTGGCTCCACTTCGGGATTTGTTTACGTTGTGAACGAAGCGTCCGATGAGTTTCGGGTTTACGGCTTATGCTGTCTTACATCCTTAGCAGTGCCGTGAAAAATTGGGTTCACTCGTTGTTCTTCTGGTGTATTGCCCTCTGATAGTTTAGAAGCTAGAATAATCACCGGCTCTGCTTCTTCGGCTTCCTGATTCCTGATCAAAGAAGCTTGAAGTGCCAAGGCTCCCAGAGTTTCCTCCTACAAAATAATGGGTGAATGGCTTACTTTGAGGCCTACATTTTTTTGGGTTATATACCCTTAGCTTAGCTAGCTCTACAAAACAATATCATTATGGGATACAGCGAGCTCGCTATTGGATCTACAGGTAGACCCTCAATGACCGGCAGTAAACCCTAAACTCTAAACCCTAAACCCCTAAACCCTAAAACTGTCCAAGAACACCGAATCCCGAAGCTAAGAAGCCCCTAAAACTTAATCCGCGAATCCCAAAAGCCCTTTCGCCCTAAAGCCCATTCTTTCGCCCTGGTGCCGGAAAACCGTAATATAGGGGCCTTAATGATTACCTGTACTATTTTGGGGTTGCCTTATGATACTTATAGCATAATGGGCCCAAAAAGCCCGATTAGTTATTATATAAGGTCCCTATATTAGAGTACCCTCCTTTAGATCCCTTATGGAACCCTTTAAAGGATGTTTTAAAGGAGCCATCTTCTGATTATTAAGGCCCCTATATTAAGCAACAGCCGTCACTGCGTGGGATGAGGTGTCGAGCCGAGGAGTTCCATCTCTGGAAGCGCATCTGACGCGCAGAGGCGATCCTATGCCCGGCGGTTTTTCCTCAAGCTCAAAGTAAGGTAACTAGACTATAATAAAGTAAGCTATCTATCAGTGGTTCTTTTGGGGGGGTTCCCTCAAAGGATCTATAACAAGAGAAGCTCAAAGTAAGGTATCTATAAATGGTCCTTTTCAGGGGTTGACTGGAAGGATCTATAATAATAAGCTTGAAGGGGTTAGGGTTGGGGTTTAAGCTGTAGGGTCCAGGCTAGGATCCAAGGATTCAGGGTTGTGGAGGTTGGGGATTTTCGGGATGCTTGGGGGTTTACGGTTTCGGTCGCGGGTGTTTAGAAGGGATTTTGGGGTTTAGGCTTTGGTTGGGGCTTAGGGCTTTCATGCTTAGGTGGATCACACGGAACGTGGCCGCTGGTGGTGGGTACCTGGTGCTAGCAGCAACTCGTGCTGGAGGCAGCCTCGGTTTGCTGCAGATGCCCGGCTCTAAGCCTTGAACCCTAAATTACTAAACACTTTAAACCCTACAGTAAAAGCCAGAAAGTTGTCATATGATTATCCTAAACCCTTTATGGTAAATTATAGGGTATCCCACCCTGAAACCATATTCCAACTTTCTGGAGTTCCCTTTAAACCCCTAAACTCCAAACAATTATCATAGATCTACGCCGATGTAGTGTCTAGATGATCCCAACTCCCTGCGCAACTTTGTACTTTCCAGGGCTGGGCACTTGATTGAGAATTGGCCAAGTCCCAGAGTCAAAACCTTAAATCTCGAGACCCTCAACCTTGCTCTAAACCGCAAAACCGTCAATTTTAAAAAGCGCATGAAAGCCTTCTAGAACCTAAACCCCAAACCGTAAAAAGTATGGAAGCTTGTAACAAGCAGGTGACGGAGCGTCTTCGAGATGCATTCGGCGCAGACTCCGTCCAGGACTTCGAGCACGGGACGTGCTCTGGACGAGGCTACGGTAAGGGTTTAAGGAAAGGGGCGGAAACAGATTGACCACGAACTTTGGATGGATACTGTGGTGTAGTTGACAAAATTAGTGTTTTGTGGCTGCGAGTCGTATTTTCACGTGGTGGTATGCTATGGTACGGTTACAGCTTGCATAGCACTGATCCCCGTACAGAGTTGGCTTTTATATTTTTGAGCTGCAATTCTCCCGCTGGAAGCACTCCTCCCAGAGCCTTTTCCCAAAGTCCCCTACCTTCACCCCCGCCTTTGGACCCAGAAGCCTCCATCCTATGCCTCAGCCCGAACCTCAAAGGTCGAACTCATCAATTACGTGCTTGAGTGGAAAACTAGGTTAGTACAGAGTATGTATGTATATATATACACATACATATACATATACATATACATATACATATACATATACATATACATTATACATTATACATTATACATTATACATTATACATATACATATACATATACATACATATATATATATATATATATATATATATATATATATGACTGGCAGGTAGTTTTATCCCTTAGGGCAAAGGCGACATCCTAAACTCTTCGACGACTTTGGTAGGGTAGGATCTTAAGTCTACTGTCGTGTAGCTGTCATGTTGCTTTGTGGCTATGGGGGGGGGTGTATTTTTACATGGAGGTATGCTATGGCACGGTTACATATTGTACATTATTGTGGCTACAAGGGGTATCGTTATTCGGACCCCCAGACATCGTTTGTTTGATTTTTGAGCTGCGTGGCTGCATCTCCTGCCCTGCATGCACTCCTCCCGAAGTCATTTTCCTAGAGTCACCCCGCCGCCTGTCTCAATTTCTTTGGACCCAGGCTGGACCTCAAATGTCGAACTCATGAATTCGGTGCTGGAGTTCAGGGAAGTTATAATATAGGCTAGTATAGAGTATAGAATATATGATTGTCCGGTGCAGATCTGTTCCCTTGGGACAAACGATATATCCTTCGAAACTTCGACTGCTTTGGACGCCGCCTGGGCTGATTTTGAGGCCAAGTTGAACTTCGCGAAGCTTGCCGATGCGGAGATCGAGCTGCCCAGTAGGGCTATAGCGGACCCAGAGGCTCAAGTCTTCACCATAATGGAACCCTTAAGGGAAAACTTGGGGAGGCTCTTAAAGGAACCCCTAAAAGTACCCTCAGAGGTACTTAGGACCTTTTGCGGAGCATTCTGGGCCGACAGGAGCGGTGCAGGTCAAGGCAACATTGCCGGGCGAATGTCTCCTGGTGATCTGCTGTGTTGTCATAGCAACGAAGACTGAGGCTGCGTGTAGTACATCTATATCATATCGTCTAAGACAGTCGTATATACGAGTCATAGGTTTATGTTTCTATTTGTGCCGAAATACTTACTTAACCTTTACAGGGGACATTGAACTGCTGCTCATGCCGGTTTGCTAGTCGCAGCGGATTATGCTGACACTTGTTCGTACAGCTTGCTGCCAAGCACCGAAGAACGCTGGTCAGAAATGCAAGCTGTGACCAAGATCTTGCTGCGGCAGGAGCTAAAAAGGCTGGTGAGCCCAACAGGCCAACAGGGGGTTGGGTTGTCCTGTTCTGTCGACCAGCACTCGAAGCCACGAACCGTCAGCCAGCGTATCTTTACTGCCTCTATCCGTGCCACCAGAACCAGAAACGTCCACCTTGAGTGAGAGTTGGAGGAATTTAGCAGCTTTGCCTTGGTGCAGACTGATTTCAGGAGGTTACAAGTCAAGTAGTTAAACCAGCGTAGTTCAGAATGCTAGGGCTCAGGGTTTGTGTGCAGTCGAAGACTCCACGCAGACCCCTGAAACCTTACCCTCAAGCCCTGAACTCTCACTGAGGGTCTCTTGTCAAGTTTGATGCGAACGGTTTTTAGCCAAGGGAAACACTTCCCAGCGCAGGGCTTTGGGTGCTTCGGTTGGCCCTGAGCTCGAGCTATTCCAACATGGGTTACTAGGTTACATAATACACCTAGTAGTCGAGTAGGTAAAAATTAACAATTTTTTTTGTGTAGTATAGTCCCTAGACAATCCCTATATGACCAAAAAGGTCAACCTGTCGTTCCCCATGATACCCGACAAGTAGGTACATGTTTAGGGTTTAGGGTTTAGGGGTTAGTAACCTACACGTCTAAGGATCCCTATGATAGTAACCTACAATTTAACTAAGTGGGACCCAAGGACTGGGTTCTTGCGAGGAGGAAGTCTATTGACTCTGCCGTGTGGAGGAGCACATACTGCACGGGACCTTAAAGGGTTACTCTAAGGAACCTTAAGGGGCTATCATAAGGAACCTTAAAGGGCTATCATAAGGAACCTTAAAGGGCTATCATAAGGAACCTTAAAGGGCTATCATAAGGAACCTTACTGGGCTACTATAAGGGACCTGTTTACGATGGGTTACGGTCCGGGAACCAGCCAGAACCCGGTTTGAGTGGTTGAAGGTTTCAGCGTTTAATGTTTGGGCCAGCTGCCCTAAGCCCTAAACCTAAACCCTACACCCTAAGCCCTAAACCCTAAAGCCTCAACCCTAAACCCTAAAGCTTAAACCCTAAACCCTAAATCCTAAACCCTCCCTAAACCCTAGCCCGGAGCCCGAAACCAGAAACCCTTATCCGGCTGTAAAGCTCTCGCGTGTCGCAATCCCCAAGTCGCCCAGGTGTCCGTCGCCAAACGCGTCTCCCAAGAGATTGGTGTAGCGGGCTCAGCTAATGTTTGTCACAGTTAGATAACCTTTTGCATTTTTATAAGTACTTGAACCCAATAAGGGGTATGTCATAGTTAAGCAACGTTTTGCTGTTTTAATGAGTACTTAACCTAATAAGGAGTAAAGATGTACATTGTTAATCCTATCCCAACCATGAACTAGTTCTAGGGTTTTGAGTGTGTTTGGGGGTTTGAGGCACGAGGTTCGGGAGTTCGGGGCAGGGTTCGGGGTCAAAGTTTGCAGGTTTAAATGGCACGTTAGAAGTGATCTTGAAAGGAAGTGTGTGGTTCTGTGCATTGGGTTATCAGCTTGGAGGGCTTTGGGGCGTTGGAGTTCGACTTTTTTGGGTGTTTACCCTAAACCCTAAACCCTAAACCTAAACCCTAAACCCTAAACCCTGAACCCTAGGCCTAAGTGTTTCCGGCACTTCGGCTGCGGGATGTCGGTGAAGTTTGGGTTTCAGGGTGTCCTGGACACGCCCAAAGGCACCCTTACGATGGAGGCTTTATGGGCCTGAACTGTGGGTTCGAGGCTTGGGTTTGAGCACAGTTTGGCTGGGGCTTCTGTAGGGCTAAGATCCACAAATACTACGGGCGCAATCCTTGTGGGCACTGTACGGTTTAAGGTTTGGTGATTGGCTTGAGGGTTTAGGGATTGGGTTTTAGGCCAGTAGTGGAGACTCAGAAGCACAATCATAACAGCCACCGGCATACTCATGATTGTGAGGTTTGTCGGACTACACTACTCATTATCATCGTAACAACGGCGGGAGTAGAAGTGGTCATGATCTCAGAGCATCAGAGGATCCAGCCCAAACCTTACACCTGCAACCCTTGACCCGAATCCCCAAGCCCTAAACCCCTAAACCCTACAGTCCCATCCACACCTAAACCTCTACACCCGATTGTCTCCTCAATTCCTAAACCCCTACCCTACACACCTGCACCCCCCCAACCCAAAACCCCCCCCCACCTACACCCCTACACCCCATAGCCCCCTAAACCCCTACACCCCGAAAGCTCGAAGCCGTGGCCCAGGATCCACCCGGTGGCCCGGGTTCAAGGGACTCTTTGGTTGGCTACCAGATCCGACTGGAGAAGAAGGCCCCGACCCACCTAGGACCCAGAGTAGGCCCTTATTTCCTTTTTTTAGGTTTCAGGTTCCCTTATAAGCCTCTTTAAACCAAAAAGGGCACCCTTTTTATTCCTAGGTTACTCTTGGGTCTAGCCACCCAAGGGGTATACTATACTTGGAGGATCAGGGGACTTAGCAAGTTAGGTTATAAGTACCTTAATTGGGGTTAAAAATATTTATAAGTATAGTTACCTTAGTTACAGCCCTATAGTTACTAAGTCCCATGATCCTTCAAGTAGGGGCCCCAATATTAATTACCAATACTATTGCGGGGGGGGGGGGTCCTTCTTATGATTGTAGTACAATACACCCCAAACCCTATTCTAATTTCTAAGGCCCCGATATTAGCGTGCAGGGGTTTAGGGTTTAGGGGTTTCCATTTGTTGGTTTAGGGTTTGCCGGGTGTTAGGGTTTTGGATGATTTTTGGAAGCGCCTTATGCGCTTGCAGGTTCAAGGTCGTAAACGGGCTTCGCAAGGGGGGGGGGGGTTCAGGCTTTGGGGTTTAGGGTTTAGGATTTTCAGGTTTTAGGGTTCGGGGTGTGGGGTTTAGCCCGGGCTTAGTGATGTATCGTTGCCGGCTTGCGGGTTTCATAAGGTGTAGGATGCTAGGTTCATGAGGGGTGCGGGTGTGGGTTTGAGGGTTTCAGTTTAGGGCGTGTACTTGGAGGATCAGGGGACTCAGTGAGTTAGGGTATAAGTACCTTAACTGGGGTTATAAATAAATATAAGCATGGTTACCCTAATTATAGCCCTAATTACTAGGTCCCATGACCCTTCAAGTACGGGTAAGGGTACCGGCCGGGCTTGGAGAGTGCTGGTTGGAACCATTGTAGTATTGAGAACCATGGCCATATAGTCCATAGTAACTAGTAGCTGCAACGCTGGTGATATCAGGAAACATGATGCTGCTGATGACCATGGTGATGACGACGATGATGATGATCGTGACGCTGAAGAAGAAAAGAGTCTGATGATGATAGCAGTTGATGTTGCGAGGGACATTTACTCCATCTTCTGATGCCAAGGATAGGCTTCTCGGTCTACGAATGTAGCACTCCAACCTCAAAAGAGATGTTTGAAAGTGCGTGAGTAAACCTTGAAGGAAAATGTTGGTTAGCAAACCCGAATGTATAAACAGAGATGTTGTTGTTGTTGTTGTTGGTGAGGACACCCTCAACCCTGATAGGAGATGTTGGTGCGGACAAAAAAGGAGATTTTGTTGAGCAAACCTCAACGGGAGATGACGGTGATCAAACCTGCAAGGGAGATGTTGGTGAGCAAACCCCAACCCTGAAAGAATATGTTGGTGAGCAAAGCCCAATCATTGGCATGTTAAGCAGTACCTGCTAGAAGCTGCCCCCACCCTGTAATAGTGGTATAATAGGAATATACTAGGGCCCTAATATAAATATAACCCTTATGGTCACTATTACAGGGTGGGGGCAGCTTCTAAAGTACCTGCATGTTCTGCTTTTGCAAGAGCTCAAGTGGGAAAGGGTTCAGCCGATGGATCCTCGAGAAGCCCGGGCTTCGGGCCCACCATGTCAGGGTCAGCACGACGAGAAGGAGCGGACGAACCGGCACGCCCTATGGCAATTCTGCCGCAAGTGCGGCATCAGGACCATCTACAGTAGAAGCCAGAAAGTTGGAATATCATTATCGTAACCCCTTTAAGGTAAATTATAGGGGATCCTACCATTAATCCATATTCCACCTTTCTGGAGTTCCCTTTACGTCCCACTGTTTGGGAAAAGAGGCATGCATCGATCGGCGGGCCCAATTCTCAAGGACACCGAGGTTTTAGGGGTTTAGGGTTTAGGGTTTAGGGGTGATCGAGGAGGTGAAGAAGTCCGAACCTTTGGGGTACAACCCTCGACTACGCGATAAGGATTGGAGTTTGTGGTATTTTGTGGTGGTGTGGAGTTGTGACGATCAGAACTCACCATCGCGGTCTGAAGCCTTATAGCATACCAATTCTGCACGCATGCCTTGGTTGGTCTTTCGGGATGTCGATCCGGGAATCGCAGGGCGTTGGCTCACGATGTCATGTCACCGCGAGAAATCAACAAACGTGCAGCCCTGCCGCCGGGATTAAACGGTCTTGGGTTGGGTCACGAGCTTGCAGGGCAGGGTCGAGGAACCAGGGTCTACCGCTGGCTACCCTAAACCAGACGTACTTAACCCAAACGGCTGGACAGGTCTCTAGCTCCACGCGCCTGCTTTTCTGCACTGCTGGGTGCTGAGTCACTTTACCACCAATGCTTGTTCTAGCCAAAGTTTCAAGCCTTACTAATCAGAATGCGTCTCATACTACAAGTATACCAGGAGCATAATGGGCCCCCCCTGAACTTCGTCACTGGCCCCAGAGAGACCCCAAAGGCATGAAGTAACCAGTATACTAGGTTGGATTTTGGGACATTTTTTATTTTCCTTATTTGGGTGTATAAGGGGCCCTATATATAAATATTTTTCAGGGTGTTTAAGGGCCAACCCAGTATACCAATGATATTGTAAAGGTCTCTCGAAGCTACTTTTTCAAGCTAACAGCCTCTGCAAAGCCCCTTAGAAAACCTTAGCCCTATAACCCTAAACCCTAAAAACCTAAACCCTAAACCCCTAAACCCTAAATCCTGAACCCCGAACGTCTAAAAAGGGACCTTCCTCTTGATGTCTGCCTACGACAGCTCTTTCGGCCAAGGGTTGCTAGCCCAAAGATTCCTAAGTGCCTATATGGGGAATACTTGCCCCAAGCCATAATCGTACTTCCAGTTATAGAGCCCTACATTGTGCTATGTGGGTGAAATGGCGTTTCCATTCTTGTTTGTTTCTAAACCCTTGGCCTCAACCCGTGAACGCAAACTCCTAAGACCTTGCCCTAAACCCTGCATTACCCTAAGGACTCTAAACTATGGGAACTATGGTATATTCCTCGTAATGGGTAATGCAGGATTTTGTCCATCAGCCGTATATGGCTACTTAGGACCCTTTGGGTAAGATTGCCGCCTGAAGGATTCCAGAGTCGGGGGTTGGGGGCGTCAGAGGTTCAGAGCTGAAGTTCAGGGCCCCTCATCCTGAAACCCAGAGGCACCCCAGTAGAAATCGAACCTTTAGCTGTTTCTTAGAATTTTTAGACTTTATAGTAACCGAGAACTCAAGATTACTTCCAAGTGGGTTGAGGGTCGAAATTCCAGTTTCAGAGACCCTGAATTGAGCGAGAAAGATGATCGCAAAACCCGTTAATTCCTGATCAAACCCAGTCCCTTAAACCCGTGTTGCAAGTCTGCCAGGAACCAAGCCCCGTATCCATTATGAATGCCTACTAGAAACCTGATAATCTTCTCCAGACTGGGCTGAGTCACAAAGCAATCTTTATTAGGATGCCCAGTAGTACCCTTATTCCCTTTTTGTAGTCCTAGGTTCCTGATAAAGTTACCCAGTACCAAAAAGAGAGGCCTTTTTATTCTTAGGTTACTGGGTATCCTAGTCTTTATGCACAGGCAAAGAGCGATGGATCATTGGATGTCCCGTCTGGGACTTGACCGCCGAGAGGTCTCCGGCAAGTGGGACGAAGAAGTCGCGAAGGCTAAGCATAAACTGATGACTGGTCCGAAGGACTCCACGCTGACCATACCGGTGAAGATCGACGACTTCCTGATCTTCGAGGACGCCAAGGAGATGGAGCACAAGGCTGTCAAGTACAAGGAGGACACCTCGCAGATGAGGGACGAGGCCCTCGAAGGCGTCGCCAACACCACTCATCCCTTTTGAATGGGAAGAAGCCTGCCTGAACCATAAACCCGGGCTTTAGGGTTTGAAGAGGACCTATCAAGGGTGCGGACAAGGGTTTTTATACCAGGATTCTTGAAGGCTTCATTTGAGCGGTTTAAGGTTTACGGCTTTAAAGCTCTGGGGCGGATTTTGCATATGGTTTGGGGCTTTAGGGCTATAGGCGTTTAGAGTTGAGGGCTTCAGGGCTCTAGGTTTTAGGGCTTCCGTGTTTGATCAAAGCCTCAAAAGCCCTGAACCCCTAGAGCCCTGAAGCCTCAAAGCCCTTAACCCAAGCCTAATGCAAAACCCCAAAGCCCTGGAGCTTCAAAACCGTAAAACTAAAACCCTAAAATCAGCTTTCAAGAAGCATTTTGTAGAACCTTGATAGAAACTGTACCGGAACCCTTAATCGAACAGTGTGGAGGACGCTTTTCATTTCAAGAACCCTAAATCCCAAAATCCCTAAACCCTAAAACCCTAAAAGCCTTTACTCCTAAAATCCCTAAAGCCCTAAAGTATTCAAAACCCTAAGGCCCTAAAAGCCCGAAAAAACCTTGAAAATCTGAGAGCCGCGAGGTGGGAGTTCTGCTCCGACAGCTGCAGCAGGGCCTCGGAGCTCTGGCCAAGGTCCGGGCTGTCGGGATTGAAGGGTTCCAGGGGTCTTAGGGTGTAGGGTTCAGGGGTTTAGGGGTTCAGGGGTCTTAGGGTGTAGGGTTCAGGGGTTTAGGGGTTCAGGGGTCTTAGGGTGTAGGGTTCAGGGGTTTAGGGGTTCCAGGGGTCTTAGGGTGTAGGGTTCAGGGGTTTAGGGGTTCAGGGGTTTAGGGTGTAGGGTTCAGGGGTTTAGGGGTTCCAGGGGTCTTAGGGGGTAGGGTTCAGGGGTTTAGGGGTTCAGGGGTTTAGGGGTTCAGGGGTTTAGGGTGTAGGGTTCAGGGGTTTAGGGGTTCAGGGGTCTTAGGGTGTAGGGTTCAGGGGTTTAGGGGTTCCAGGGGTCTTAGGGTGTAGGGTTCAGGGGTTTAGGGGTTCAGGGGTTTAGGGTGTAGGGTTCAGGGGTTTAGGGGTTCCAGGGGTCTTAGGGTGTAGGGTTCAGGGGTTTAGGGGTTCAGGGGTTTAGGGTGTAGGGTTCAGGGGTTTAGGGGTTCAGGGGTCTTAGGGTGTAGGGTTCAGGGGTTTAGGGGTTCCAGGGGTCTTAGGGTGTAGGGTTCAGGGGTTTAGGGGTTCAGGGGTCTTAGGGTGTAGGGTTCAGGGGTTTAGGGGTTCAGGGGTCTTAGGGTGTAGGGTTCAGGGGTTTAGGGTTCCAGGGGTCTTGGGCTAGGATGCCCAGTAGTACCCTTATTCCCTTTTTGTAGTCCTAGGTTCCTTATAAAGTTACCCAATACCAAAAAGAGAGGCCTTTTTATTCCTAGGTTACTGGGTATCCTAGTGGGTGTAGGGTTTTAGGTTGACCCAGAGGGTCCAAGTACTCCCTATTACAGGACTTTAGGGCCTTTTGGGGTACCAAAGACCATAAATAGGAACTACTTGGACCCTTAGGTTGAGAGTTGAGGGGTTTAAGGGGTTTTGAGGTTTAGGGTGGTCTAGGGGTTTAGGGGTTCTGGATGGTCTAGGGTTTAGGGGTTTAGTTCAGGGGTTTGGGGTTTAGGTGTTTAGGTGTTTAGGGTTTGGGGTTTGGGGGTTTAGGGTTTTTCGGTTTCGGGTTTTGGGGTCTTAGGGGTTAGGGTTTTGGGGTTTTGGGGATTGTTTTTTTGGGGTTTAGGGGTTAGGGGTTTAGGCTTAAGGGCTTTAGTTTGGGGGTTTCTGGGGTTATCTCCGGTCACGCGGGTCTTCAACAGATTCTAAACGCTACGCTGTTTTTTCGCTTACAGCCTCAGCGGCTTAAATCTTATCAGAATATGTAACCGTAAAGCAGTCCCTCATTATGTGCCGGGACTGCAAACTGTTGGCGCCATGCAGTACAAAGTGTTCAGAATGGTGGTTAGGGCTTTTGGGAGCCATCCTGAACCCAAACTAAACTTTCACCCTCCCGATGATTACACCCCTTTCTGCCCTGCTGCAGAGCATCCCAGGGAACTTGAACCCTAAACCCTGAAACCCTAAACCCTTAAACCCTAAACATCGTAAGGCACATCTACATTCCGCCGTAGTGTTCACTTGCGTGGTGAAGAAAGCCAGCCAATAAGCCAGGGTTTAGGGTTGTGGGGTTTGGGCATTTAGGGCTTTATGGGTTAAGGTTCGGGGTTGATGGTTCAGGGGTTTAGGGTTTGTGACGTAGCAAAGGGCTTTTATGGTTTAGGGTTGAGGGCCTTGCGTTTCAAGGTTGAAGAGCCTGTCATAGCATGCACTTGTTTGTGTTGGCTAGTCTTCTTTGCAAGGTATTCAGTTTTTTTTGGTTCAGTCTTCCCTGGTGCTCGGATAGCAGACTTCTTGTATTCCGGGTGAGGATGCATAGTTCCTATCAGCCGGGCAGGTCACCCACATCTTCATCGATGAGGTCCACGAGTGGGCAGCTCAATCTTAGGGAGGCACCTTAAAGGGGACCCTTCTTCGCCCTAGTTCTGGCTCTCTTAAAAGGGACCTTTTTGAGAGGGTCTACATCCCCAAGGGCATGTCACATGCAAATTGTCATACATCTTCCGTTGGCTCAGGCCGGAAGCCCTATAAAGGGTTGAGTAATCAGAAATGGTGAGGCCGCTAGATTAATATAGGGGCCTTACTAATTACAATTACTATTTTGGGGTTCCCTATTGTATTATAGTTATAGTACTCTAATTATCAAGGCCCCTTTATTACACCCGAAAGCCAGCCAAACCCCGAACAGACAACCCCAAGTACGACGAGAAGCTTTCTTTGCCAATCCGTTCTCTGAGGATCTTAGCAAGGGTTCTTTTGAGGGTTTGGTGGGGTCTTCTGGGTGATCATGAGCCAGGTAGGTCGAGTACATTGTTTGTCATGAATCTTGTGCTAGTTCGGGCTAACCCTGCTTACAAAGTGGGCAGGGGGGGCCTCCAAACAGCCCCGAAGCCCTAACATCTGTAGGCCTTAAGCCTCTGACCCCAAAGCTCCCTCAGCACCAAACCTTAAAACGTAATCGCACCGGATTCGCAACACAGCCAGAGCTGAAACCCTCAGCCCTCAACCCTAAACCCTCTAGAGCAAGACTGACCCCAGAGACTCCAATATCCCAAAATAAAGGAATATTCCCTAAATCATATTAGGGATCCTACTATAATTTAAGGAATATTCCTTAATTCACATTAGGGATCCTACTATAATTTAAGGAATATTCCTTAAATCATATTAGGTATCCTACTATAATTTAAGGAATATTCCTTAATTAAGGGATATTGGAGTCTCTGGGACCCAGCCCTCCTCCTGTCGGCCCAGCTGTGCTCGCAATGTAGGGTCTGGTGCTCAGGGTCGTGGTGTTTCTCGCTTAGGGGGTTGGGGTTTCGGGTCCAGGGTTTAGGGTTTAGGGCTGAAGGTTTAGGTTTGAAGGATTTCGGGGTTAAGCTTTCGAGGTTATACGAGGGGTTTAGGAGTCTGGGGTGTTGTGGCATGTAGCCTTATCCCAAACACACGCCTGGATTTCCAAAACCCTAAGCTCTAAACCCTAAACCTTTATTAATATACACTCCAATCCCCAAACCCCTAAACCCCTAAACCCTAAACCAAACCCTTGGAGCCCAAAAAGCCTCATCCAATTTTCGGGTGCTCAGGCGAAGTGCGGACTGCGACCTTCTGATGCTCCTTCTGCGCCGCGGCCTTGGAAACTCAGTAGCAGAGTAATTAGATATCCTTCAACCCTTTGGGTTACTATAATCCCTATAATCATAAATCGCCATGGTTCACAGGCGAGATGCTATCCCTTGCGGTTGGGTCGGGTGATTCCTTGATTCCTTCACTACCTCACTTGATGTCTGAAAGTATCCCATGACGTCGCATCGCTCCAGTTTGTGGCTGTAGGCTGTTCCGCATGACGGCGCTTCTGCCAAGAGACCCAGGCCCTCAGCCGCCCAAGCCCCGAAGCCTGAACTGCCCTCATGTACACTCCGACAGCGGCGCAGGTCAGGTTCGTGGAAGTCGGCCCGATCTTTGCTTGGTTTTGATGAGTGCCAGATACTTGGGGGTTTGTGAGGGGGGAATTTGAGGAGTTCATCGTGCAATCAGGTTTTTCATCAAAGGGAACCACAAATACAGACTATGCTGATCTTTCGCGTTGCCGTAAGCCTGATTCCCGATCTTCACAGGCGGATCAAGGACACAGCAGTCGGGGAGGGCTTGTCTTTTCCAGGAAGGATCTTGGATTTGGGGTTTAGGGGGTTTTAGGATTCAGGGTTCAGGATTGATCCAAGACCCAGAGCCTGAAAATTCCTTGAAACCGACACATACAGAAGCCCCGATGCATGGATCCTTAGTTTCTACCAGTAGGGCCTCAAACTTCCTCCTAAAACATAACCCCGAACCCCACATAACAACCTAAACCCTAAACCCTAAAACCTAAACCCTAAACCCTAAACCCTCATTTTAGCACGGGGTGTTCGGGGTTCAGGGCTTCGGGAGCTAAAGGTGCAGGGCTTAGGGCACCGGTGCTTTGTGTTCTGGGCTCTAAACCCCAACCTAAAACCTGAAACCTAAACCCTAAACCCTACACCCCAACCTAAAACCTGAAACCTCGGTGATGCGTAGCTGAAGCCAGGCTTGGGGTAAAGGTGGGACTCACACTCCACTTGGAGGTTCATGGGTAGTTATTAGGGTTTAGGGTTTAGGGTTTAGTGGCGTTACAAGTTCCGTATATGGGTTATGACTATAGTTACCTTACTTTTGACCCTACTTATAACTACCCATGATCCTCCAAGTACAACCGAAACCTACCCTACACGTCCTCCCCAAAGGGAGCCTGAAACCACCAGGTCGGCCGGAAACGAGTTGGATGTGTCTGAGGTAGAAGCCTGACTGCGCCGTAATAACATTCATTCGGACATTATGCGCTGTACTCTTAAAAAAGACCCAAACCCTATTCTAGTCTCATCAATTATTGCACCTCCTATAAGATCTCAACAAAGCCTACGATTGATCCTCTAAAGCCCAAACCAGGACAAGGGTTGAGGATGCAGGGTTCGTGGAAGCATAACTATAGTTACCCTACTTATAACCCTACTTATAGGTACTCATGAACCTCCAAGTATTTCAGCACCCGTGACATCCCGCAAACAAGGCGCCTATCAAATGTATGAGGTTCAGGGTTTCGGCCGCCATGGAAACCGAACCCCAGATGTCTAGGCAGTTCAGACGATATGGGAGTTTCCGAAAATTAGGGGTACCCTTATAATAAGGATCCTACTATTTAGTGTACTATATTAGGGTCCCCTATTTTCGGAAACTCCCATATGCCCCCAGGCCACGATGGAGAGTGAGAAGCTGGTCCGATACTTTGGAAGCCGCATGGCCGTTCAGCCTGAACCCTAAACCGAAATACAAGCCCTGAACTCTTTGCCCCCGCTACGACCATCTCCTACAAGAAGCTGAGCCCTAAACCGTCAACCACTAAACCCTAAAATTTAAAGAAGGTGCCATTCGTCCGGCGTCTACCTTGTCTAATTCAGGACCAAAAGCACCGGACAGGGATTTGGGTTAGCCTTAAATCCTAAGCTCCAGAACCCACCTAAACCCGAAACTCAAGAACCCTAAACCCGAGAGAAAGGCCCACCACACGAAAAAAACAAGAAACCTAAACCCGGAACGCGAAGTACGGGAGTGACCTCAAGACGGCAGAAGAAACCTGGAGAAGCGCATGAAGACACACATCCTTTAATACGAGAGTAGCAGCCAGGGTTTAGGGTTTGGGTTTAGAGTTTAAGGTTTATTTAGGGAAAGTTTAGGATTTAGTGTTTGGGTTTAGGGTTTAGGGAAAGCTTGGAACAGGATGGTCAGTGATAGAAATCTCTACTCTTTATCTTCATGGCATGAGGATAATAATGTTCCACCTTTTTGGCATCGACAGTATTGGGGTTCGGCATATCTGCTTGGAGTCCCTATACGGATATACGATAATAGACTATGGCAGGCCTTATATTCTCATGGTTAGGCCCCCTGTATCAGGTCTGCCCCCTGGACGAGTGCCGTAGATGCCAAAGACTTCACCCTGTAAGCAGGGACTCAAAAAGCACATGAGCGTAAGCATTTTATCGGGACATCCTTGCCTTAGTGGGCTTCATTATAAGGGGATTTATATGGGATGTCGCCACCCTTGCTTTTGCTTATGTGCTTTTTGGGGCCCTATGGAAACCTTTACAACTGACCCCACAGCAAAAAACCCTGCGGTCCTAGCAAACCGACTTTCGACATGCTAAACCTCTGCAAACAATTCAAGACAAGCCGACAGAATAAGGATCCTCTAGCAGCCCGTTGCACCCTCTAAAGCTTTACTGTTATAATGGAATCCTTCTGGATTTGTTTCATTAATCCTTAAACCTTAGACTCCTAAACCCCAAGCTTGTCACAACAAGCTTCTAGACCTAACAAACACAAGAATCCTAAACCTAAGCCGTACCTGGACCCACAATAACCTACGCAAAATCATGATAGGTTTTATAGGGTCCTTTGAACCTTTAGACCCTAATCCCCTAAAGCCCTTATAGCCCCAAATCCTAACACCCTGAACCCTTAAACACCTTAACCCTCAACCCTAAACCTCAAAAGCTCAACCCCTAAAACACCTAAACCTTGAACCCGAAACGACACCCTAAACCCTAAAGCCCCCTGAAACACCTAAAGGTCTAAACCCTCAACCCTCAGCCCTTACCTCCGCAACCCTTAAGCCGCAAAACCCTAAACCCCAAACATAAACCCTAAAACCCTGAACCCTCAACCCGAAACGAAACCTCTTCAAGCTAAACCCCAAGCCCTAAAACCCTGAACCCAACCCTCAGCCCTTAACTAAACCTCTTCTACTTGAAGGATCATGGGACTTAGTAACTGAGGTTATACATAAGGTAACTATACTTATAACCCAATTAAGGTACTTATAACCTAACTTACTAAGTCCCTTGATCCTCCAAGTAGCGAGGCCCGAGCTCGGTCCCCGTCCTCTCCATTCCCGGCCGAACCTTTCCGGCGATGACCTCAGGTCTGGGGCTCCGGGCCGTAGGGTTTAGGGGTTTAGAGGTTTAGGGGGGTTTAGGGGTTTAGGGTGTAGGGGTTTAGGGGTCTAGGGTTTAGGGGTTTAGTGGTTTAGGGTTGAGGGTTGAGGGGTTTAGAGGTTTAGGGGGGTTTAGGGGTTTAGGGTGTAGGGGTTTAGGGGTCTAGGGTTTAGGGGTTTAGTGGTTTAGGGTTGAGGGTTGAGGGGTTTAGAGGTTTAGGGGGGTTTAGGGGTTTAGGGTGTAGGGGTTTAGGGGTCTAGGGTTTAGGGGTTTAGTGGTTTAGGGTTGAGGGTTGAGGGGTTTAGGGGTTTAGGGGTTAGGTATGGGGCGCTTGGTGTAGATCTGGGGCTTCGGGTGTAGGGTTTATGGTTTCGGAGGCTTCAAAAAGTGGGATGAAGGTAGGTAGGATTAAGGATCCCTTATATCAGGAAACTTATTTTGGAATGACCCCCGCTCCCTCCCACCTTTGGCGGCCCTTCAGGCTTTTAAATATGCGACGTCGGGTTTGAGGTGTAGGGTTTAGTTGTGGGGCTTTGGGTGTAGGGCTTAGGGATCAGTCAAAGAGATGTATGGCTTTATATTTATATCTGTTTCTAAGCATCTGAGGGATTAGAACATTTTCCCCTGCTGTAGGTATTGCAACGGTTCTTGTCTACCTATGGTGATCTAGGACCTAGGAATGCTCGAGGATGTCACCAGGGCGCTGACTGATTCAGGGTGCCCCAGAACCGTGTTCTTTGTTCATCCTTGTGCCGGCAAGGATTCGTCAGCCTCCCAGAATTTCGGGCAAAAGCCCTTCTCAAGGCTGTTGCTAGCGATTTGGGTCTATGTCCTGAAGCAGGATGATTGGTGGATTGAACCACAAGGCCATACAAGGCTATCATACAAGCACATGCTGCACAAACCCTAACTAAACCCGCAATACGAAACCCCAAGCCCAAAACCCTAAATTAAACCCTAAACCCTAAGTCCTACATAAACACTGAACCCCAAACCCCAAAAGCTTGATAATAAACCACTTCACGGGGCCCCCCTTGTTGTTCCCTCAGGTTCAGCAGTTCTGGCTCGAAGATGCGGTGCAGATGACAGGCTACCCTGAAGGGTTCATGGCTGTGGGTGCAGAGCCGTGGAGCTACAGGGTCTCAGGATTTAGGGTTACGGCTGCAGGTGTCCACCTGCGAAACTTTAGGGCACACATTCAGTTTTCCTCGTGCAGCGCCAGTAGCAGAAGCAGAAGGAAGGAAGTCAGCAGAAGACCGACGAACCACATGGAGCTCACGTAGGCAACACCGGTTCGGCTCGAAAGGGAAGGCTGCGAGATTGTTTTATATGTGTCGGGTTAAGTTTAGGGTTTAAGGTTTAGGGTTTAGGGTTGCGTGCTGCGGCGGCAAGCCAAGACTGGCAAGGGCTCTGGACCAACGGGCGCAAAAGCCGGCTGCACAAAGCGGAGACGGAAAATGACTCCCTGAAACGAGAAGACGCTCTTGCGCTGTTCCAAAAACGAGTGGTTTCGAGCCCGATGCACAAGACGGAGAGAATGCAGACTACTGTGCATCGGAGGCCCCTGCTTTTGCCGCAAGACTCAACCCCAAGCTCTACAGCCCATCAGGTTTGGGAAGGAAAGAGGGTCGACAAGCCTGCAATATATTTAGTTGGGTTTAACACAGGGTTCAAGGTGAGCGCTTGTTAATGTGTGATATTGAAAACGTAAGGGTTTAAGTTTAGGGAGGAGGGCGAATTATAGTCCTTGCCTTGCTAAACCTTACGCCGTAAACTTTAAACAGCACGGACCCCAATTAGCAGCTTGTCCCAAAGCCTGAACCCCGTAATTTCTGGCTGGAACACCCAACACCCAGAACTGCAGGGTTTAGGGTTTAGGGCCTACACCTTGCAGGCTATCGCTGCGAAGAGGAGAGCGAGTTTGCAAAGAAGAGCGGCCCGGCAGAGCTCACATATAAGCGCCTCAGGGTGGAACGGTGTTTGTAGTGTTTTACAGCATTTTGTAGTTTTGGGGATTTATGGGGTCTTCTTACGGCTTCATGCGCGTTTTCTGTCGGGTTTAGGACAACACTACAATTCTTAGGTTTCCTTTTTGAAGTATAGTATACTACATAGGCCCCTACACTAGGGCTTGCATGTTTTTTTGTGTTTTCATGAGGGCTTTTCGTTTGGAATCTTAAGGTTTGGGGACGAACCCCACCTGGCCATGACTGTACCTGCTGTTGGGGGTTTAGGTAGACCCTCATCCACAAAAAGGCACAAAGCCAGATATCCCAAACCGTAGACGGGAAGATCATGGTCTGGACCCTCTGGTGCACAGTGTTTTGGAGCTTTGGGATTTGGCTTCAGGGTTTATAGGGTGTAGGGTTGAGGGTTTGGGGGTTTTGGGCGGTTTCAGGCAACCCGGTATACACCTGTATAGGTGCACGGATCCGTATCGGGCCCGACATCCCCGATCCTTACGGCCCTAAAGTACATCTCCGATCCTTGCGCCCCTAACATCTTCAACCCATAGGCTCAACGCTGAAGCCCGACAGGCTTCAAGTCCAGAAAACCCCACAGGGTTTACGGTTTAGGGGTTTAGGGCTTATGGGTTTAGCTGAGGGTGTAGGGGTTTAGGGTTTAGGGGCACAGGCGAGACCCAGAGACTCCAATATCCCTTAATTAAGGAATGTACCTTTAATTATAGTAGGATCCCTGATATGATTTAAGGAATATTCCTTAATTAAGGGATATTGGAGTCTCTGGGGACGTTCACGATGCAACTGAGGTTGCCCCTAGGTATATACCCTTAATATAGCTATTATATACCCAATATATAGCCCCATTATAGTGTAGGGGTCCCCATTAAGGGTTCATCCTTTTCCCCTTTGAGAGACTTTCACGATGCAACGGAGGTTGGAATCGAGGCATATACCCTTAATATAGCTATTATATACCCAATATATAGCCCCATATATTCCATAATTAAGGGATATTGGAGTCTCTGGGACTTTCACGATGCAGCTGAGGTTGGAATCGAGGCTGGAACACTGAGAAGAAGACCTTCCAGGCGCGGCTGAGCTAAGATAACCAACCATCATCTCATCATTAGACTAGGGTTCCTACCTTAAAGGGCTCCTTAAAGGTATCTATAGGGCTCCTTCAAGGGATCTATGGGGTTCCTTTATCATGACTAGGTAGGGCTTTGGGACATTTTATATTTTCCCTTATTGGGCCTAAAAGGATCTTATTTACTAATATTTTTCAAAGGCTCTAAAGTCCCACCTAGATTAGAATAGGGTTCCTTTAAGGAATCTATAAGGGTACTAAACTTGGGTCTGTTTTGGGGTTCCCAAACCTCGGTTCCTGAGTAGTACCCTTTTGCCCTTGTTCTTTTTGGGTTAGCTTATTATACTCGAGAAGTAGTTATTAAAGCAGCTACCCAGGAACCTAGAAACTATAGGGTGCTGTACGAAGAGCAAAATTATGTCGGGTTCCCTGAAGAAACCATGTTTTTGATAGTTACCCAATGTTATCCAGTTTAGTGGTCTAGTCTATTCGGGGTGTTGTTTTGCGCCGACCTTGCTACCCTTTGTTTCTATGATTCTATATACTTTCTAGCGCACCCGTTGTTTAATGGTTTGGTTTCTGCGCTGAACCGCTGCCTAAGCCCTGGAAACAAAGAAACGGTAAGCCCTGATAAATGGACGTGGTGCGCCAGCATCAACGTCTCTGCTTGAGGAGCCGTTGATCAAGGTGCAAACGGAATATGAATCTGTAGCTGAGTGCTAACCTGTGGTAAACAATGACACGTACCGGCATCGAAAGATCTCTGTGGTTGGAACAGGCCATTGCCCTAGACCCTTTAATTAATGGTTCCTTGTTTTCTGGGTAACGTTTTGGTCGATTGACATTTCCACGGTCAGGATCCCATCACATACTGCTCAGCAGTAGCCCTAAATCCTTCGCCTGAAGCCTCCTCATGGCGCAGAAGTTGAAGCTCTGCTCTGAGCATTCGAATATTTTTCATTGTGAGAGAGGCATGACATGGCATCGGATTTTGGGTTTCGATCAAACCGTTAACCCGATCATTCTTCCCCCAGACGCTTGCCCTGCAGGTATCTGGTGACAAGGGCAAGACTCAGACCCTCACGGCTTACATCGATGAAGAGGAGGAATGGGGTAGGGGTCCCAGGTTCCTGTGATGTACCTGCCAGAAGCAGGGGAGTGTAGGTTTCAAGCCCATGAAGTATGTGGTGGGTTTCGGGTTTGGGACTCAAGAGAGTTGAGGGCATGAGGAGGGGTTGGGCTGAAGGCACCGAGGTGGTCGTTTCGTCTTTTGCGGGTTTTGAAAGTTTCGTGTGCCTGCAGGGTCTTTCAGCTGAGGACGCGGTGCTATTTGGTCAGTTTGTGGCTTAGGGGCCGTGGCCAAGTTGCAGTATGTCGTACCTTAAAAACTCTGTTCTAACAATTACTGATACTGTGTCGTGTGTGGCTTGCTTACTACGTGGCATCAGGCGTCAAGCTTTGGATGTCGTGAGGGTGTTTGATCTGCCTTCGTTTTGCATGGTGCGCTTCGGATATCGTTCGATCTGGTTCCCAGCGATAGTGACCCTTTGTCTGGCTCTTGAGATTGACAACATTGGATTGCCCTGTCGGGTTTAGGTTATAGGGTTTGCTGGCCGATCATCACCAAGTGACTGTAAAGATCCAGCCCGCGCTCGGATCTGAAATCGCATTGCATCCAAAGCGGCCGGAGACCCGAATTAGCGAGATCAATGACGGGTACGTCAACATCGGAAGGCATGTCAGGGGAGGTGATCTCAGAGGCTCCCGTAAAGGCTTGCTGCACGCTGCTTCTTGCATCCAAATTGGGTAATTATCCACATCCGAATGCCCCGGTCATCGCAACATCCCCTGTGAGATTGTATGCCACATCAACCCACGGCTATCCTTAGCCACAAGATTTGAAGGAAGCTTGCTTGGAGGGTCGGCAGACTTTGCAAGTAGTTGTAGTTAATTAAATATCCTATCCCCAATTAGGATCCCTTTCAGGGTACGTATTTCTCTACCTGTTACCTACTTGCTAAGTCCCCCGACCCGCCAAGTGCTCTATGCCTGCAACCTCCTGAAGCTTTATCAGGGTTCAGGGTTCGCATCTAATGCAGGGGAATTTTGGAGATGAGATATCCCCTTGTAATTGTGGCTCCTTCACTCCTATTGTCAGATCCCCGCTCACACATCCAAACCTGGTTCTAAGTTCTAATTACAAGGCCCACATGAAGAAGTTGACGGTTGTTAGCCCCTGTTTAAGGTTATGAGGTTGTGGCACTGCAGTTCAACAGGTCTAAATCCGAAAATTCCGTCGTTGTTTTGTGCCCAAGGCTGTGACGACGAAGCCGAGATGTGTGATCCGGACGTCTATGAGGCCGTGCCTGTGCAGATGTTCAACCAAAAAGCAATGCTAGGACGGATGTTGTTGACGCTGTGTGTATAGCGGAGGCAAAGAGCCGAAACAAGACTCTAAACTTTGCCTACCCAAGAGCCCGACCACAAGGTGTTCTACTTTGTGGATCGTGGGTTCTGGTAAGCAAAGAGATAAGTACTTAAGGCCAGTCTAGCCAGAGGTGCCGGCAGCCTTCGTTCAGCCCCAAATCCTAAAACACCGAATCATGTGAACTCTACAGCGTCTAAGCCCTAAGCACTAGCAACTCCTGAAAGCCCGAAAACTGTCACAGCAGAGGCCCTGAAGCATCCGAAGGCCTCTAAGTAAGTGGCAAGCCTCGGTATAGCGCGGCTGACTCGAAAGGACTTGCGGTCTTATTATGGAAGTTGAGGGTTTTTGGGCTATGGTGTTGGGTTTGGGGTTTGGGGGCCAAGGACGCTGAACTTACGCTCCCTTTGAATCCTCAGCCTGCACCTGCTCTAGCGTATATACAAGCAGTGTACATATATATATACATATATATATATATATATATATATATATGTATATATGTATATATGTATATATGTATATATATATATATATATATATAATATATATATACATATATATATATATATATATATATATATATATATGTATGTATGTATGGTACTAAGAAGAAGAATCAGAAGATTAATTATAAAATAGTACATAAAACATAAATATATATATATATATATATATATATATATTTATGTATATATGTATATATACATATGTATAGCTTATGTGATTTTGTCCTCATGGAGCCTTCGAAGAAGAACATGGAACTCTCCTCCTCAGGCTGAGACGATGAGAGCTTTGTCCTACATGGCCGCGGGCCCCAGTCAGATGAAGGTTTCGGGTCTAGGGTTTAGCGTGCCAGAGGTTTAGAGTTCAGGGTCTAGGGTTTCGGGTTTTAAATCTAAGGGTTTAGGGGATTGGGGGTTTCGGATTTAGCGGTTTGGGGTATGAGAGTCAACAGCTCCGCAGGCCCATCCAGAAGCTCCGAAGCCTTGTATCCCTAAACTCTAAAACCTAAACCCGAACCCTAAACCCTATGAAGTGCTAGCCGGCCACTTCTTGATCACAAAGTCTTCAAAAGACTTGCGAGAGGAGGTTTCCAATTACATAATGAGTTTCCGAAAATAGAGGACCCCAATATACCCTAATCAGTAGGATCCTGATTGATGGGTTCCAACAATAAGGCTCTAATTTCGGAGACTCTCATATAACCAATAATGTGGTCTCTGCAAAAAAAGAAATTATAGCAAGTAGCAATGTTGTTCTCAGGGTTTCTGAATATGGTTGCAGTGTAGAAGATCGCCACAAAATCTATGTTGTGGATGGCGTCTTGCTGCGTAAATTATCTTGCACAGGGCCCAGCTCATCCTTGAACTCAACACTTTTGAAACCGTCTAAGCGCTAAACTCCTTCTACCCGTAATTTATATTGGGTGGTTGTCAATATTAGGGTCCCTTATTGGCTCCTTATTATAATACGGCTTTAGGGTACCCCAAAAAGGGACCCTAATTTTGACAACTGCCCATATCCTGGTCGACTTCTTCCACTGGGGCGGTCTGCGGCACTCTGGGTTTGAAAATCAGGTTTGAGGTTCAGGGCTTGGGGCTCTGAGGTGCTCTGAGGGTTAGGGTTTAGGGTTTAGGGTTCAGGGTCCGCGTTTAGGGTTTAGGGTTTAGGGTTCAGGGTTTAGGGAGTCTAATGAGGTTCAGGGGGTGCACAGGTCTCAACATGTCGGTGCTTGTCGGTTTTTGATTTAGTTGGCTTGTAAGGTTTGGGCTTCAGAGATTTGGGGCTTAATTCAGGGGCTTGAGGATTTAGGAGAAAACCTCGACTCAATCGATGCCCTCAACTCACCGTTCGAGGGCCTTGAGACATAGAATAACTGGGGTTTTGAGGTATGTCAGTAGGCGAATGTTACCGAACCCTAGGAAATGTATCAGTACTTGTCCATGCTGTTGTCTTGATTAACACTGCTAGGTAGGCCTTTGGGATAGTTTATATTTTCCCTTATTGGGCTTAATAGGACCCTATTCACTAATATTTTTCAGAGGCTTTAAAGGGCCAACCTAGACTTGTCTTGACATATGAGGACCATTCTCGCATCAACTACGACCTCATTGAACTTCTCCTGGAATACATCGAGGCCCTGCCGCTGTAGTCGCCGTTGTAGCTCCTGCTGTGGTCTGATTGAGGATCTTATAAGGCAACCCAGAAAAGGAACTGAGAGCCGCGGCTCGGGTAGGTTTTTGAATTGCAGTTTCAGGCTTGGTTAGGTTTCAGGATCCAGTTAGTACGGTTTGAGCTGTGAACTCTTGGCTGGTGCTTTCCTTGTTGGGGGATGTGTCTTCCCTCCCTTCACCAATGCGTACGATTCTTGCATCCGAAACCACGACACCAAACCCTCCAGAATTCTGACCCTTCATTTCCGACCCTTGTAACCCTAAATCCCAGCACTGGTTCCGAAATCCAGAACCCAAGTGAACACTGCGCTACGCTGCACACACTAGTAGAACCGTTTTCGTACAACCATTAACAGACACCAACCTTTGCAAAGCTCTCAAAAAAAATGTATCACAGAACCCCCCAAACCCTAAGCCGGCCTCACATTGAACCCTGAAACCCCAAAATTTGGGCTCACCTTGAAACCCTAAACCCTAAATACACACTTTTGGGGGGCTCACGCTGTGCCAGGGCTCAGACCAGTTCTCCGGCGTGGTGCGCCACGAAGGGGCGATCCTCGTCTTCCTGCACGGCTCCTGGTGCGTTGAATGTAGGAACCTGATTAAGAAATAAGGCCCAAGTTTTCTTGATCAGGTTCCTACATTAGGAATTAGAGAATGGTTTGGGGCTGCGGGGTTCAGGGTTGGAAGATTTAGGGTTTAGGGCACGATGAACGTATGTTCCCTCATTGTCCCTGTAGGTGAGAGACAAGGGTTTTGGGGGGCTGAGGTTTTAAAGTGTCGGTTGAAGGGTTCAGGGCCAGGGTTTGGGTGTTTCCGGCCTCCTGGCGCTCGTTTTTTGGATTGTCTCTTATTTCTTATGTCTCACAGACTCCTATAACTCTGGCATATTCCTGAACGGAGCTGGGAGTTTTGGCATATTCCTTAAGGAAGCCTTGAAATCTATAATCCTAAATATTCCTTAAAGAAAACCCTGAAATCTATAATCCTAAACGGACCCTATACATCCTCGGCCTATAGCTCTACTTCGAAGGATTCCTATAAACCCATCACCCTACGCTATGAAGGAATCCTATTCCCCTTCCCGACCCTAAACCCTAAACCCGCAACCCTCCCTAAACCCTAAACTTGCCCTACACCCTATCCCCAAACTTGCCCTAAACCGTAAACCCTACCCTGCTCTTCAAAGGCAGACGTCTCTAAGTCCCAAGGCCTGGCATAACCCTAAACCCCCCTAAGACCCCAAACCCTAAACTTGCCCTACACCCAAGCACCACCCTGCCCTTTAAAGGTCCAAGTCCCAAGGCCTGGCATGATGGAGATCACGAAGATGCACGAGCGGCTCCGAAGCAACTCGCTCTTCAGCGATCCGAGCACCTGCCCGGAGCCCCGTATTTTCGCGGCGGGGTTTGGGTGGTTTCAGGTCTGCCTTAACCTACCAAACCTACCTTTGGTAGAGCCCGTGTAAGTTCCATATGAGGGATCACAATAAGAACCTACAAAAGAAGTAGGTTGTGGCAGTTGAAGGTAGGGTTTAGGGCTTAGGGTCGCGAGTTTAAGGGACCTTGGACTGAGGGCTTAATTATCCCTAAACCCTAAACCCTAAATTGTTCTAGGCTTCAGGCTTCAGGGCTTAGGGCCCTACGGCGAAGCAAGAACCCTCTTGCAGAAAGGCCTTACTTGAAGGATCACGGGACTTAGTAACTACGGTTATAACTAATAAGGTAACCACACTCATAATTACGTATAACCTAAGTTACTAAGTCTCCTGATCCTCCAAGTATCATCAACCCTAAACCCCAAACCTTAACCCCTAAAGCCCTAAAGCCCTATAGATTCCTGAAAGGAACCCCTTAAAGATTCTCTTAGGGTTTGGCTTTCGGGTCTTTGGAGAGCACCTGCCAGTGCCCTCGGAGATTCGATGTTCGGGTGTGGAGGGGATGGCTCTTCGGGATGTGTAGCGCTTAGGACTGCCAGGTTTTAGGGAGTTTAGGGTTTTAGGGTTTAGGATTTAGGGTTTAAGGTTTAGGGTTTAAGGTGTAGGGTTTAGGGGTTTAGGGGTTTCGGGGTTTGGGTTTAGGGGTATGGGGTTGACGTTTTTTGGGGTGGTCAGGGTGTTTGAGCGCTTTGGGCGTGTTTGGACTTTGGAGGGCGTGGGGTTTATGGCACAGGGGTTTTAGCCTTGAGTCTTTCGGTATGTATGCGTGCATGGATGTATGGGATGTATTTGTATGTCTGTATGCATACGTTTAACTACATTTATGTATGGATGTGATGTTTGTATGCATGGATGGATGGGCGGACGGACAGAGGGGGATGGTGGTGCATGTCGGTATACATCTGATAACTACATGCATACATTCCCAAGCATATTTGCATTATTCGGTTGTCCATGTCGTTGCTTGACAGATAGACGAGGCTTGGTCCTCACGCTCCACAGCATGCTGAGTGGCGAGGATCATGCGAAGGCACTACCTTGGATTCTTGCGGCTTTTGGTACAGGATTTTAGGGTTTAGGGGTTCAGGGTTTGCAAACAAACATGTAGTTGAATGTGAGGTTCTTTTGGTACTGTAATCAGCCCATCAACTAAAGAAACGTGCCCCGCGAATCCCCGATTAAAACGGGTGCTGGTATGTCCGCTCACAGTTCAGGTTCGCGTTTTTAGGTCTTGGTTTGTGTTTTTTGAGTTGGGTGTAGGGGTTTAGGGTGTATAGCGGTTTGGAGTATTGGGTTAGGTCTTGGGTGGGTCGGCTTTCCTACGAGTCGCAATTGGAGCTGATCCGATCTGATCTAAATGCTTCTGAAGCATGTACAGGATGACACGCAGAGCTGTAGAAACAGAATCTTCGCAAAGCTCAGCCGAAGTCAGATACATTCAGGTACTAGACCCTCTTGTCTCCTTTATTCTGGGGTTCCCTGAGTAGAACCGAATACCAGGGAAAAAGTGTCCCCTTATTTATGTTCAAGGGATACGGGTGAACCTAGGATACCATGGCACCCAGCACTTCGTGGACCTCATCATGCACAAGCCTAAACAGTAATCCCTGAACTTTAAATCCGGAATCCCGTGCCCTACACCCTAAATCCTGGATCATTCCCTAAATCTAAACAAATGGGTAGTTCTCTAGATTAAGGTGCAGTTTCGGGTCCTTTCTACAAGGGTGCCGTACTGTTTGGGTGACCCAAAAAGGGGGCACTAATTTGGAGAACTACCCGACGTCTAACCCAGACCCCCGGTAGGATCCAAAAAGTAGATCCCTTAATGGCGGTTCCTATAAAGTACCGCTAATAGTATATAGGGCCCCAAATTTGGGTATCCACTTTCTAGATCTTGTCGGGAGTCTGGGAAAGCAACCTTACACCCCTCAGCATCTGTGGAGGTCTTTGACCCTCCTCGGCCCGGTGTGAGGAAGATCGTCCTAAGCCGGAGTCTAAGCTCTCTGAGGATTTGTGTCGTCAGGGACGGCATCAGGTCTATAGAAGATTGAACACTTAAACATGTAAAGACATTTACATATATATATATATATATATGTGTGTGTATATGACATATTTATTTATATATATATATATATATATATATTTATATATAATTTACATATATATATATATGTATGACATATATATATATATATATGATATATGCTATATATATATGATATCATATATATATATGTATATATATATATATGCAAATCGGATATTGCTATATTAGCCCCTCCCATCCCTGATCCAACTATGAAGGCCACTATATCATCCAGTGACTGTAATCTAGAAGTTTGGATGAATGGATGCATTGTTCCCGCATTAGACACCGAAACCCTATTCCAAGAATTGAGCCCCCCCTTCTTGTCTTGTGTGGGCTGTACCAACGGTCTTTTCTCAGGGGCCTGCTTTCAGAGGTTGTCTTCTGGGGTGTCTCATCACGGTTTCATACAGGATTCTCTGTGCTTCAAGGATCCTCAAGCAGTTGAGCCAGATGACGTAGTTGCGGTCCGCATGAGTCTCACGTTTCTGTTGTCTTCATTGAAACCATGACACCATCAGATCATAAAGAACCCTATGATTCTGAGGGTGCAGCCGTTCGGGGAAAGCCGCAAAGTTTGCAGCTGGTAGAACTTCAGGGTGCATCTGCTGGAGGGAAGTAGCAGCAGGTACCAACATCGCCGAAACCGGCGTGACAATTCCGGATGTCGTCTTCGTCGTGGATGCCGGGAAGGTAAAATGCCTCGGGCTCAGCACCACGGGATCTTCATCACATTTTGAAGATTTCAAGCCCCCCCCCCCCCCCAAGTGGATTTTTGAGGTAATCATCTTCCGTGTGTAAGGGGTGTTGTGCTTTGACTCAGCCCCTGCGCAGTTTGTGGCGGCAAGTTCTGGGGATTGGGACTTGGGGCTTTTGGAAGGTTTTCAGACGGTTTAGGGTTTAGGGTCTAGGGTTTAGGGTTTTTTTTCAGAAGGTTGTTGTCACGCTTGCTGCGGTAGCTGATAGAGGATGCAAATGAGCTGCACATGGGCGGTGAAAGCTGACACAAAGCCACCCAGTGAAAGGCGCATTCTTGCTGCCAAGCGGAAGGTACATATTGATCACTCAGATTGAGATTTGAGGTTCAGCTGAAACCAAAAGCGAGAGCAAGGAGGCTACCAAACTTACGATGCGAGCGTACTGGTATGATTAGTATTAGTATTAGTATTAGTATTAGTATTAGTATTAGTATACGTACTAATATTAGTATCAGTATCAGTAAGCTTTCCGGATCAGAAAGCTCCGCACAGCTCAGAATCCAGAGTCCACTCGATGCTGCTTGGGGCTTGTGTGGCTTTTATTGTGGAAGGTCAGGCTTAGCAGACTTCGTCCAGGTAGTGCCCAAGGAAGCACTAGGTGGAACTCTCTGGGAAACTGTTAGACTTTAAATTTTCCTTATGGTCCTTTACTTTCATGAATGCTCGCGGAGGCCCCAAAACTACAGCCCACCTTATCAGCCTGAATGTTGCGGGCAAGGGTTCAGATTCGTTTGGGGACTTGAATTGCAGTTTCGATCCCTTTATCAGGGTCGTACGGGCTCTTCTTCTCCTCTGAAAGATCAAGCAACGCCACGAGAAGGCAACACATGAAACCTAGATCCTAATATCCCCCATGCCTACAGTGAATTTCGAAACCCTTAACATCCCTAAACCCTGAAATCCGCATGTAGCCCATGCCCTAAACCCTCACATTCCCCCAAACCCGAAACCGAGCCGTGAAACCCAAGGCCCCCATGCAGCGCCCCGAGCCGAGGCCAGCGATACCACGAGCCCTCCAACACGTCCTCCTTGAAAGAGCAGTTCATCTCGAAAGCTGAGGTGCGGCGGTTTTGGCCGGGGGGTTTTCGGAGAGACGAAATCTCCAGACTCCTGATTCTTTGAGTTTCGGAAAACAAGGGGTACCTTATTTTGGGGGTCCTTTTTGATAAGGATCCTACTCTATAGGGTATTATGTGAGGGCCCCCTGTTCTCGGAGACCCCCATTGTTGTGGGGTGTTGTAGGTGCCTTCACCGGCGCTCCCACTAAATTCGAACCCCGGAACCGACTTTGAACTTACCTTTGGTTAGTAGGGAATGGAGGAATGGGGTTTAGGGTAGTAGGGTTTAGGGTTTAGGGTAGTAGGGTTTAGGGTAGTAGGGTTTAGGGTAGTAGGGAATGGATGAATGGGGTACAATTAGAACTACTATTACTACCATTCTTGCATTCCCTACTAACCAAAGCTAAGCGAACGTGGTTTATAGGGCCAGGGTCAGTCCCGAGCGGGTTTTTTGTACCCTGAACTGCGAGAGTATGGATCGCGATCTCTGCTTTTGGCAATCGTTCCTAGAAGCCGCCGAAGCCTACGAGAGTTCGGGATCTAGGGGATAGAGTGTTTGAGAGTTGAGAGTTGGGAATTCAAAGTGAAGCTTGCGGGTTCCATGCTTCTGTGCTCTCAAGCACTCGTTCGAGGTGCTGCAGAGAAGAGGACGTGCTGGCCGCGTTCGTGCTGGATTTGGCCAGGGCAGCAGTTCTTCTCTCCGCGGTACTGCTTCTAAACTCAAACCCCGAAACCCTATAATGGGCTATATAATGGGTATATCATGGCTATATTATCTAAACCCTAAACCCTAAACCCTATATAAACACTAGGCCCTAAACCCCAAACCCTCAAACCTAACAGAGACCTGTTCATCGCCTGGGTTTTCAGAAGAGGAGATCCACAGTTGTCTCTGGAAAGAAATACCGTCAGCCTTTATCTCAAAAAGACGTTGTCTTAAGAGTCTTTATGTGTTATGGTTTAGGGGAACTCCAGAAAGTTGGAATATGGATTAATGGTAGGATCCCCTATAATTTACCTTAAAGGGGTTACGATAATGATATTCCAACTTTCTGGCTTCTACTGTATAGGGTCTGTATATTGGGGGCGTTCTGAGCCAGAGATAGGGTCGCAGGATGTCAGGGCTCGGGATGGGTGTGGGCTTCCGAATGCATTCCTAAACCCTAAACCCTAAACCCTAAGGCTCTATGCTGGTGTTCAGTCCTTAAGGGCCTTCAGGGGTGCCGATGTCAGACAGGACTTTAGGGCAAGTTGCTTCAACAATGTTGGTGTGTGTGGGTTACTGTACAGGTCGTAGGACTCATATATATAGGTGGTTGTCAAAATCAAGGTCCCTGTTTGGGTCCCTATTATAATACGGCACCTATTATTTAAGGGTACCCAAAAAGGGGCCCTAATTTTGACAACCACTCATATCATGAAGAACCCGAGTAAAGACCTAGAGTTTCTTCATCAGGTTCCTGGACTATCATGTTTGAAGGCCTTCCTATTTGCACATGCAGTGATTCATACCGCCGCGTAGTTACTTGCTGCACACAAGTGGCCACAACCCCAGCGACTCTGGACCCTGGGTCCGAAAGAGAGCCATAATCCTAACACTTACCCAGAAACCATGGGCCCTAAACCTTAAACCCGAAACCCTAAGGTGTTCAACAAAAACCGAAACCCTAAACCCGAAACCCTAAGCCCCAAACCTTAAACCCGAAAATCGAAACCCTAAACCCAGGAAGGCCCAAACTCGAAATCCTAAATGCTGAGCCGCACCCGAAACATCACACCGGCTTAGGGTTTAGGGCTTACGATTAAGGGTTTACGGTTTAGGGTTTACGGTTTAGGGCCCAAACCCCGATGCCCTTTAACCCCAGAGACATAAGGCTTTCAGTTGAAGGCTTAGGATGTAGGCTCATACCCTAGCCCTTTTTTAGGGGTATCTACTTTTCTATTTACAGGTCCTAGCCATAAAACTAGGTATCCTGAAAAAGGGGTAGGGTATGAGCCTCTAGGTAGGATGTAGGGTCTGGGATTTAAGCCTAAGGGTTCCCTTAATCGAGCCTTGAGCTGCGGACAAGCCCGAAGTATACCCAAACCCGACACCCCAAAGTTTCAGCCCAAACGCCAAACCTCGAAGTTTCCCCGGAGTTCGAAACCCTGCAGGCTTTACGCTTCTGACGAAGAGCCGCTTCAACATGAGGCTGCAGGACCGGTCTGGGTAAGACGGCGCGTGAGGATGCGGGCTTACGGCCTTTGGGGTTTCAGGGGCTTTACAATCGGGACGTCAGGGGCTCAGAGTTGCAGTGGCTGATGTGTGCATAGCTTTGGGCGTCGATTTTGGGCTGTGCAGTCTTGGGGTAAGAGGTGAAGGAGGGCTAGAGAATCCCCATAAACTGTAAACTGTAAACCCTAAACCGTTAAGTAGAGCTACAGAATCCCGGTATAGTAGAAGCCAGAAAGTTGGAATATGATTATCCTAACCCCTTTAAGGTAGATTATAGGGGATCCTACCATGAATCCATACTCCAACTTTCTGGAGTTCCCGGTCAGCCCATAGACCGGCATTCAATCCTACTAGTACTCAAAATAATAACAATATTACTATTAATAATAATAATAATAATAGCATTCATAGTATTAATAGTATTAATCTTAATAGTAATAATAGTAATAATAGTAATAATAGTAATAAAGGTAATAGTAATAATCGTAATAGTAGTAATAATAGTAATAATAGTAATAATAGCAATAATAGTAATAATAGTACTGTAATCATATCAGTAGTAGTTATAATAATAACAATAATACTCTACCCGACAAGCCTGAAGTCTAACTCCGCGGGACAAGTGCCTTCAAGCAAACCAGCAAGCAAACAACACACACGGATAAACTCGGACAAAGCCAGGAAGCATATATGTCCGTGAAAATATAATGGATGGAGGCTCCAGTTGGAGTGAGCTCAGGCTCCTCCCTAGAGAAAGGCATCCAGCAAAGCCGTTCAAGCACGCCCATCCTCACCGTGACCTTCGTCCTCTCTCCGAAGACATCTTTTCTGCTCAGGGCCGTGGTCTGTTCAGCAAGACAGTCGTGGTTCCTCGCAGGGAGCACTATGCCAGTCATACACCGGAAACCCCCACCTGGCAGACGGAAATCGGAATTCGGAATTACTATTTTAATAGGGTTGGGCAAGTATTCAATTCCCCGTATAGGGTTCTTGGGACCCTTTGAGGCAAGAGGTTCGACGCTTTTGGCAGGAGATGCCCACGCCGGAGATCCTCCGATGCTCTCTGATGGAGCTGATGCTCTCTGCCGGGATCCCAGAATTTCTGTAACATGGGGTCTTTAGAGGTACCAATACTGAAACTATTCGTCAGGGCTTCTTGATTTCAAATTATGCAGAGGGCCTTGGTTTCTATGGTCTGACTTAGCCTCCTAGACCGAGAGCACTTCCTTTCGAAGGTTCCACTTACGGCCGTCTAATGCCTCTATGCCCCTGAAGCATACCCCCGACACTGCACTCTGAAGCCTATAGTCCCCAAGACCCTGGACCCCTAAACACAAAAAAAACCCTAAACCCTAAACCGTCCCGAGCTATGAACCCTAGATCCCACCCCCCTACAAACTCCACTCCTCTCCTCAAACCCCAAACGACCTTGCTTCCAAACGCTACACACCAGAAAACCCCGGCGTTCCTTAAGCCCCAAAGGTACAAACTGTAAAGTCTATGTCAAAACCCCAAACGCTGACCCCTAAACGAAGCCGCAATCCGGCACGGAACCTAAAACCCTAAACCCTCAACCCCAAATGGGAAAGGAAGCTTTAAACCCTCCCCTAAACACTAAACCCTCCACCGAACCCTAAGCCAGAAGCAAACCCCATGCCCTCCAGATCCTCAGCCCTACGGTTGATGATATAAATCCTGCATTACTTTAATGACCCTAAACTATGGGAATTATGGTATATATCTTATTTTGGGCAATGCAGGATTTATATCATCAACCGTATTATAAGCCCTTAACCCTCATTAATTCGCAGACTTCCAGGTTTTGAGCTCCGGTCTTCAACCGAACTCGTTCACCGAGGCATCGCCCAAATTGAGGGTTTTTTGCCGGTGCTGCTAGAGTCCGAAGACGCGCTCGTAAATTCAGAAGGCATGCTCAGAGCAAAGCAAGATCGTCAGCACAGATTGAGGGCTTAGGGTTTAGGGGTTTAGGGCTTAGAGGGTTTGGGTTTAGGGGTTTGGGGAGTTTAGGGTTTTGGTTTGGATTTAGGGGTTAGGGTTTGGGGTTTTTGGTGGATTGTTTCGGGTTTTGGGCAAATGGTCTATTTTATGACTTAGGTGTTTAGGGTTTAGTTCGTCAGGTACTTGAGGGTCAGGGTTTAGACTTGCTCAGGGTTGAGGGCTTTTGGGCGTAGGAAACCGCTAAACCCCACAAACCCTAAGGTGTCTGCGGCTTCGAAGGGCTTGCTGCTTTCTGGTTTTGAGAAGCACAGAGTTGCCTTCGGGGGTTTAAGGGCGTAGGATTGAATGTAGAGTTTATAGGCTTTAAGGGATTAGGGCGCTCAAATCCTGAAAAATGGTCTTCCGGCAAAAAGTCGTATTCCCAGAGTTTCCTTATCAGACTTATACAAAATGAAGCCCCAAACCAACATCTGTTTATTCAGGCCCTTATATGTATAAATACAAGAATAAATAAGCATATACACATATGTATATATATATATATATATACACGTATTTTCTTTTTGTTGTTACCTTGTTGTCTTGTGGGGATCGTGTATCACTGCATTCGCATGAAACGATTTCATGATTCAAGGGTCTTCACAATATCCCTGGAAGCTTTAAACATGAGTAACCCAAAACCGTCTCCTTTCTGAAGGGATCGTGGAAAATCTGGGAGCCATCAATCGCGTGAGGCGCTAGATCCGCCTCCCAAGTCCCGAATCGACCAGGCGCGAAGGGCCTTTTGACAAGTTTAGGGCGTGAGATTTCTAGGGGATTAGACTATGCTTCGGGTTTCGGGCTCAGGGTCCAGGAGGGGATTAATTTCGATTAATTAGGGCAAGTGGGGCTGAATTAAGGGGTATTGTGGAGCGCTGTAGATTGTGTCAACATCACCGTCATCACATTACCAGGATTAATGATAATCATCAGCATCGGCATGATGAATATTATGTCAATGATAATCTGATGTCGATGGCGATCATGGTACCATCAGCACCATCACCGCGAGCAGCATCACCTCCATCTTTTCGATTGCCTTCGCAACATAGACATTCTTAACTTCGGCCGTCAACCAGCTACGTCAGCCAAACTGTTTGAGTTTCGTGTGGCCCTTCGGGCGCGAGAGAGAAAGATGGAGAGAGAGCACCACAAGGAAGCAAGAAGAAAAGCGGTTTGCGAACAACACCAGAGAGCGCGAGAGAGAGAGAGAGAGAGAGAGAGAGAGAAGCGAGAGAAGAGAGAGAAGCGAGAGAAGAGAGAAGCAACCAGTACCACCAGGAGGGATGGGGCAAGAGCCTCTTGCTTTCTGATTCTTCCCAGCATCCCAAATCCTTAACCCTGCAACCAAACCCTCCAGACCTGAAAACCCACAAAATCTGAAACCCACAAACCAGAAAGAGATTCCGCAGATCCTTGCGGAGGCAGTGACGACACTTCGGTCGACGGGGGCTGTCGAAGAGGGGGCCATGGGCCCAGAGGAACCGTCCTGCCCTGGAAGGTGCTTTTAGGGTCTACGTGCACCCTAAGCAACTACTATTTGCTTAAGAACCCCCAAAAAATAAAAAATATATTCCTTATGGGGGGTAATATAGGGATTATTATTTTTATTTTTTTGGTGTTTCTTAAGCAAATAGTAAGCAACCTTGCTTTTGGGGGTTCCTTAAAGTGTGCTGGAGGACCATGGCGTGAGTGTATATGGGTTCAGGGTTGGGATTTTCGGATGTGGGGCTTGAGGTTAGGATGGTTACGCGTTTTCCAGGGTCTGGCGGTAGTTGGGTTATAGAGGCCAGCTAAACTACCTCAGCTTACCAAAACCTGTGTGGTTTTGCAGGGCCCTTTCAATTCACTTTAAAGTAGGGTGTATAATAAGAGCCTACAACATGATTAAGTCTTGGTAGTTCAAGGTAGACCTTAAACCGTTAGTTCGAGCCCCTTTAACCCTGATCATAAGCCCTCAAAGTAGTAATAACATCCTAACAAGCCCGTCAATCCGCCCGGCAAACATGTGAAAAAAACCATGCACCTTTTACATCCTAAACATCCCGAGACCCTAAACCCTAAACCCAGAACCTAAACATCCCGAAACCCTGAACTTTGCCGCCAACTTCGAGGTCAGACCCCCGGATGCCCCGCGCTGGAGCCGCGACGAGGACGATGCATGGACGGAGCCTCAGTTGTAGGGTTTAGGGCCATTATAATGGGCTTTCTTAAGCGATTAGGGGGGTCTTGTTGGGTTGCTTCTGGTTCTTTCACTTTGGCGGGGTTTGGTGTTTTCTTAGAGTTTTGGGGTCTGGGGCGTCAAGGCTTAGCCTTTTTTTTGGGCGTGCTAGTTGAAAGGCGTCATAGGCGGCAGAGCTGTAGTTCCTACAGGACCGCAGACACATGAGGACAGCATAGGCGCTGCCTAGTAGTCGAGTAGGCAACCTTTAACCTTTTTTGGGTAGTATAGTCCCTATATAATCCCTATATACCCAAAGGGTTAACCTTTAGTTCCCCATGATTCCCGACAAGTAGGACTATACCCGAGGCACGTCCTAAGTTCCCAGACCTCGACAGTGCGGCTTCCAATTTTCAGAGGGTGCTTGAACCCTGCGCTGAAAGCTTACCCCTACTTGGAGAAGTCTCTCTGGAAGTTACCGGTCACTGTAATCATCAGCTTTGAAACGCTTATTTAGCCGATGGGAGAGCTTTCAAACACGTTGGCCTTAGTCTTAGCTGTTAGTCGATTAGAAACATTGAGCTTTTTTCGTAAGGAAGAGAGAGTTCTTTCAAACCTGAACCTGAAGCGGATTCCTTTCGAGTTCGATGGGTCGGGGAAGCTCATGATCTCCTGGAAGTGTTCTGATGGGTTGGGTACTTGGGTACCACACCGCTGGATACATACCCCCAAAAACCCTTTTCTAGTTGTTACGGCCCCTATATTAGTCAGGGCTCTGGGACGTATTTCGATGCAGAGATGTTGTCGAAGCACAGCCAGTGACATCCATTCCTGTGAGCAGTCGAGGTACGTGATCACGCCGGTAGGCAAGGAGCTCAGTTGCATGGTGCCCAGAGACTCCAATACCCCTTAATTACGGAATACGCCTTAAATCATATTAAGGATCCTACTATAATTTAAGGTATATTCCTTAATTAAGCGATATTGGAGTCTCCTGAGGCAATTAAGCGCCTAGCCCCTGAGCCCGACTCATACCCCTTCAATCATGATGTTCTAGGGGGCAATTTGGGAAGCTTTTTAACTCCCCTTTGTGGTTCCTATAGAGGTACCTGTTCATGAATACTTTTCAGAGTCCCAGCACTATAACGCAGTGTTCAGCATCTTATCATTTAAAATATGTTCCTTCAGTAAGGGGTATTGTTGGGCTCACTTGGTAGTGAGCAACTGCTGCACGCCTTTATACTCTAGGGAGGCGGTGTCGTGAGTTTATGCAGTTTAGTAATTTAGGCATTCCAGACCGTTTTAGAGTTGCATGAACTCAGGTCTGCTCACTAGCCGAGCAGGTAACCTTCAATCTTTTGGTTTCTACAAACCCAATATAAGACCCAGAGGTTAACCCTTGGCCGCGGTTGTCTTCCCTGGAATACTGGACAAGTATGCAACGTGCAGGCAATATAGCATTACTCAAATCGCTCAGGGCTGGGTTTCTGCCGGTCAGGTAATTTGGTGACTTCCGAAAATTAGGGGTACATTGTTTTAGGCTCCTTACAGTAAGGATCTATTATTTGGGTACCATAATATAGGGTCCCGTAACTGTCGGAGACTCCCATTTGGTGACAAGCAGCGAGGAGTTCTGACCCAAAGCCAAAGCTTACGCGTTTGAACATCGAGGCCCAAAACTCGCAATAAAGAAGCCTCAGTAGTTTGACATAACTTCCCCTACGGATAGCCAGAAATACTACGATATACCTAAGACCCTGTTGTAATTAACAAGGCCCCGTCATTCAACCTGGTACACCGCAGCCCTAGGGCTCTTACCAGTTACTGGTAGACATGAGCCCAAGTAGTACTCACTTCGTGAAATACGGTTGATGATATAAATCCTGCATGACCTTAAGGACCCTGAGCTATGGGAATAAATGTTATATTCCTTATTATGGGTCATGCAGGATTTATATCATCAACCGTAGACCGACTCAATACGTATGCTTCATTCCCAGCTCCGGGAGCATATAAGGTTTTTGCAACTTGAGAGTGGCCCAAACCAGACAACCTGTTTAGGCAGGTGGACGCTACTATTCATCATTCTGCAATTCACCCTAAACCATGGAAAGAACTAGACAGAAAGTGGTTAATTAGTCTCTTTGGTAGCAGGGCACGACCCTAAACTGCTTGGCAGGGCAATGTTTGGTCCGCTTGCCTTGTGACGTGCGTCTCGGGAAGTTCCTTGGCCGCAAACTGTGTGGTTCGTCTCCAGTCTCCTCAACCCTAAACTTATCACATGCGAGGATGTTCGGGATTAATGGTTTTGGGTTTTTAAGGTGTGTCTAGGTCTCCTCAGCCCTGGAACTCTAAACCAGTTTCAGATGAAACCTAAAACTCTGCCCTAAACGCTGAAACCCAAAACCTGCCGGGTTTTTTGCATTATGGGGTCTCAGATTTGAGAGCTCCGATTCAATAGACAGCCTTGACAAGTACAAAACTGTCCTTAGTTCCGGGTGCATTGTCCATGGCAGGTGGGTTCCGACTATCCGCAAGGGTCCTAAGTTCCTATATGGGGCATACTTACCCCAACAATAACTAGTTGTGATTCCTACTATAGAGCATCACTTTCTACTATGTGCGTACTTAGGGCTTTTCGTGTGCGTACTTAGGGCTTTTCGGCTGTCAGTTTATCTAAACAGCATTCCTGAATGAAGGGGTTTCAGAGCCACAAGTTTTGTGGAGCATGTTTGTAAGGTTGAGTGTTCGGGGTTTAGGGGTTTAGGGCTCATACTTTAAATTTTCCGATTCTGGTGTTGCTTACTCCCTCAAAAAATGCTACACGCAAGAGACCTTCAGAGCCCGGGGGGTCTAAATTACGGAACTAGATCATGAGTTTCAGAGACGTGAACTTCCTGAGTATCCCTAAACCCCAAGACTCCGCAGTAAAGCTCCGCACGAGGATGGTCTTATACGCGGCGCTCTTCGGTGGAGTGGAGGCAGCAGGGATCCCAGCTTGCTGACCCTGGTGTTCGTTCTCAAAATTGTTGTGAATCGGCCTCCAAGAAATAGGGCTAGGGCATTTAAGTCTCGGGTTTGGGACTAAACAAATCGTGAGGGTGACTGCAACTGTTGCAATGATACAGTATTGGTTGTGCCGGGGTGATCGTAGCAGTCGTCTTGAAGTGACGGTCATGATGGTGGGCCATGGTGTTGATGGTGGTGGCGTGTGGCGGCGGTGGCTCTGGTGTTGGCAGTGGTGGCAGCCGTGGTGGTAATCGTGACGCTGAATAGTATCTGGAAAACTCCGAGTGGGCGTGGAAAAGTGTACGAAGGATGGCAGGATCAGTGCATGTACTTGTGGTGTTGTTTTTGCCTGTTGTTGGGCACAATGTTGAACAACCTCCTCAGTCAACAGCATCTTCGTTTGCAGAAGATCTGTTCTGTTGAAGAATCTCTGCATCTCATGTTCTTAGGGTAGACGCGCAGCCCCAGCATCTCATGAGACAGCATGCCTTTTTCCGCAAGCTCTCCAGACCAGCAGCCCCAAAACCCTCCCTGCCCTCTCTTTCCCCGCACCCTAAACCGCTCAAAAACTCAAACTGAGCCCTATAATGTAGGAACCTGATTAAGAAACCTTGGACCTTTATTAGGGTTCCTTACATGAAGCCTACTATTTTTGGGGTTATAGTCCCAGGGTTTCTTAATCAGGTTCCTACGTTAAGCCCGAAGCCCGGAATCCTACTTGGAGGTTCATGGGTAGTTGTAAGTAGAGTTGTAAATAGGGTAAGTATTACTAATATGGGTTATACTATAACCCATATTAGGGGACTTATCACCCCACTTATAACTACCCTAAACACCTAAACCCTAAACCCTGTACACCCCTTAAAGGAACCCTTAAAGGAACCCCTTTACCCATGAACCTCCAAGTAAGCCTTTAAACTTCGCCTTCGTCCCCTTCTCATGATCCGAGGTCTGGACTGTTGCTGCGACGCTGTCGCATCGGTCACCGCAGGATCCCAAGTGCCCGGTTCATGCTCCCGGGCTTATACCAACTTGGAGGATCAGGGGACTTAGTAAGTTAGGTTATGAGTACCTTGATTGGGGTTTAAATAATTATAAGTATGGTTACCTTATTTATAACCCTAATTAGTAAGTCCCATGATCCTTGAAGTAGTCGAGTAGGTAACCTTTAAGCTTTTTTGCGTAGTATAGTCCCTATATAATCCCTATATATCCCAAAAGGTTAACCTTTAGTTCCCCATGATACCCGACATTGCCGTTTAGGGTTTAGCTTGTTGTGTAGGTTTTGTGGGTTGAGGGCTTCGGGTCGAGGGCTCTTTTGGTCTATTGAGATCTATTGAGTTTAGGGTATCAGGTCCCTTGAAGGAGATCGCTTATGTGGGACACCTGACCTAAATCCCCTGAACCCTAAACCCAAACCCTAAAATCCTAGAACCCTAAATCCCTGAAGCCTTAAAACCATAAAAACCCTGAACCCTAGGAACCCTGAGCACCCCAAACCCTAAATCCCTTAAAATCGATCTCTCACACTTTTTGGGTACCCTAAATATTAGGTGCCGTATTATAATAGGGACCCAACAAGGGACCCTAATTTTGACAACCACCTACCCACTTGGAGGATCATGGGACTTGGTTTGTAGGGTTCTGAACAGGTTCCTTTACGGGCTCCTTAAGGGTTCCTGAAAGGGGTCTGTAGGGACCCCAAAAGGGACCCTAATTTGGACAACCACCCATATTATAGTACCCTTATAGTAACCCTTATAGACCCCTTTCAAGGGGCCCTAAACCCTAAACCCTTTTTGGGGACCCCTTTAAAGGGACCCTAATTTTGACAACCACCCTGACATGGGACATTCGTTGAGGCTGGCATCGCCCTTCTCCGAGAGCAAGCGGGCGCAAGCCAAGCCCGGCTCTCACGGTCTTAAAGGCTTAGGGGCTTAGGGTTTAGGGCTTAGGGGTTTGGGGGTTTAATTAGCGGTTTAGGTTTTAGGTTTTAGGCGTTAGGGGTTTAGCGGTTTAGGGTGAGTTTAGGGTGCCTGTCTGCAGGGTTTTGGATTTAGGGCTACGTGTACACCCCCAGCTGCCCTTTATTGCAGGGAAAGTAACATTATCAACGACCATAGAGGCTCTAGTGAAAACTTAACGCCGACAGCCTAAACCCGAAACCCTTCAGATACATGCCTGAGGGATCCCGGTAAGCCCCACTGCACCGCTGCCAGGGCGACGCACTGCGCCGAGCTGTTGCCGAAGGACCGCCAGTGGATTTGGGGGGTCTAGGGCGGTTCATTGCAGGTTCGGGGCGCAGGGGGGGCCAGGGTCTACCTTAAGGACGAAATGAACCCTAAAAGGGTTTAAGGTTCATATACCATATAGGGATTCATAGTATATGGGTATAGGGCCCCTACTTTTAAGCGTCATTTGGTCCTTCAGGTACAGTTCATTTTGGGCATTTGGCACCTGCAGTGCTTGCAGCACAAGCCACTATCTTGCTGTGTTTGCGATGTCTAGGGATGTCTCTGCTTGGGTAACAATGCTACAGGGGGTCTGATTTTTTTCATCGTACCATTCCCTCCTTATTCCTAGATGGCGATACTGAAAGCCTTGCGTCTAATTATCAGATTCTGGGTGGTTCAGGGGTGCAGGTGAGTTCGCGATATTTCCAAGTCTGCCTGCAAAGACCCCAAACCCTAAACCCCTGCAAAGCTGCGGCGCCGGGAGTCAAAGGTGCATTACACTTTAAACACAAACCCTGCCAAGATTCCCTAAACCCTAAAAATCCTAAAACCCTAAACCCTAAACCCTAAAACCCTAAACCCTAAACCCTAATTCCCAAACCCTAAACCCTAAATCCTAAACCCTGCATCCTAAATCCTAAGCCCTAAACTCACGACCGGAAACCGCCTCAGGCGGGTCCGCCCTCGGATCACCTAGCGCTGAACACCGCCTTCGCAAGAGCCTTGGTCATGGGGTGCAGGAGGTGAGAGTTTGGGACACCAACTTCAAGCAAAGACGCTTTGGATTGAAACCAAAGAAGGGTTTCAGAATGCCTGAACTAAGTGAAGATACGTCTGCTTGTGTAGATTTGAGGGTTCCTAGTTGCAGGTCGTCTTGCACGGTTAGGGCTCAAGGATTATGGGGGATAGCGTTCATTCTGGGTTAAAGTTCTGGGTTAATTACTATAGTGTTCGGAGTTCAGGGTTACAGGGTTAAGGCTTGAGGCTTGAGCGGGACTTTTTGGGACTTGGCCAGGAACCTACCGCCTGAACTTCTTGAGTTCCTTGCGTTGCTGATTATAGGAGGGCTTAAGAAGTCAACGTTTAGAGGGTTCCAGGTGCCGTGGCCACTGAGATTTTAGGGAACCGTTTCAAGGTATTCCGGGCTAGATGCTAGACTCGACCCCCAAAAAGCCTTAAGCAGCAAGGGTCGAAGGCCGATTCATGGAGTTGCGTGGCGTCTGAGGCCAAGTGGGAGGATGCACGCAAGAACAGAGTCGGGTGCTCAATGGATGCTGTCATGATCTCTTGTTTGTTTTTGATTCTTATGGGTTTAGCATGTGTGCCGGGGTGAGGTTGGCAAGATTTTCCCACCTAGGTGAAGACGCCTAGTGCTATGGGAAAGTATCGGTTCGGTGGTGTTTGTGATGAACGAAGCACTACCACACACCCCAGACTCAAACCGCAAAGCAGCCTGACCAGTCGGTAGTACTGGTGTTCCACGGGGTCCCTCACCTTGAGATCCCAATACCCCTCAAGGAATATACCTTGAATCATGATATTAAGCCCCCTTAGTTTAGGTTATTCCTTACTTAAGGGGTATTGGGATCTCTGGGTATGCAATCATAGCATTAAAACATCCCACACCCTTACCATGCAGTATCAAATCCCCATTAATCCTTACACGTACGTAGAGTACCAACTCCGCGAAGCCCGGGCATTTATATACCCTAACAGCCCCTCGACGAAGAACGGAAAATCTGGGTCTTGTGATTTAGGATTCTGTAGGGCTCTGTAGTGGAGTCGGCTGGGCGCAGTGTGCTCCGTACAGGACTTGTTCTACCGGTTTCGGTTATGGACGAAGCCCAAGTCCCTCAACCCAAAACACATGAGTCCGGGTCTCGACTTTCTTGAAAGCCGCCGGCTTTGTCATAGTTGGGTAACATTTTGCATTTTCATCGGCACTTAAACCCAATAAGGAATTAACAAGTATACTTTAAATCCTATCCCAACCATGAACTAGACCAATGGCAATCCCCTGTTGGAACACCCTCCCCTTCCCCAGGCGCGTTCGGTCGGCTGAGTTTCGAGCGATCCCGGCGTAGCTTTGCGGCTCCCAGGTCCAGTAGCGAACATGAGCCAGCGTTTCGAACGAGCAACGCGAAGAAAGCTTTGCAAAGTGCATCACATCCGCAGCATTAAAGTCGTATCTCTGAACCCCATGCGGACACTGTAATGCCGGACTCCGGAAGTTTCAATCAGTTTGATTCCATACTTCCGAAAGTAGAAGAAGGCCGGTAGGCCATTGAGGAATAGAATAGAAAACATAACCGTGTTCATTCGGTTGCTACAGAGCAGAGTCGACCTGGTCGCTCTACTGCAGAAAACCATTTGCTAGCAAAAGCCCGGCACTCCAAAACCCCAAGCGAAACACTGCAACCATAAAGCTCGAGCAAACATAGGGGCCGTAATAATTACCGATACTATTTTGGGGGGCTCCTTGTCATAATTATGGTATATTGGGCCCCAAAACCCTGTTCGAATTATCAAGGCCCCTAGACTGCACAGCTCAAAACACACGCTGCAACCGGCGCTCGTCCCCGAGCAGGCACGTCCCTGCAACTTCAGTGTTATGTCTGCTTCTGGTTTCATGCCTGCTTGTCTTTCCGATAGACGTAGTACAAGTAGTGGCAGCAGTGGTGGCAGCAGCAGAAGCAGCCGCAACAGCAACGGTGGCAACGCTAACACCAAGTTGATCTTCAACGGAGTCATACTGCGACTAATGTTTTCGGTGCTGCACTGCTACTGCTGATGCTGCCATAAGCTGTTAATGCTCACAACTGAGTTGTTGAGTCTAAACCCTAATCTCTAAGCATTCAATTTTGTTCCCTCAGCCCTGCAAGACTTACCCCTAAACCCTAAACCCCTAAACCACTAAACCTAAACCCTAAACCCCTAAACCCCTAAGCCTAAACCCTAAACCTTAATGTTCATAAACAGCACGTTGAGGGTTTTGGGGTCCAGGGCTTCGGGATTTGGGGTTCAGCTCGAGGCTTTGAGGAAGGTCCAAGTAGCCTTTAGGGTTTAGGGTTTAGGGCCTGCCTTCAATTTCTTGTCGATTAAAACCTCAATCGTGCGGCCCTTCTGGGAGTAGAAGGTGTTTATGGAGTGTCCCGAAGATAATCCAAGCATCCAAGATCCGTAAGCCTACATAAACCTTAGCCAAGGCCCCCCGGCAACAAACCATTAAGCCCAGCCCCCACCGCCCAGCCCTCCTTGCTCCTTAAACCCCCTAAAACCTAAAACCCTAAACCCCTAAAGCCCTAGCCCCTAAATCCCTAAACCCCAAACTCCTAAACCCCTAAACCCCTAAACCCCTCGCCCCCCCCCCCCCCCCGGGCCCCCTGGTTGTAGCACTTCGAACCTGGTGTCAGGGCCATGAGCGACAAGAACTACGAGTTCAAGGTTCCCCAGTGTCCACAAAGCTATGATTGGGGTTTAGGGGTTAGGGGTTTAGGGGGTTTAGGAGGGTTGAGGGGATTAGGGTTTAGTGGTTAGGGGGGTTTAGGGGCTTAGGGGTTTAGGGCTAGAGTTGTTGGGTGTTGGGTTTCGTTTTTTTCAGGTTTGTAGAGGTTTGGGTTAGGCTTGGAATTCAAGGGTCTGGTGATTTTAGGGTTCAGGTGTTACGCCGAGAACACTTAAGTTTAGGGGTAATGGGCTCTCTTCGCGGTTTCCCGATTCTTGTTGCTGTTTTTCCGATGGTTTAGGGGTTTGGGGCTTAGGAAATATGTAACGGCCTAGGGTAGCAGCAACTTGGGCAACTTTGATCTCTAAACTTCTAAACCCTAAACCTTAAACCCTAAATCCCTTATAAACCCTAAACCTTAAACCCTAAATCCCTTATAAACCCTAAACCCTAAACCTTAAACCCTAAATAGTAGAAACCCTTATAAACCCTAAACCCTATCTGAAAGGGTCTTTCTGCCAGCTTGGGGGCCGAGACAGCGCAATCCTCTGAGATTCGCGCCGGGCATGAGGGTTTCGGGGCTTCTGCCTTGATATAGAGCTACCCTAAACCCTAAACCCTAAACCGGATAATGTATTGAACAAGTTTAATTACTAGCATGCAAAAGCTGAGTTTACATGAGTAAGAAGACAGAGAAGCTCATTATCTGTAATTTTCGTGACCCTTGCCTGCATATGAGGACACTGCAGAAGCCCGGAACCGCGATCTTGAGACACTCGCACATCCAGTTGGTGTTTGTAGTGCTGCACGGCACAGAAGCTGATAGCAGCGTCATGGTTGTGCCGCTATCATGAAAATGTATCTGATGATGATGGTGAGGATCTTGTTGTTGCTGATGATGATGAGGATGATGATGACGATGATGATACCGATGATGATCTTGGTGATGGCGCGGGTGATGGGAGTGTAGTAGTGTAGTGATGGTGGTGACGGTGCATCAGCATCACCATCATCACCATCATCATCATCATCATCATGATGTGGATTGTTGTGGTTACCCACCACAACCACCGCCAGCAGCAGCAGCAGCAGCAGCAGCAGCAGCAGCACCACCACCACCACCACCACCACCACCACCGCCACCGCCACCGCCACCGCCACCACCACCACCACCAGCAGCACCACCAGCGCCATGCCGAGCACTATCACCATCATCAAGGTCACCAACACTATGACCAGCACCCCTCATTGGGGGCATGACTCCTCTACCAAACTCTTTAACCCGAAGCTCCAGCGCTAATGCTAAGACGACCAATCGCAAACCCTTAAAACTCTCAATTCTAAAACCGAACCCAATTTACTGAACTTTAAACCCTTTCTAACACCGAACCCAAACTTACTAAACTCTAACTCCCTAACCCCCCAAACCCTGACCGGAACTCTCAAAGCCTCGTCGGGGCCTACAGGAGCTGGTGCCGCCGAAGGACGCCCACTTAGATCATTACCATCACGAGAGGTCTGTGCACCAGGCGACGGAGGGGGTTGAAAGAGTTTAGGGTTTAGGGTTGAGAGTTTAGGGTTGAGGATTTAGGGTTGAGAGTTTAGGTTTGAGGGTTTAGGGGTTGAGAGTTTGGGGTTGAGGGTTTCGGGCTGAGGGTTTAGGGTTTAGGGACGCAGGGGTGGGTGCACGTTTGCCGGCTTTTCATTAATAGCAATACTGTATCTCTGTTGAGTCCTTCTTGCGACCATCCTCCGAACATACCCCACAACCCTCTTCTAACCCTGTAATAATGAACGCCTGTGGCTCAGGCGCAGAGGTTCAGGTTCGGACGTCAACGGAAGATCCGGTCGTTAGGTCGTGGGGCTGAAGGGTTTCGGTTCTAGGTTTCTAGATCGGAGCGTTTGAACTTAGGTTTAGGTCAACCCTAAACTCCTGCTATTTCGGGTTGAGGATCCGGCAGATTCGATTTCCGAGTTTCGGGTGGCTTCATTTGGCTGTTGTGCTTGGTCTGAGAATTCTGCAGCCAACGGCAAGAACTCGGAAGAGAGAATCCCCTGGCAGCAGTATCCCCACTGGCAATCCCAATAGAAAATCGTACCATTGCAGCATACCCCAAACGGCAACCCTAGTAGTAAAGAACCGTTGACAAGCCATGCTAGGAAGCTGCTGGCAGAACCCTAATCAAAAGACAGCCCACTAAGATTTTACGATTTAGGATTTAGGTTTTATGGACCCAAAGGGTCCAAAGTACCTTTATAGTAGAGTGTAGGGTTTCTATATTAGGAATTACTATTATGATTTGGGGAAGTAACCCCCATAACAGTACATAGGACCCTTTGGGGGAGTTAAGAGCTAAGGCCCTGAAACGCCAAAACCAGGATGCGGCGACCACTCACACCGCCCACCCTGAGTCACAACGCCTCCTTTGCCTCGAGGTGTGGAACATGCATCATTCTATAGTGTTGTCGTTTGAGCGTTAAGGGTTGGGGTTTCAAGGTTTAGGGTGTAGAGCTGCAGGGTTTAGGGCTCAATTGCCAGCATCCCTTTTCAGGGTCCTGTGAGGGATGCGATGCTACCAGTCAAGGACTACTTCTCTGCCCTAAGCCCTTGACCCCTGAAGCCTTAAGCCCAAAACCGCTAAACCCGAAACCCATACGCTCTGCTGGGGGATCCTGGGTTCTAGTACATGGTGCTTTTAAGCTTATATAGGGGTTTTACAAGGGTTCTTCCAAAGGGGGGCCGATTGAGTTGTTGAAGGCTTCCGGGCCTCTGGAGTACCATACTTTAATACTTTATTTCTTAAATGAACTATTCTGAAATACAAGTTTATACTTTTTTCTCCCTGGTTACTTAAAAGCCCAACTTCCTTATGGGTTTAGGGCTCCGAACTTGGGGGTTGAAGAGTTTCTTTGAGGGTTCTCCAAGCGAGGGTACTTGCAGGTTCATGGGTAGTTAGAAGTAGGGTTATAAGTAGGGTAACTGTAGTTATGACCCATATTAGGGGACTTACAACCCCACTTATAACTACCCATGAACCTCCAAGTAGGGCTAGCAATCAATGCCCAGTCTCATGGTGCTGAAATTTGTTCTAGTTGACGAACTGTTGCCATTAGTTTCAAAGCGTCGTTCAATTTGCCATTGCTGGTATATCATGTCGAAATATTCCACATTGCTTGATATATACGGATTAGCGCGACACTTAACCGTCAGTTTCCAAACATCACGGAAGCTTTTCCTTGGTACCCTAAACGCTACGGCCCTGAACCCTAGGCCGTCCACGTCGTCCCATTGGTGCTCAAACCTGTAACGCAACACTGATCGATGGCCCACTAAAACCCTGACACCGCGTACCTTAAACCCCGAACCCTTTCGGGTTTAGGGCGAGTTCAGGGTTTACCTTAACTTGCCTTAAACTACCACAACCGACTTTACTGTTGGTTCTTAATTGTTTTCTACCCTCACTTAGGTTGTAGGGACCTACAAAGAGTAGGTTCTGATAGCTCCAGTATGGTTTAGGGTTAATGCTTAACCCCAAAACCAAACCCCGAACTGCCGTGAAGCCAACAAAATTAGGCGGCACTTCGGGTAACTTTTGACTTTCCTTGTGGTCCTTTAAAGGTACCTTTTCATCAAGACTTGTGGGGGCCCCCCAAACTGCAATCCAGAAAAATGACAGTTCTTGACCGTCCTCTGGTTGCAGCATGAGGGTTCAGGAGCCGTCCGGGCTCCCCTGGTCCCCACTTACAAGCACCTTGGAACCAGGCCCCCGTGGGAGCATGCGGCCAGAGATAGCGCACCGGGCGGCACTCGCCTTTGCGGCCTTTGCCGAGGGAAGGCGTAAGGTTTTTCGTGCCCCAGGGATGTCAGTGCGTCGCAAGGCATTTATCCTCCGGGCTTCAGTTTTGCCCAAGCTTTTATTTGGGGCCGGATCATGGCCGCCATTGACTGGGGCAGAGCATCGCCAGTTTCCAGGTGTGCTTTGGCGCCTATACCGGCCACTGCTTGGACTTCGGCACCAGCAGCATCAAGATGTGTCTTTCCACACCTGTTTGTCCCTCGTGGGCCTGCCATTGAGCGTTGGCTTCGGACAGGGTCCATCGGGTTCTAGCTTGAGTAGACTTGTCATTGAGGAAATAAGGTCCCTCTTTCACTGTTAAACTCTATACCGCACGCCGAATCTCTGATCCCCAAGCCCTGAGCACTTGCAAACCAGCAGTGCTGAAGCACGGAGCATAGACCTTCACGTTCATTCCGCACACCCAAACTAACTAAACCCTGTAAACCCGTGCTTAGGTACTGAACACCCCTCTAAAGCCCGGAAACTAATGTAGGGGGGCCTGACCAGGAATTGCCAATATTATTGTGCGGGCTCCTTAATAATATGACTATGGTATGGAACACCAGCAGAACCCCGTTCTAATTGTAAAGGCCTCTATATGATAGTACCTTTATATATAGATACCCCAAAGTAGCCCGTTAAAGGAACCCTAGGCCCCTAGACTAAACCCTGAACCCCCCCCAAGAGCCGGCAGGCTGGTGAGGGCCAAGGAGGCCGGTCTCCGAGCAAGTCCAAAGCTCCATGAGCCCAATACCCCTCCACCTAGCTACTATTTGCTTAAGAAACCCACAAAAAATAAAAAAATAATAATCCCTATATTACCCCCATAAGGAATATATTTTTTATTTTTTTGGGGGGGTTCTTAAGCAAATAGTAGCTAGTAGTAGAGTAGGTAACCTTTAACCTTTTTGGGTAGTATAGTCCCTATATCATCCCTGTATAGCCAAAAAGGTTAACCTTTAGTTCCCCATGATACCCGACAAGTAGGTCAATTAAGGAAGACATACACCTTGAGTTTCAAGGGGCTGGCTGGAACGACCTAGCATTGGGTTTAGGTTTGGGGATTCGGTATCATAGCGACGATGAGAATGAGCGGGACAAGGGCGACAAGTGGATGATGGTGGTGGTGGCGATAGCAATAAGAAGGGTGCGATGCCGCTGACGAAAATGATGGTGCGATGGTGTTGCTGTGGTGCCGGTACCGCCGTTGGAGGTGGTTGTCATGATGATGGTAGCCTAAACCCACTTGCACCCTAGAGTCTCTAAAGCTCTTTTGTTGTTGTCGTTGCTGCTGATGACCGTCATCAAGGTGGTACCCTGAAATGCACCAACCCTGAAACCCTAAACCCTGAACCCTCAACCCTGAAACCTTAACCCTAAACCCTAAACCTTAAACCGTATCCCCAAGCCTTGCTGACCACGGGCAGGACCCAGAATGCTTACCTCAGAGTTGGGTTCTTTGTCTGTGGGCCGCCATCTTTTCAAGCTTGGGAGCTTCACACATGGTTAGTTCTTTAAATCAGGGTCCCTTCAGGGGTGTTTTTTGTTTTTTTGTAATAGTGGTGCCTATGATCGGAACCTAAGTGGGGGCCCTAGTTAGAGAGCTACCCACATGACTGAAAGGAAACAAACCTGGCAACGTCAGTGACAGTTTCGAAATGAGGAAGTAATGCAAGGGCCCGAGTACACAAACCCTAGTCTCAACTGTCAAAGTACGGGTGATTTAGCTGGACCGACACTAGGAATCTCTATGCCAGAAAGGCTCTTGTTCGAGTAAATCTGGAAAACCTACTTGCGGCTTGGGCTTTGCGTTTGGGACTTCGGGATACGGCTTACAGGTAAGGGGCACGATTCCGTGTTTCGGCAAACACAAGACCCTACACCGCAAGCCCTGTAACTTCTGAATCCCCACAGTGTAACCCTAGGGTTTAGGGTTTAGGGTTTAGGGTTTAGAACATTAGATGCCACCACTGCTTATCTGCAAGACGTGAAGCTGCACCCCTAAGGCCTGAAAGCGAAGGAGTAGAAAACATGTGTATGAGATAAGTTGCCCAAAGGGTCCAAAGTACCTTTATAGTAGAATGTAGGGTTTCTAGATTAGGAATTACTATTATGATTTGGGGAAGTAACCCCATAACGGTACATAGGACCCTTTGGGTTGTAGCCATGCCAGTTTGAAGCAGGCGCCCCAAAAACACAAACCTTCTTCCTTCGCACCATCGACTCTTTACGGCCCCACTATAATATCCGATTACGAAGCCCCATAAAAGCCTGACAGAGCGCATATAAAACTGACCTGTAAGCACAGGCCGAAAGGGTTCAAAGTACCTGTGTAGTAGACTGTAGGGTTCTATATACGGAATGAATTTTCTGATTTGAAGAAGTATTCCCCATGACAGCACTTGGGGACCTTTTGGGGCAGAAGCAGCCTAAACCAAAACCTAAACCCTAAACCCTAAAACCTAAACGCTAAACCCTAAATCCTAAACCCGAAAACCTAAACCCTAAAACCTAAACCCTGGACCCTAAAACCTAAACCCTGAACCCTCTCGAGGCCCAGCTGTCCAGACATTTTCGGGCCTTTTTCTGCACCATGGACCGGCCTGCTTTGCTGGATGCCTCACGTCTGGTCATGGCTCCTTAAGGTTGCATGTGGGTAGTTGGCAAAATTATGGCTCCTTTTGTTAGGTGCCAAAAAAACACACAAGCATAAGCATGTTATAGGGATATCCCTACCTTAGTGGGCTTCAATATAAGGGTGTTTGCATGGGATATCCTATCCTATTTTTTGCTTATGTGCTTTTTGGGTGCCCTATTTTGGGTACCCTAAATATTAGGTACCGTATTAGATTGAGGACCCAAACAAAGACCATATTTTGAAACGCTGCGCGTCGTCCGCCTCGGCCCGGCTGTACGCGCATGCGGCAAGTGGCTACTATCTGCAGCAAGCTCTTGTAGGAAAAAAGTAACACTTGGAATCGCACTTATAGTAAATGGATTAGGGAAGCATCAGACCCTTTTCAACCACGTTACTCCGCCTATCCCAATGAAAGGGCGTCTAAAACAAGCCTGAGACGCACATGAACATGCTACATTGCAGTCCCGTGTCGTCGAAAACTCCAGAAAGCTCGCACCTGTCAGCGAGCGGAGGAGGGGCGGGAGGGAAGGGGGAAGGAGGGGGAGGGGAGGGGAGAGAGGGGGGGGGGGGGGGGGGGGGGGGGGTGGGGACGGAAGGAAAACTGGGTGGGACTGCCTACAGACTGCCAAAATCCGTTGGAGGGGGCGAGAATTCACCACCGGACCTTGGGGCTAGTCGACACGTTTCCATTTTTAAGGGGGGGGGGGTCAGCGGGCCCCGTTTTTGGGGGTGTCACTGGGGAGGGGGATTAAGAGATGGGGAATAGGAGAATCCGAATAGGAACCTCTGACCGCTTCGGCCGGGGCCGAGGCGAATTTTGACAACTACCCATATACGGTTGCATACGTTTTGTTTGTCGGCTTTTGATTACACGCGTCGTTTGTAGGGGTCTTATGGTTTCTGTCTAATGTCTTATAGGTTTGAAAAAACGGGTCGAGTTTGTTCTAAATGGCTTTACAATGTGGCTGTATATACCATTGTAACAGACAGGGTCCTGTTAGCTTCCTTCTGAAGGTGTCTGGGTTTGGGTTTGCGATGTGCTTCCTATGTTTGCAAGGGCTTCGTAATTAGGACGATTACGAGTTGTCTACAGGTTTGTGTGCATCCTTCCTGTGCTTACATAGTCCTTTTTACGGGTTGTAATAGATTAGATGCATGTTCTGTAAGAGCCTCAACATTTCACACATTGTAGTCTTTCAACCCATATTGATGTTGATTTCTTCGTGGCGATATGTGCAACCGAAAAACTCCTCGCAAGTCTTCAAAGCGCGCGTATGCAAGACGTGCAAGTGCCACCCGAAGCCCTCAAACTCTTAGCCCCTCAGCACATAGACCCTGCAAAGCCCAAACCCTACTTCCCTAGAGCCCTATATAGGGGACCCAAAGCGCGAGTTCTCTCATTTCAATACTCAGGTTGCTGCACTCTGCTGATCTTGGCGGTGGTGATCTTGCAGCCTGGCACGATACATAGTATGCTTTCAAAGTCGCTTTTTGTGTGTACGGTTATATGCTGCAGCCCTTTGGAGAACCAACCTGGGGTTCCGGGCTTAGGGTGAAGCAGGGTTTTTAATTGCGTAGAGGTTTAGGGCTTCGATGCTTGAGGCTTAACGTTGAAGATTGCGGGTTTAGAGTAATTCAGGTCTAAGGGAGAGGCAGTTTTGTGAAAGTGCTGCCTCCACCCTACAACTCCCAATTGATGGCAGCAGGCCCTAGCAGGCTATATGGGCGGGGCAGTACCGCGGAGAGATCGGAAGTACTGATAGTGGTGTCCACCCTCGTACTCCTTTTGATTTTCCCTGCCCCCAAGCACCTTTCTAATCATGCAGGGCTCGCTATGTGAGCATGTGGAGCTGGCAAAACCATTCAGTTCTTATGACTTGGATTGTGAGGATGAATTAAGAACTACAATGTTGTTTTCTTGGATGGTTTGCCATTGTAGCCGCTCCGCGGGTTAGGCTATGCACCCAGAGCGTGAAGCTTTTCTTACGCACCGCTAAACCTCAATTCCGAATCCCCAAGCCCTAAACCTCAAAACCCTACACCCCAAACACCTAAACCCCTAAGCCCCTGTAGATCCCTTTAAAGGAACCCTTCTATTACCCTTTAAAGGAACCCGCAAGCTGCCCCAAACCCTTGAGCTGAATCGTTATCCACCCGGAACACCTCGATCCCACACCCTAAACCTTGACCTTAAGGACGAAATGAACCCTAAAAGGGTTTAAGGTTCATATGCCATATAGGGATTCATAGTATATGGGTATAGGGCCCCTACTTTTAAGGGTCATTTGGTCCTTCAGGGATCCGATACACCCCAAAAAACCTCAACTCTGAATTCAAAACCATATAAACCCTCACCCAAAAACTAAACCATACTAAAAGCCCTGAATCCTCCAAAGCCCCAGACCCCGCAACTGACTAAGTCGTTTAATCACCTTGGGCGACTTCGTCTCCACCATGCCAGATGTTGTCGAAACGTGCGTCGACAAGCCACTGTGAAGCAGCCTGTAGTGAGCGTTACGGTGTGGGGATTATATTTCAGGGTTTCGGGTTTGGGATGTGGAAGCATTATCGCTCGCCTTGTCAGGGTGCTCTGGGGTTGGGGACGAGTAGGTGGAGTGTTCTAGGCGCGAGGCGTGTTGTTGTCAGAAAAAGTAGCCCTAAACACCAGCAGCCGGGCCGCTACTTGCAGGTTCTTCTATATATATATATATATATATATGTATGTATGTGGACACGCGCACAAACACACATAAATGAATAAATAAATAACAAATACATATATATATATATGTATATATATATATATATATAAATATGTCTCTTCCCACGGTCAACATTAACATACCACGTTGCGTCGAATCCTTCTGTGCTGTCTAGGCGTATAGAATACGAAGTCGAAACCTGCAGTCATGTCTTCCTTTCCCTAAGGCTCCACGTGCCCATATAGTATAAGTATACTTGGGCCTTAAAGGGGTTCCTTTATGGGTACTTTGAGGCTTAAGTGTATACTATATGGCTACATGGAGCCTTAGGGTTTAGTTTGGTAATTAATTAGGACCCAGAGTACGCCCTTATTCCCTTCTCTAGGGGTCAGGTTCCCTTATAACCCCCCTTAAACCAAAAGGGGCACCCTTTTTATTACTAGGTTACTCTTGGGTCTAGGTTTCCCTGGGCCTCTAACCTATATATCATGCGCACCCGGTGAGCCTGTTGGGATAGCGAATGGTTGACAGGCATTGGTTCTACTGTTTGGGCGCAAGACTTGCATAGCTGATTTTGTACCCCTTAATTAAGACATATACCATAAATCACAATATCAAGCACCCTATAATTTAGGGGATATCCCTTAATTAAGGGGTATTGGGATCTCAAAGAAGAGTCTTGTTTATGAAAGGTGCCGTGATTCAGGTAGAGCGCTTCCTCGATTTTTGGCTCATTGCACGTGTTAAGCTTTAGTGCTTAATGTGGTATTGAGAAGTGTTGCGACAAGGGTGGTTAGCAGTTTGCTTTCAAGCAGAAGCCTTGCAGCGCAGCCGACAGTGATATGAAATTCCAACCTCTTGAGCCCCCAAGCCCTTAACTCCCTGAACCTTTTTATCCCCAAACCCTAAACCCTTAAACCCTTAACCCTAAACCTTAAACCCAAACCCCTGCTTTCCAAAGCCCTCAAAAAGCCTTGGCGAGGAAAGAGACCTGGTGTCCCGTAGTGCGCGCCGTGGGGTTCTGCGCCTTCTTTCGAGGGCCTTGTGCCCTGCCTCTTCAGTCCAGCGTTACGGTTTAAGGTTAAGGGCGTATGGGGTGTAAGTTTATGTCGGGCTCAGGGTTCATTGCTTTGAATTTGGCTCTGGGCTCTGGGGTTTTAGCTTTAGAGCTTTAGGGTTTCGGGTTTATAAGCGCTTGATTCTCGCCTTTCGGTAGCGCTGCTTGCTGTCCGGGGCTGGTGGCTCGGATTTCGAGTTGCCTTTTGGATTTTTAGTTTGGAGTTGTGTCGGAGGGTTTAGGCTTATTTAGGATTTCGGGCTTCTACAGTTTAGGGGTTTAGGGTTTTGGGGGATTCCGCCTTTGCACATACCAGCCGATGTCGTTCCTTTTTTGCGACACCGTCCGAGGTTTAGGCTTGAGGGTTCAGCATTACACTGTATTTCTTCTTGGCTACCAAGTCCCAAGAGACTCCAATACCCCTTAATCAAGGAATATTCCTTAACTCATATTAGGGATCCTTGTATAAGTTAAGGAATATTCCTTAATTAAGTGATATTGGAGTCTCTGGGTTTTCGGGTTTTCTTACCCCAGAACTTTTCCTTAACCCTTGATCTCTTCCGTCCATTATTACACCCCCGCCCCCAATACACAAACACCCCGTCCCCAGAATTTCGTAGTTTTGGGCCCACAAGTGAAGTGAACGATGATGAAAACCTTAGGGGGGGGCCAGGATTGTAGGAGTTTTAATAGAGCCAAAGACTACGGCAGCACTAACCCGACCGAAGAGACCTGAGCTTAAGGGTTAGGGCTCAGGGCTAAGGCTTTTAGGCCTTGGGGCTTTGGTTTCGGGCTTAGGGCTTTAGGACGCATACCCGGATGCACCGAACCCCCCCCCCGCCAACACAATTCCGGGAATCAGGTTTATATTAGGAGGGGGGGCGTTTTAATGTTAGGGGGAAGGGATTGGTCGGCCAAGATGAGGAAAAGAATTGGAAGGCGTATAGGTGCATCCTGAAAACACGATTAACCCCAAAAGCAATTCAAACCCCAAACCCCTGGACTCCATGGGGGCATGAGCTGCCCTCGCTATCCCTTCAAAGCAGGTGCCTACTCGTGTACCGACTGTGTCCGCTTCGACGACGGCGGTGTTGAAGAGGTGGTTATCAATGTCGAGGATGTATCTCGCCTTTAAAGTTTAGCGGCTGGCAGGGTTTGGGAAATTGGGGGTTTTCAGCAGAGAAGTTAAAGGGTTTCGGGTGTAAGGTTTATGATAGGGTGTAGGACTTTCAGGGTCAGGCTTTGTTCGGGTTGAGGCAAGATACCGTGTTTGCCTTGAACCTGGCACCTCCGCTGCGACCCAAACCATAAAGCATGGATTCGAAAGGGGCTGCACCTCAGGCTTAACCCCAACCCTATCCCCGAAATGCCCCCAATTCCGAACCTGAAAACCAGAAACCCTGAACTAAACTCACTGGCCCAGAATTAAAAGCCCTAAAGCCTAAACTAAACCTTTAGCTTTGAACGCTGCCCTAGCGACCCAAACTGAAACCGCAAGCCCTAAAACAGTATAAACCGTAAGTCACAGCTTAAACAGCTGCAGAATCCTAGAGCCTTGAAAACCACGAGAAGCCCTCCACACCCTAAGCCCTAAACCTAAAACCCTATAGACCCCAAACACCTCTCAACTCCGAAGCTCTCCTAAACCTAAAATCCTATAAACCCTAAAAACCCTGAATCTCCAAAGCCCTCAGGTTCCCCCCCTAAACCCCCTAAACCTAAAACCCTAAGCAATTTTCCATCTTCCCAAACCCTAAACCCTAAACCCTAAACCCTAAACCCTAAACCCTAAACCCTAAACCCTAAACCTTAAACCCTAAACCTTAAACCCTAAACCCTAAACCCTAAACCCTTAACCCTGAACCTTTTCAGGTTCCCAGTAAGTTGGCATACGCGGCCACCGGTAGCAGCATTCCCGAGAGTGCCTCGGCTAAGGGCAGGTACTCTGGGGGCCCTAACGGTTTAGGGTTTAGGGTTTAGGGCTAATAATGACCCATACTATGGGGGGGGGGGGGTCCTCATTATAAGTTAGGTATAGTAGAAAATATCCCCCAAACCTTGTTCTAATAATTATATAAGGCCCCTATAGTATGGGGCCGTCGTTCCTATGGGTCCTTTTGAGGGTTATTTAGGAGTCCCTGATACTCTTTGGTAAGGCTTCCTGTTTAGGGCCTCCTGCAAGAATTAATCGTGTGTCTATGTTTTTCGGGTTTTGTGACTTGGTATAGGATTTCGCAGGGTGCTATGGAGTTTACTAAGGTCTACGATGTGGTTCTTGTACCTGAACATCACAGCTCTCGTTCCGACCCCCTGCCTGAAACCCAACTCCCAACAATACTTCGAGCACAACCTACAAACCGAACGCAAACCCCACAATCCTAAACCCTGGACCTCGCAAGCCCGGAGGCTCCATGTACTTATATATATGTATATATCTATATATCTATATATCTATATATCTATATATCTATATATATATATATACATACATATGTATATTGATGGACTAGCAGCATGAAAACTACAGGAGCCATTTTAAGGCCAAACAATATACTACACAGGTACATGGCTTCTGAGGGAATATAAGCGCCAATAAGCGCCCTGCAATATCCCAGGGGGTTCATTTATACTACTACCATTTTGGATCTAGGTCCGAGAAGACCATCACATCATGGTTTTGGGGACCTAATTCCATACCCTCAGGCTCCATGTACCTATCAAGTTATCTATCTATCGATCTTTCTATGTAAAATATATATATATATATAGCGTATATACTTAGGCTTCACAGTAGTCCCTATATAGGTATACTTCAAAGCCTATAGGTACGTGGAGCCTTAGGGATAACGGTAGTATGCATGGATCCTTTGGGACCGTCTTGGAAGAGGCGACTTTCCAGACTTCTACACGGCTCACTGCTCTTTCTTGTGTTTTGTGCCGAACCCCGCTTCGGGGTTTTGTTAACCAAAAGAAGAAATAAATTACAACGGAGACTTCAGGTATGAGTCTTAGCAGCTTGATTTGGGTCTTTTGGAGGGTTCCTCACGGTCTGGCTGCGGGATTCCGGATTGGAGTTGAGCTTGCATTTTTGAGGGCTGCGGTAGTAAAGGCGTTCACAAGAGGCCATGGCAAGCGTGCAGGCTTTTTCGGGTTTTGGGTTTGCACCCTAAACTCCTATACTCTAAGCCCTGACCTGCCCTAAGCGCTGAACTCTACACCGTAAGCCCCAAGCCCTAAATCCCTAAACCCTACGACGTTCGTTTTCATGCTACCCACATGAGGTAGTAGTTTCACCGCATGCCTCACGCCAGAGGAGACTCAGTGGGAGGGTTGAGTCTAACATGTGTAAAAAAAGCCCTAAATCCTAAACCCTACAGGCCTTACCCCTAGGTCCCTCCTCTCGCGTTGTGGGCCAGGTCTGCAAGGCATCTGGTGGCTGCTTGGCGGCGGTGTTAGGGTGGCCACACGGGATGCAACTCTAAACCTTGCAGCATATAACCAAGTGCGTAGTATGGGGGCTTAAATATGTACCTTGTGTATTGGGGCTCCTCATTATAACTGTAGTAGAATGTAGCCCAAAACCCTACTTACATCCTTAAAGTTCGAAACAGGAAAACCCTGAACCCGAAAACTTAAATCCTCAACGTTTAATATAGGCGCCTCAGTAGTTGCCAATACTGTTTGCGGGGTTCCTTAGTATAGAACAGTGGGCCCCAACACCCTATTCTAATTATTAAGGCCACTACACAGAACCCTTTAAAGGAACCCTAGTCTAATATATTTTTAAGGCACCTATACTAGAACCCTTTAAAGGGAGCCTAGTCAAACTATTAAGGCACCTACACTAGAACCCTTTTAAGGAACCCTAGCCTGATTATTAAGGCACCTATAAGTATGCTACCTCCGCGAGTTCGAGGCTGGACCAGGATGGCTACGGAGCTGAGAAGGGCCTCGCTGGAGAGAACTACCCCTACGACTTCTACCCAGCTCTCTGGCAAGCGTAGGGTCTCTGCTTTTCAGGGTTTAGGGTTTGGGGGGCTTAGGGTCTATATAGGGGCTTAGGGTTTAGGAGTTTAGGGTTTAGGGGTTTAGGGCTTAGGGTGTAGGGTGCAGAGTTTCGGGTTCAGGGCTTGTAGGGTTTAGGGTTTAGGGTGCCGGGTTTATAGGGTTAATGGAACCTTCACCAACTTACAGAAGGTTTAGGGGCATAGGGCAAAGGGTTTCCCAAGCTATATAGTTCAAAAATAGTTCCCTAACTACGCCACAATCTGGTTTTCTGGGAAGAATCGCACTTTCAGAAGATGCGAACCGCTCGACTGACACGGTCAAAGACGCCACCGCAAAAGCAAGCTTGCTCCAATGTCTTCCGAAGAAATACCCATGCATAGTCCCCATATACAATGGTAGTATACCATAGCGTACCATGCAACAAAATGGCGTTCTCCTGAGTAAGATTGTTAAAGCCTCGATGTTGCCTCCTAGCTAAATTAGGGTGGCTTCGTTTCTGATGCTCACGAACCCGATTTTCCTAAACCCTAAATCCTAAACATCCAGAGGTGGGCGAGTATGCCATCGGCTTCGGCGATAAGGTGCCAGAGCTGAGGACAGGCGATTGAAGCTTCGGGGTCCAGGGCAGGGCGGAGGGCTTCAGATTTAGGGTCTAGGCTCAGGGTTTAGAGCTCAGGTTCTGAGGTTTAGAGCGTAGGTTTTAGGGGTTCAGGGTCTAGGGTTTAGGGCTTAGAGTTGAGGGCTTCAGGGACTAGAGCTGAAGGGCTCCAAGCCGGCGGTCTATCCTACATCGTGTTGGGCTCCGGCTTGGGGTAAGGACGTTTTGGCTGACATCCCTATCGTAACTTTAGGTTTCACGGTTTAAAAGATTGGGGTCCCTATCAGACAAGGAATTCAAGAAAACCCTACAGATGTCAAAGTTTGTGTCCTCATTGCTTTGGCCGGAGTTGGCGGCTAAATGGATGTTTCTACAGTCTCCTTAGGAATGATTTTGCCTTATATTTGTTCATATAAACCCCAAGAGAATGTTAAAACTAAGATTTTTGTTATGGTTCTAAGCGGGGTATAGGTTTCGTTTGGGCTGTGCAGTGAGGCCTTGACAACCAAGGGAAGGATCGCCAGAAACTCCTGAGAACTCATCGTTAAACAGAGAGGATATAGGGTTTAGGGTTATCGTTAAACAGAGCACTTGAAACCCTCCACCCCTATACCAAGACCTTGTCCTGGAGCCCGAAACTCTATCTCCCCCCCTGCCGGTGGCCAATCCTGAAAGCTACGCCCGCACAACCATCGGATCCTAAACCCTAAACTCCCCTAAACCCCTAAACCCCTACACTACACCCTAAACCCTAAACTAGGGTTTCGGGGTTTAGGGTAATGTAGGAACCTGATTAAGAAACCCTGGGCCTATAACCCCAAAGTAGTAGGATTCATATAGATATATATATATATATATATATTGAACCCTAATAAAGGTGCTTAATCAGGTTCTTACATTAACCCGACCACCCCACAAGCCAAGGCAGCCTGGCAGCCGGACACACTCTGCTTGACCCCCATCTACTTCTGGGGGGGCACCCGTGCCTGGTCAGATCTGGGGGTGCAAGACTGGAGTTTTCGGGTATACTATATAATGCATATGTAAAAATGGAAATAAATAAATAAATAAATATATATATATATATATATATGTATGTGTGTGTGTGTAGATGTATGTGTAAAAAAGTGTACATGAATATTAAAGATGATATCTGTAACACCATATCGGTAGTACTATTACCATAACTGTCATAGGAAACCCAAGGGATGTTATGTCATTAACTGTTCACGCTTCCGAATTGATTTCTGTAGCGGCCGTGAAGAGAGAAACGGTCGTAGTGGATTTTGCTCATTCAACAGACGTCCAGAGTATGTTTCCGGTGTTTTTGCGGCGTTTAGGGCTTTAGGGCCTAGATTCAGGATTCTGGTGGTCATCATTGTCGGGTTCTAGGGTTGGGCAAGTTCAAAAAGGAGCATTTTTAGGTGCATGTACAGTCAGAAGAAGCACCTACTTAGCCTATGCATGAATAATGTTGCGGGGGGCATAACGTCAATCAACAATTTCCCAGCTTGCAGCTTCACCTTACGCCGTCAAAACCCTCAAGCTGATCCCTGGGCCCCGCACTCTGTGGCATTTGCCGCGATGTTAGAGTTTCGCAAGTTGGAACATGAGTTAAGAATAACTCGTGCTGGGACTCTGAGACTCTGTGTATTGATGGTAGCTACAGTCACCAAGGGGTTAGTGATTGTGCTCGTGGCTTGCGTCGGAGAGCCATTGGGGTCGAGGTGGCTGGTTTGGGAGACAGGTTTAAGATTCAGGGGCTCGGGGCTTTTTCAGATCTAGGAGATTGGGTGTAGTGGTGGTTTCCAGACTTGAACTAGGGTGTAGGGCCGTTGACTTAGGGTTTAGGCATAGAGTGTGCATGCGTTAAAGTATGGATTTTGGCAAAGTAGCTGGGCAACCAGGCAGAATCGCGTGTTAAGCTAGGGTGACAGGTTTGGGGCTAGCACCGGAGAGAGAGGGAGAGAGGCGGAGAATGAACAACCAACGCAAGAACAACACATCCGAACGTTTGAGAGTAATGGTGGAGCCCTCCCCGGCCCCTACAAGCTGCAAACTCGAAGGTCTACGAATGTCGAGCAACCCTCGACAAGACACAAAGTTGGAGCAATAAATCTCGAAGGTGGCCATTGGGCAGGCGCCAACTTCGGCAATGGTACTACTTGCTGCGGCTCCAACATTGCGGCCGGACTACTGCAAGTCTGCAGTATGGGGCCTGAGGCTTTAAGGGCATAAGGGTTTGGGTCTGCCGGGTGCAGATCTGGGAGTTTCCGAAAATAGGGGTACTTTATTTGGGGGTCCTTATAAGAAGGATCCTATTATTTAGGGTACTATATTAGGGTCCCCTGTTTTCGGAAACTCCCACATGAGGATTATTAGGACGCTTTGGGTTTGGGCATCCGGGGGCGAGGCTGCTTGACGGGGCACTGGCGAAGCTCGCATGAGAAGCAAAGTTGAGGTGTCAACGATATATACACCCGTAACATGAGACCCTCAGAGAGTAGTTGCACTTGCTATGGCACCGTGAACTTGCAACTTATTTCGTGGGAGCAATATATGTCGCGATGATCCCAACAAGACGCAGGCAGCCTAGACTACAATCACCATCGCCATATTGCAATGCCGCCCAGCGCCAGAACGGCAAGCACTATCGCCTCCCTTCAAACAAAAACCCAAACCCCAAGGAACCTTGGGAGCTCTCGGATACCCACTCTTCCCAAAAGCCTAGCACACACCTTAATCTTAAAAACATCGGCGCTGTAAAGAAAGGGGGGTTTACGAATCAGGATCCGGGGTCTACATTACCTGAACCTTGAGTCCTGGACCCTAGACCCTTAGCCCTAATCCTCGTAGACCTTACCCTAACCATCCTAAGCCTACCGAAATCTCCCTTTTGTAGGTGGCCTCGAGAGTCTATGTTAGGCTTCATAATGAGAGCCTACAAAAAAGGTCATGGTAGTTTGAGGTACTGCATACCAGCCCCTGCAGCCAAGTGATCCAAGGCAACGCGGTTAACGTTGTCACTCTGCGCCACTGATGACAGCCTGCAGGCTAGGGATTTGGGGTTTAGGATTTTGGTTTGGGGTTTCAGAAAGGAGGGAGAGTTTAGGGTTCAGGGACTGGGTTGGGTTCTGAAGGGTTCTTTAGGGTTGATTTCCCACATTGGTTGTTCACCAGTTTCATTATACGTGACTTTGCAAGTGTTGGTGTTGATCTTTGTGAACTTTAGCAATTACTAGACTAGGGCAATTCTACTGTAATGTAGATCAAATCCCTGTTCGAAGCCCCTATATATTTACAATTTTTGAATTCAGGAAGTTCAGGGCTTAGGCTTGCGAGTTACTTCCCCGAGACCCCAATATCCATCACAGTGGGCTGCCTTTCAAGATCTTTACGTGAAGTTAAGAAGCATGACGGCAGAAAGCAGTACTTGATCCCGAAGCAGGGGACGCTGAAGTCTCCGGGTCATGCCGACCCCTGATCCCAAGAGCCTAAACCCTAAACGTCTACAACCTGAGCCCGAGCCCCGCAACCCTAAACTCTCAAAGCCCTGTGTGAAAGCACAAGAGGCCACCCCCTTTAGCTCTCCCCGGATTTCCCGACTGCGTGCTGAGGGAAAAGGCGCTCAATTAACAACCCGAAACTCCAAACCCTCAACCCCAAACAAAAAACGACCCGAAACTCCAAACCCACCACCCCCCCCCCCCCCCCCAAAAAAAAAAAAAAAATACGACCCGCAGGTGTTCGACATTTGGACGAGGCTGCTCCCCAGCTGCAAGCAGGCGATCGCTCCCGAATTGGGATGGATGTCCGGTACTTCGTAGAAGCTCTGAACCCTAAATCCGTTACCCTAAAAAACTAAACCCTAAGCTCCGAATATGCTTCGTAGTAGAAGCTCTAGTCCTTGAACCCCACACTTCGCAGACGCCTTTTGGGGGCGCCCAACAAGGAATGAACAGATGGATTCAGTTTGCTTCTGGGGGCTCCTTTTGAAGACTACGTGGAGATTCATGGGTAGTCATACGTAGGGTTATAAGTAGGGTATCTATAATTATATAACCCATATCAGCGGACTTACAACCCCACTTATAACTACCCATGAACCTCCAAGTGGGGTATGACAGAGGCAGGAATAGTTAAGTACAAATGTTATTCCTGGGGTTCCCAATTGTAACCATGCTTTCATAGATCCCAAGAACCACGTAAACTTCAAATAAGCTTACTTTTCAGGGTTCCGTATCAAACTTCCCTGTATCGATATAAGTCCGTAAACAGATAGGCTTTTTCAGGGTCCACTTAGGGTACAGATTGAGAAAGCCCTGACCTTTTTCCAAACTGAAGCTTCGAGCTTGTGTGGGCAAGGAAAGTATAAAGACAATAAGCCCTAAACCCAAGAGCCTACACCCAAAATCCCTAAACCTTCACCACATGACCTCAAAACGAAAGCATGGACCTCGAGCCCACAACCAAACAAAAGCCAATCCCAAGCAACTCAAACTTTAGCATTCTAGGGTATCTGTTTGCTGGGATCAAGGTTAAGAGCTTTCAGATTTTTTGGATTTAAGCCCTCGAAGCAGAGCATCCACCCCTGCAGCCTTAAAATTTTCCAGTTGTTGTTTGCATAGAGTGCTGAACAGGCAGCAAAATTGTTCCCTTCTAGCCTCTGCATGATTGTACCTCCATCAGTGCAAGCTTACAGCCGAGGGTAATTCCATCAGTTCTGGCGCCGGTGGCATCCAGCCTGGGTTTCGAATACGCTGGGTCGGACTACTGGTGGATACCCAAGGCCTTCCCCGGGAAGATGATTTTGAGTTCCGGGTTTAGAGCGACATATCCAATGGATCCAATATGCAAGTTCCAAATCGACACATGTGTCAGACGTGTTGTACTAGGTTGGATTTTGGGACGTTTTTGATTTTCCTTCTTTGGGTTTATAAGGGACCCTATATATAAATATTTTTCAGGGTGTTTAAAGGCCAACCCAGTGTATGCAGCTGTTGAATAAGGAGTTTGCTGACAGCGACTTGATGCCTAACCTTGGATAATCGTGGTAAGACCTACCCTATAAGGCCGCTGGTGACTTCTGAGTGTGTGCTGGTTTGGGGTTATGGTTTGTCTCCAAGGGATCTCCGCAAGTTCATGTTGTACTTACCTTGTACAGCGAGTGAAGTTAACTAAACTCAGTCCCGCACACTAAGCCCTTCGCCCTAAACCAATGTTGGAACAACCCATACTGGTCTACAGGAGAACTGTTGCAGTCTAGGGGTGCGGGGCCTCTTGTAGTTTCGTTTTTTGAACTTGTCAGTCACTCTGACTCTATTCGTATTTGTGTGTGCGTGTGTGGTAATGGTCTGTCTTGCGAGTGTTCTGCCCCCTAACTAATTAATCCCTTGACCCGGATTCCTGAGCTGGAAATAAATCTCCAACCTAAACCCTAAACCCTACACCCAACCCGAAACCCCTTATGGAACCATTGTAAGCCCTAACCCTATCTCTGTGAAGGCGGGACTCCATTCCGCAATCATGAGCCCGAAACCCCAGTTCAGTTCACTTAGCTTAATTCAAGAGCTTTGTGGTGTTCATAAGGTTACAAAATGGAAAGAGCCTACTTTCGGTTGCTTGGACTGTTGGGGTGGTTAACGATATCCACAAAAAACTCTTCAAACCTGACTGTGGGTCCATACACAGTTACCAGCACGGGCTGGTAGTCTGTTGGCGTTTAATAGTAGCCTGGCGATTAGTTTATCTAGATTTTGCAGACTCTGTGTACAATGTGTGCGCATGTAGACATCAACGCAAAGCCTAGGAATTATTTACCTGAAGGACCCTTTGAAGCCCAAGTTTAAAACTCCAGAAGCACATGAAACCTTCGACCTAAGCCCTAACCAAACCCGAGGGTTCAGGTCCATTCAGGCATCAGCTCTCATGTCCAGATACTTTACTTGTCCCTGCCCCGCCCCGGTCACCACTCAAGACGGGCAGTTGCAGCACCGTGTCCGTCTTTTGACGAGTTTACCCGGACGCTTCATATGGATCCAACTTTTCGCGGCTGGCTGTAGTGGCCGAGGGTTCCTGATCACGTTCCGAGTACATGCCGTAAACCGTAAATCGTAGTCGTAAAACCCAAACCCCAAAACCCAAATATGTATATATATCTATATATATATATATATGTATATATGTACACAGATATGTATGTATGTATGTATGTATGTATGTATGTATGTATGTATGTATACATATATATATATATAGAGACAGCCTATATATATATATATATACACACATGTATATATATATATATATAGACAGCCTACATATATATATATATATATATATATATACAGAAACACCCTGAACCCCAGAATCCGAGACCTTCAACCCTCGAGCCCCAAAGCCTCGGAGTAGAATCGACGGCACGACCAGGGCCTGATCCATCTGACGATGGTGAAAAAGCTTCTCGGCTGGCAGAGGTTTAGCCTCTAGGTATAATACATGTGTATATATATATATATACATATATATATATATAAAGGGGGAGAGAGAGAGAGAGAGAGAGAGAGAGAGAGAGAGAGAAAAAACAAAACAAGACAGCTCGGCTCAGCGTTTAGATTCGTAGGTTTATGGTTTAGGATTTCAGATTAGGCAAGGGTTTAGGATGTCTGCAGCGATTCAGGAACATCCCGACATCCCTATGCAAAGCTTGAAACCTGAAATCCATTCGCAATGCCAGCAGCACACAGAACAGGCCGTGGGGCTGGGATCGCGTGAACACTGCTGCGGCTGACTGGACTGCTGGGAAAACCGTGGGGTGGTGCTTAGGGTGTGCAGAGTTAGTGTCTCGCAGCCGAAGCCCCCAATCTTACCTTCGGTTGGTAATTAGGGAATGGAAGAATGGTAGTGAAAGTAGTTAAAGTTGTACCCCATTCCTCCATTCCCTACTAACCAAAGGTGAGCAATGAGAGAATAGGTCGCGTCTTGTGGACGAAGGGTTGGTTGTTAAGGATGTAAGGATGCAGGTGTTCTGCCATGATCTGGAGTCACCCAGACGTGCACCAAAAGCGAGCAAACCCTTAAAGGGAACTCCAGAAAGTTGGAATATGGATTAATGGTAGGATCCCCTATAATTTACCTTAAAGAGGTTACGATAATGATATTAATATTCCAACCTTCTGGCTTCTACTGTACGCCTAAACCGCATACCGCATGCATGGTCGGAGTTGCGGCTGACATGTTAGCCTTGCAAAGTTAGGAATTTTTGCTGATCCGTAGACCCTACACATGCAACCCGTTCGGACAAGAGATTCAGGGCAACGGCCACAAAACTCGAAAAGGAAGTCTGGTGTGTAGGATTTGACCAGCAAGCGAAGGCGAACCCCCATTAAATTATTGAAATGCAAACCTTGAGCCCCAAACCTTGAAGGCCTTGACCTTGAACCATAAACTCTAAGCCTCGGACCACAAACCTAGAACCCTACTTGGAGGGGCAGGGGACTTAGTAAGTAGGTTATAAGTAGGGTTATAACTGGGGTAACTCCATTTAGGGTACTTACAATTCTACGTATAACCTACTTACTAAGTCCCCTGCCCCTCCAAGTAGATTTCGTAGCCCGAAGGACCCGGACGAAGAGGGAAGAGCTGGACTCGCTGCCCCTCAGCCGCATATGTGACTGTTCCTTTGTCATAGTTGGGTAACACTTTACATTTGTATGGGCACCTAAATCCAGTAAGGAAAAAAAGTACATGTTTAATCCTATCCCAACCATAAGAAGGTTGGGCTTTGGGGCTGAAGGGTTTACGGTTTGAAGTGTGGTTTTGGGTTTCAAGGTTTGAGGTTTAAGGTTGTTTCATTTTGAAAGGTTTACTGTTTGAGATTTGTGGTTTAAGGGTTTGAGGTTTAAGGTTGTTTCATTTGTCAAGGTACTTACAAGGCTGAGGATGTCGGGTTTAAGGTTTGGGGTTCCGCTTTGGTGGTTTAGGTTGGAGGTCAACAGTCTTAGACCCTAAACTCCGGACTGTAAGGTTGCTTTTATTGTGGTTCAATTTGCAGAGTTCGTAAAAAGGCCTTACAAGGTTCAAAGCCCAATACCCCTTAATGAAGCAAGGTGCATTTCATCAGGTATGTGTTCAACCACTATCAACTTAATGTAGGGGCCTTATAACGCCTTAAGATTTCTAGGGTGCTGGGGTAATGATACTCCCAAAGGGTCCTATGTACTGTTATGGGGGTTACTTCCCCAAATCATAGTAGTAATTCCTAATATAGAAACCCTACATTCTACTATAAAGGTACTTTGGACCCTTTGGGACTTAGGGGCCTCGTGGGATTCTCAGAAATGCCGATACACTCATATAGAATTTGCATAGGAGGATCCTTACGACAAGGCTTCCGACAACAGGTACCCCTATACATGGAGGGGCAGGGGACTTAGTAAGTAGGTTATACGTAGAAGTATAAGTACCCTAAATGGAGTTACCCCAATTATAACCCTACTTATAACCTACTTACTAAGTCCCATGCCCCTCCAAGTAGACCCTAAACCCTAAACCCCATAGATCCCTTTAAGGAACCCTATAGATCCCTTTAAGGAGCCCTTTAAGAGCCCTAAACCCTAGTCCCCTCCAAGTATGATTGCGACTCGTGAATCGGTTGTTGACAGAGCTCATCTTTCCGAGGGCATGTCCCACAACATGCCCACAGCTCTGTACCGTAAATCTCCCCCTCCCCCCCGCCCAAAGCCGTATGCAGCCCTTATGCAGTCCCAAAATCGAGAGTTTACTATATACCCCATTCAGCCCCCCAAACATGTAAACCGAAACCGTCTGCAACACAGCCGAGCTGCATAAACTAGGCTGCGCTTCTTGCCTTCCCAGCTAACGTCGCTCCTGGTGGCAGCCCGAGTTGTTGTGTTCGTTGTTTCCATTTGTTGCGTTAGAGTAAAAGCCAGAAAGTTGGAATATGATTACCCTAAACCCTTCATGGCAAATTATAAGGTATCCTACCCTGAAACCATATTCCAACTTTCTGGAGTTCCTCTTAAGGGGCTATTTGGGCATAGGCTTGTTTTGGGTTTTGGGGGCCGGGCTCGGGCTTCGAACAAATTCGTGATTTTCTAATCCGACATTAGAAAAAGCCCTATCTAGGATGCCCAGTAGTACCCTTATTCCCTTTTTGTAGTCCTAGGTTCCTTATAAAGTTACCCAATACCAAAAAGAGAGGCCTTTTTATTCTTAGGTTACTGGGTATCCTAGATATCTGCCTCTGATAGGTTTGTTTTGGGTTTTGGGGCTTGGGCTTCGGCCAATTTCGTGATTTTCCAGTTGTTATTCTTATCATGTAGTTCGTCCTGCAAAAAAACCCTACCAGATAGGCTTGTTTTGGGTTGTTGGGGCTTGGGATTCGGACCCTCGAGCATGAAATTGCTCCTGCACTGTTCCATGCCCATTTTTTTTGCAGCAGCATATACCGCCTTGCCCTGGTGGGACAAGTGCTTCGATGTGGAGCTGGCCACCACGGACATCGAAGGTTTTCGCGGTGACATATCGAACGTGCGGAGCTTCGCTCCGGCAAGCACCGGCTCCAAAGGGGATCGAAAAGCGGCCAAGCGGGCCGGAAGTACTGTGTCCCAAATGGTGACATAACTGGAAAGGTCTCCACATCTCACTTTCCTGCGCACAATGCCACTGGACAGCGTCTCCATGGGGTCTGGGTGCTCAGTTTAGGTTTAAACTTTCGGGGGTGCGGGTTTTGGGGTGGGGCTTTAGATTCAGGAATTTAGCATTGGTTTTGGGCTTTCCGCTGCTGTTCCTCTACTATTGTGGTAGGGTAAGGCAGAACCCGAAACCCTCTAAAAGCCTAAGCCTCACAACCTAAACCATGACTTAGGTTTGAAGGTTCAGGGCACGTGATCAAAGCCTGCTGGCCAGGATGCCGCCAATCGAACGCTGCACTATCCGATGTCGCTCGGACTTTCTTGGCTCAGATTTGACTGAAGAGTCTAGGTGGTCAGCTTAGGATTTTGCACTACTGGGGAATTCGCGGCTTGAAGTTTGTAGTTTGGGGACTTGGGATTCTGTGGGGGTTGCTCCAGGAGAAACCCTGCACGGTAGAACAGGAGTCCTTTCAAGGTCAGCATTTGTTGGCCGAGTAGTTCATGCCCATGCTCAGAAGGGCCCCAAAAGGGTTCAGAAGTTGGAGTAGTCGCGTCAGATCTTGAAGCATGCATGCATGGAACCCGACACAGCCTTCAGATAAGCAAACTTAACAATATCATTCTTATAGGGTTCCTTATTACCATTATAACAGTACGCCTATTTTAGATAATATTCTTTACCAATATCAGTTTTACAGGGTTTCTTATTACCATTAAAGTACGCCTATTATTCGATAAAAGGTTTACCAACACTATGTTCTTCGGGCTCCTTAGTAACATTATTGCATGCCTATTTTCCCTAAACCCTAAACCCTAAACCCTAAGTCTCAGGCTCCTGGCCTTGAAGCTTAAAAGCACTTTGTCAACAAAGAGACGGAGTCGAGCTTGATGTTAAGGGGTTTAGGGGTGCAGGGTTTAGGGTTTTAAGGGTTGAGGGTTTTAGGTTTTAGGGTTTTAGGGCTTAGGGTTTTAGGGTTTAGGGCCAGCTTGAAAGCAGAATCCTACATGGAGGGGCAGGGGACTTAGTAAGTAGGTTATAAGTAGGGTTATAATTGGGGTAACTCCATTTAGGGTACTTACAATTCTACTTCTAACCTACTTACGAAGTCCCCTGCCCCTCCAAGTAGACCCTAAACCCTAAACCCCTAAACCCCTAAACCTTTAACCCCAAGCAACTTACAATGTCAGGGCTCCTCATGTGCAGGTTTCCCAGGGCCCTGAACGCAACAACCTAAACACTCAAAGCCGCAAAGCCTGAACCCGAAAAATTCACCCCAAACCCTACTTAAGCCTTGAACCCTCATCCTAAACCCAAAACCCTAAACCCCTAAACCCCTAAACCCTAAACTCTAAACCCTAAACCCTAAACCCTTCACCCTTAACGCTTTAAACCTTAAACCCTCATCCTAAACCCTAAACCCTAAACCCCTAAACCCTAAACCCTTAACCCTTAACGCTTTAAACCTTAAACCCTCATCCTAAACCCAAAACCCTAAATTAAACCCTAAACCCTAAACCCTTAACCCTTAACGCTTTAAACCTTAAACCCTCATCCTAAACCCAAAACCCTAAATTAAACCCTAAACCCTTAACCCTTAACCCTTAACGCTTTAAACCTTAAACCCTCATCCTAAACCCAAAACCCTAAATTAAACCCTAAACCCTAAACCCTTAACCCTTAACGCTTTAAACCTTAAACCCTCATCCTAAACCCAAAACCCTAAATTAAACCCTAAACCCTAAGCCCTTCACCCTTAACGCTTTAAACCTTAAACCCTCATCCTAAACCCAAAACCCTAAATTAAACCCTAAACCCTAAACCCTAAACCCTTAACCCTTAACGCTTTAAACCTTAAACCCTCATCCTAAACCCACAACCCTAAATTAAACCTTAAACCCTAAACCCTAAACCTTAAACCCTAAACCCTTAACCCTTTAAACCTTAAGCCTATCAGCCCGAGGTTCCAGCTTGTGGACGGCGAGGGCAATCGAACGGAATACTGGGACCACTTCGTCGACTTTACGCAGATCAAGACCCGACGGGCTGGATGTTAGGTTTTCGGGGTTTACTTGGAGGATCAGGGGACTTAGTAAGTTAGGTTATAAGTACCTTAATTGGGGTTATAAGTAATTATGAGTATAGTTACAATAATTATAATCCTAGCTACTAAGTCCCATGATCCTTCAAGTACGGTTTGAGGGTTTAGGATGTTGGGCTGTGGGATTCAGGGTCAGTGCGTCAATCAAGTAATCAATCAACCCATCCTTCGTTCGTGCGTTCATTGTTTGTTTCTTTCGATCCGCTCCATCAACCCAGACATCCATTCATTACTTCATTCATTACTTCTTCCTTGCTTTCATTAGTTAAGGAATCTGGTTGTGTATACAGCACTGCACCCCCCTAAGCCTGCAGGAGCACGCAGAATGCTGTTCCGGGAACTTTGGTGGTGCGCCAGCGCACAGCTCCACCAGAAGGAGACACGCGCAGGGTGTTCGACTTTGGGGGTCGTAGATCCTTTCTTGTCATTAGGCTCTGGCGACCTCAAAAACGCCAAGCCCGAAAAATATGGGTGGTTGTCAAAATTAAGGTCCCCGTTTGGGTACCCGAAATAATAGGCGCCGTATTATAATAGGGACCAAAAAGGGACCACAATTTTGACAACCACCCATATAGTCATATAGTCAAGCTAGAGGTAGTGAAGCCCTACGATTGCGCAGTGCCAAGAAGAGGGCGTTGGGGAGTCCCATAGCGTTTTGCCGATGGTAGGGATGACGGATTTTTAGGGCTTGGGAGGGTTCCTTGAGATCCCAATACCCCTTAACTATAAGGAATATATACCTTAAATCAGAATATTCAGCCATTAAGCCCCCTATAGTTTAAGGTGCATTCCTTAAGTAAGGGGTATTGGGGATCTCTGGGTTTTTCTATTCATGGCGCCTCCACAGTTCATGTTTAGGGTTTAGGGTTTAGGGTTTAGGGTTTAGGGTTTAGGGTTTAGGGGTTTAGGGGTTTAGGGTTTTGGGGTTTAGGGTTTAGGGTTTAGGGGTTTAGGGTTTAGGGTTTAACGTTCTTCGTGCTCTTTAATCACGGCCGGTTTTGCGCGTGAAGGTTTCATGTGCCTACGCCCAGCTCGCTTGCAGGATTCACGAAGTTCCGGTGAGAGCGGCAAACCCCAAAATCCCTGGGGCGCTGGTCTAAACCTAACCCCTAAAACCTTGAAGCTGTACGCATGAAAGCAGAACCCTTCCTATAGTCTTCATGACCTCAAACTCAGACGGAGCTTGAACCCTAAACCCTAAACCTTAAACGGAGAGGGGGATGACCCCGAATGTGCGCAATGCCGGCTCCATGCTCGATGGGTCCAAGTATCGCGCAAGCCTAGTAACTCTCCGGACATGAGCCATATGGGAGTTTCCGAAAATTGGGGGTACCTTATTTTGGGGTCCATGTAATAAGGATCCTGCTATTTAGGGTACTATATTAGGGTCCCCTATTTTTGGAAACTCCCATATGAGTGGTTGTGAAGATTATGGTCCCTTTTTGGGTCCTTAATATAATACGGCACCTAATATTTATGGTACCCAACAAGGGGATCATAATTTTGACAACCACCCGTATGTACAATATTACCTTCTTGTGCATTCGGCCAGCAGCACTTTTGCCCACATTGGGCTGAAGAGGATCGTATTCGCTCAGAGGCTGTAAGGGCCAGCCTAGTCACTTAGTCTTGCTGGTTTTCTAGATCCTTTGAACTAAAAGGTCTTGGCTTGGACCCACTGGGCACGACTTAAGAGAAGTCGCTACGGCGAACGGGGCGAAGGATTTTAGAGCCTTCGGCGTTCCAGTCACTGACTCGGCGGCTTTAGTAACTTTCCTTTGGTTAGCAATGAATGAATAAAAATGGGGTACAAATTATAACTAGCATTACTACCATTCTTCCATTCCCTACTAACCAAAGGTAAGGTAAGGGATCATAATGCGATAGTCTTTGGTTTTTCTGAAGGATCTACAAGGGGTCTATAAGGGTTGTATAGGAGGCTTTGTAGCCGTACCTTTTGGGCTAGTGTTCAGGGTTTAAGGCTTCATGCTTGCGTTGGGGTATAATCTAACCGGCATTCTGATTCTGTCTATCCTTAGATCTTGCCTATACGGTTGCATTAATATGTCATGATCTAGACCGCTGATTCTATTTGTCTGGGCCCCTGTGTCCCCCTGTTAGTTTTAATGACCTGCAGTATGCTGGCTCTAGCCATATGCCCAAGAGCCGGAGGCCCGATAAGGCTTGTGCCAAGCAAGCAAGGCCGTTTCGTGCGCTACAGTATTCTCTAGGAAATTCTAGGGTGTCTTGAAAGCTCCGTTGACCTTAAACCCTAAACATCCCTAAACCCGAAACCCTAGACGTCCTAAACGCCCGAGAGATTTGAACATTCCCAAGACCCCATAAACCTTTAACCATCCTCAATCCCCTGTAAACCTAAAGCATCCCTGAACCCCATAGCCATAAGCCCTAGAAGGATAGGGAGAGATTCGGGTTGCCACAAGTGAGATTGCCGCGACGACTTAGGCGAAGGGGGTGACAAGAGGCCTCTGGTGCCGTTTGGAGGTAGTCAGTTTTAAGACGTTTCCAAGAACGATTGTCCTGTTGCGGGAGTCGTATCTGATCTGATGCGGATTGTGAAGGTTAGTAGTCGAGTTTGTAACCTTTAGGTATAGTCCCTATATAACTAATCCCTATATAACCAAAAAGGTTAAGCTTTAGTTCCCCATGATACCGGACAAGTAGGTTATGGCTTCTATGACACGACAATTGCGAGATAGTGTCCTCTATCCTTAAACGTTACGAACCTTGTAAGCCATAGAAACTCAAGTTCTTATTGAGTTTGCGGTTTAGGAAAATGAAAGTTTGGGAGTCAGCAGGTATCTGTGTTCCAGGTAGGATGAGATTTCGCCTACAAGGCGTGGAAATGTTTAAGTTTGGCATGGCCACGATGCCGCGAAGGCAGCCGTGTGCGACGAGAAGCTTCAGAAACATAGGGCGCGAAACCCGAAACCACCTTGAGATCCCAATACACCTGAATTAAGGAATATACCTTAAATCATAATATTAAGCCCCCTATAGTTTAAACCATTGGGATCTCTGGGCACGCTCCTCGCCCCAAGACCTCAACCCTGAACCCACGACCGCAACCCTAAACCCAGGGGGCACCTAAATACTTTCGGACATCCCATATAGGAGTTTCCGAAAATTAGGGGTACTTCATTTTGGGGGTCCTTATTATAAGGATCCTACTGTTTAGTGTACTGTATCAGGGTCCCCTATTTTCGGAAACTTCCATATTCCCCTTGCCAATATTATAAAGCAAGGATATCCCGTCCAAAAGTCTTCAGGTGTTGTGCACGTAGCCTTAGGATACCGTAGTCCTGTGAAGAACCCCTGAGTTAATATAGAATAACTTCGGTATAATATTTCCCGAACCTAGACCCCGCAACTACCCTCTGATATACCCCAAATACCCACTAATCAGGGCCATCAGGGCTCCAATAAAAGGCCCTTATGGGGGGTCCTGGAAATCGATCCCTCCAAAGACTGTTTTTTCTTGCATACCTGGAAGGTCATACCCTACCCCTTTTTTGGGATACCTAGTTTTATGGTTAGGCTCTGTTATATAGAAATTAGGTACCTTAAAAGAGAGAGATATGGAATGAGCCTCTACTTGAAGGATCATTGGACTTAGTAGCTAGGGTTATAAGTAAGGTAACCGTACTTATAACTACTTATAACTCAGTTAAGGTACGTATAACCTAACTGACTAAGTCCCCTGATCCTCCCAAGCAGACCCTAAACCCTAAACGCTATAGATCCCTTTAAGGAACCCTATAATCAGATCCCTTTAAGGAGCCCTTTAAGAGCCCTAACTGACTAAGTCCCCTGATCCTCCAAGTAGGCCCTAAACCCTATAGATCCCTTTAAGGAACCCTATATAGATAATTATAACCCATAATTATTAGGGGACCTATAATGCCACTTATAACTATGCCTGATCCTCCAAGTAGGGTATGAGCCTCTACCTATAGTCTCCATTGCAGTTCCTTTTTTTGGTTAACCAAAATCTCTATTATAGGGTCCTTAACATAAAACTGGTTAACCAAAAAAAAGGAACTACATTTGAGACTATAGGTAGGTAAGGCGTTTGGCGCTTCCCGGGCTCTGCTCTGGAGCCTTCGAGCACTACCGAGGAAGAGAGGAAGCAGGTTTAAGGGTTCTAGGGTAGGGTCGTCGGATGCTAACAAGCTAAGGTCTAGATTATATCTTGACGCATGTTGTTTTGACTACAGAGGCAGGGCACCTCTTTCGTGCTCTTTGCGGGTGCGGGTGGGTGGGTAGAGTGATAGAGCCCACCTTCTTGCAGAGTTTTCAAACAAAACCGATTACGCCCGCATGTAGATCGAATTCTGGAGACCCTACTTGTACAAGAAGAAGCAGGTTAGTATGTCATGAGCGGTTGGGCAGTGTTGAACCCCTATCTTGGAGGGGCAGGGGACTTAGTAAGCCGTTTCTAAGTAGGGTTATAATTGGGGTAACTCCATTTAGGGTACTTGTAACCCTACTTATAACCTACTTACTAAGTCCCCTGCCCTCCAAGTAAAAATCCTTCACCCCTACGCTTAGAAACTCAAATGCTGAACCCACCGTCCCTAAGCCTCTAAAGCCCTAAGCCCGAAGCCTTGAAGCCCAAAAAAACCCTCGGAACCCTCCGAATCGCCCACGCCTGAGGGCGTCGAGAGCTTTTGCAGAAAGTCCTGGCTGAACAACCAGGCGGGACGGGATCGTGAGTTCTACTTGGAGGGGCAGGGGACTTAGCAAGGGCTCTTAAGGGGCTCCTTAAAAGGATCTGATTATAGGGGTTCCTTAATATAAAAGGATCTATAGGGTTTAGGGACTTAGTAAGTAGGTTATAAGTAGAGTTATAAGTACCCTAAATGGAGTTACCCCAATTATGTGACCACTTATAAACGGCTTATTAAGTCCCCTGCCCCTCCAAGTAGGCTCCACTGTAGTTCCTTTTCGGGATTACTTATAGGACCAAAATATGAACTACAAAGAAAGGAACCGCAATGGAGCGTATAGGTATTTGGCCCTAGATGCCCGTATTATTTTGGACCATCTACGACTGTTTGAGGATACAAGGAGGGTTCTGGCCAGGTGTTGTTGTTGCACGGCGTTGTACATCTACAGGGTTTGGTCCGTCCGGAAGGCGGCTGTGGCTTTTCGGGGTTTAGGTCTTATAGACTCTTAAGAGCATTTACGGAGCTTAGGGGTTTTGCCACCGGATGCCGCCTGACAGCATCTGGGGCTCCGCACAGACCAATCCAAGGAATTGGGAGTTTCCGAAAAGAGGGGACTCTAATATAGTACCCTAAATAGTAGAATCCTTCTTCTCTGGACCCCAATACAAGGTACCCTACTTTTCGGAAAATCCCAAACCCTAAACCCTTTTTTGAACCCCTTATAGTACCCTTATAGAACCCTTAAAGATCCCTTTAAAGGACCCCCAAAGGGTATTGGGTTTGGGGGCTGCGACGGGGAGACAGCGTGGGCTGAAGCCCTAAATGGCCCCACATGTCGACATGGGAGTTTTAGGGTTTAGGGGTTTAGGGTTTAGGGTTTTCCGAAAAGAGGGGACCTTAATATAGCACCCTAAATAGTAGGATCCTTATCATAAGGATCCCACAATAAGGTACCCCTATTTTTCGGAAACTCGCACCTGTTGCTGGACGTTTGTCGGAGTCTTTGAGTTTGGTCTCGAAAGTTGGCAAATAGGGGTCGGAATATAGTCACCAATAGTATCCACTTACAGCCCTATTACTATTCATAGACATATACCATATGTATATGTATAGACTGTGTATATGTATGTGTACATATATATATATATATATATATGTATGTATGTCTACTATTTATTAATGTACGTTTTTTACATTAGAACCATTAGATAAGGCTCCCATGTTACGGCCTCATGCCATGAGGGTTACTGGTCTCCCTGCTTCTTCTGGATCCCTTTACTAGGTTTGTCGGGCTTCAGGAGACGCTTGGTGAAGGGAAACTAGCTGCTTGCCGTCCGGGCGGAAGGGCCACTATTTGGGCGCCTCTGATAG